CACCATACACCCATTATGCACCCCAGTGGTGCTGCGGCTGCAGACACAGGAGGTCCCGGGGTGGGGGGCGGGGCGGGAAGCGGGAGGGGCAGCTAGCCCGAAGAACGGTGTAAGTACCTACCTAGCTGGCCGGACTGAGTTCGTTGTCTTTACTATAGCGGCGCTGACCATACCAGGCTAACTCCAGCATGGCATAAGCCTGGGCTACGGTCACTGGTGGGCGAGGCCGCGCAACCTACTTCACCAGATATAACCTGCTGGCCGCTGCGTTCTCGCTTCACTATCCAATGCGACGACAACTTCAACGATATAATCACTACATATCATGCCCTCGCTCACCAGTGGCGGGGATTTATCATTTATCCGAACCAGTTGAGTACCTGCCTACTCCGATCCTGCTCTGTCGTCCGCTCCTTCTCTAACCTCGACATCTAGCATCGGAGGAGGAAAGACGTCGATTATCGGTAACTGCTAGGTACATGCCTTGTACTTACCTAGCAGCCTGCCAGGCCCGCTGCTGAAGACAGGGCGGCGACGGATCTGAGGCGGAGGATATGAGACAGCGGAGAGACGAACGTCAGGAGGTGGCTGGGGCTGGGGTTGGGCTCAGAGGGATTGGAACCTACCTAGGTACTACCTCACGCCGTCTATATTAGAATAGTTCTTCTTCCCGTAACTTGGGTACTACATACCAATAGGTACAATGCAATACACTTCACATCTCTGATCGCCTTCGATATAATCTTCCAACACGTGACAAGTCCAACACCGGCTGTTGGAATATCCAAAATACACCATATCTATGTACGGATCTACTATGTATCGGCACCTCCCGTTCTTCCGCCGAAGGCTTATCGATACTCCTCACCACACCACCATTCGATTCCCGTCTTCCGCCTTCAGACACCACATCTCTACCCTCCTACTTCATACTTCCAAGTTACTACTTCCCGGCAATCACCGCCTTACAATAACCATAGGTGGAAGTGAGGAATGTATTTTTCCAGAGTATGTAAAGCTAAAATACACGTGCTTGCTTGCTGCTTGACGGAAGCTGAAGCACGAATCATCACCCGACCATCATCACCCGCGACCGCGATTCCGTCGTTTTCGCTGAGATCCACAATTACTCTACTCTACTCTAGCAAGCAAACGGTCGAATTCTTGATGGAAACGGATTCGTGTCTAGATTCTAGCCGGCTCACTCGTGCACGCCGACCGGAAAACGACAGGAAGTAGCCATAGACATTTCGAGTCAGAGACTCGTGAGGAAGATGGTACTCTAAATACCGGACATATATCATTCTGTTTTAGTTTCAATTTCGCCCATGTGTTTTAGATTTTAGATTTTGAGCGATGTACTCGCACACAGCGGGGAGCCACGGATTCCATGAGTCTTTTGTACCATAGGTAGCCAAAAGCTGGTGTTGAAATACCCACTTGGGTAGACGGGAGAGACAATCACTTCCATACCGCAACAATCACACCAGCGGCGAGATCTTTCTTCATATACAGACTGTAGATTTCAGACTTTGGACTTCAGACTTCTTGGTCCGAGAGTTACTCGCCCCATGGTGCTGCCGAAGGTTACGAGTAGCCCAAGGTGCTACTGAAGGTTACTCCCCCGCCGACAGCACTCGGTCTCCACTGTCCACCGTATAAATTTATTCACGGAAGCCTATTCATGCCAACATCTCCGGATCCGCGCGTCCAATCTATTCTTCTGTGCTGCTATGTAGAGTCACCACAACGATCCGGGTGGATGCGCACTCTCGCCCCCCTACACTCCCCACCATCAACATTCACACACGCTCCCATAACCCCGACCGCTAGTGAAGCAAGAACAAAAACAGAAGAGAGCAGAGCAAAAACAAAAGATTTAGTGACCCCGACGCGATTTGAACGCGCAACCTTCAGGTCTGGAATCTGACGCGCTACCATTGCGCCACGGAGTCGTTTGATGTCGCTCGGTCAGTTTTATAGTCTATAGCCAATTTTAACAATATCCTGCCGGAAACACTTGCGGAGAAACTAGTCCCTCGAACCGTAAATCCACGATACTTCCGCCCCATAGAAACAATTTCCCATTTCTCTGATGCTGATGAACAGTTATCCGCCGAAGACAGATACAAAGACAAAGCCAACGCGACGGAGCTCACCTCCGCGCCCCCCAACTTCCCAGGCTCCAACCTCCCAAGCTCCAACTCCCCAAGGTCCAAGGCTCTAAATTCCCGTTCCAACAAGCCAACAAGCCAGCAAGCATCAAACAGCACGCAGCCAAGTGAGCCGAGCCCGACGGGCCCGCTTGGCTGACGCTGGAATCACTTGGCTCCACGGCGGCGCCGCTCCGTGCTGGATCTTGGCCGCTTGGCTGGTTGGTGACTGGGCTGGTTGGCCGCTTAGCTGGTAACTTGGCTTGAGACCAGATCGCACTCCACTCCACTCCGCTTCAGGTTCCGGGGATGGGGATGGGAAGTGGTGACCGTTATCTGCGCGCAACAGATCGTGGTTCGTGGCGATGGGGGCGGGGGACATGGTTTCTCTTTCCATGTAGATACGGCGTGGTCTGCGTAGTGGGGAGATACCGGAGTACCGTGAGAATGACGGCGTTCACACGTTAGCACTCGCGTCCGCAGCAGACCAGCAGACTGTGGCGAATAATTACTTCCTTGGTACCGCCACAGCGATCGGTGATTACAAACCAATGAAAGGTTGGTTAGATACCGCCACTTTGTCATGATTCGTGGTTGTGAGCACTGAGTGGGACTGGGTGGGATTGGGTCCAGACCTGGAAGCTCGCCAAGAGCCGCAAGTGCGAACGGCGGGCAGACGAGGATGTTTGGTGGTTTCTAGAAAGTTTTGTAGACCAATGGTACCTAGAGGAGCGAGAAAGAAGCTGCGTAGAGCTAGCTGCGTAGAGCTAGAGGAAACAAAAAAGCAGGAAATGTGGGATGGCGGATCGCTCATGATGTGGCTAGAGAGCAGCGCGGAAGAAAACATTCCGGTGGCGGAACTGGAAGCTGCTCGAAGCAGCTGGACGGGCAGCACATCCCACCGACGGCGTCGACAAGGCGTCGCGGGGAATATCCATGAGCGGGCTCGGTAAACCGTGTTCTCATTTCCGTGCTCGCTCGCAGCAGCGGTGAGAGCTGCAACTGTTTCATCGGTCGCAGTCCGATCTCCGGGCAACTCGGCCGGGTTCGTTCCTTGCGGCCAATGAATCAGGGCGGCGGATATCGGCCCGGTGCCGGGCTACCGCAATATCTGGATTCTGGGCACGATAGATAATCAGAAATCCTAGCTGTCGGCTTGGCTTGAGCTCGGTAATCCTGTCGGCTTGGCCAACTAGAGCTCTGCGTCGTCAGCTCCTGCAACCCCGCAGCTTGGCCGGAGAAACCTTGGCCCCTTGAGGATTCCCACGAACGAGCCCGCCCGGAACAGGGACGAAGACAGCACACGAGGAAACATCCTTTCAGCCGTTGCCGTGGGTACTTACTCGCCTACCTGTGCCAACAAGAAGCGACATCGCAGGGTGGGAATGAGATGCCCCCACGCTGTCTTCATGCTGCGATCATGATTCACGAAGAGTCAGCACGTCACGTGTTCGTGATCGCGGGGCGTCGGCTAAGGGAGTGGATCGTGCATGGCCGGAGGCGGCAATCGCATCCGAAGTCCCGTGTTCGCAATGTTTCAGGCGTGCAAGTGCTCGTGAGTTCGCCAGGGTGGACGAATTTGCCCGTGTTCCCTGGAGTCGTTTGTATCATAACAGCGGATGGATGTCGGTTAATACCTAGTCTGCCGTGTGTCGGCGGCGGATCGTCGAGATGAGGCTCGGTCTCGTCCTTATCGATTGCGATTCGATACGGCAGATGGGTGCTATCGCACAGTATTAAGCAAAGTGCTGGTACATGTGTACCTATATTGCACATTAGGCATTGCATTAGGTAGAGCAGGTAGAGCACCACCATGTACTGGTAGCTTCTTGATTGGTCCAGTGCGACAAGAGCCCGCCTATAGGTGATATTCGCTTTGCTTCCGGAATGGCCCGTGGCGATGCACGTCCGTTGGGGGCCGTTTCTGCCTCCGTTGTTCCTCTGCGTTCCCGCCGTTGTTTCCCTTCTTCTCTGCTTCCTTTTTTCGTTCTTCTCCGCGTTTTCATTCTTTTGGGGACCGTCGAGGAGGGGCATGAGTAGACGGATAGACAATCTGGCATGCGATTTACCCTGATCGGCATGGCTTCTCCCCGGAGCACCCACACTCCAGTGCGGGGAAGCAAGACACACCCGTGCTCACGGGGTCCAGATGCGGCCGAATAATGGACGACTGGGGAACGTGGCGCCATGTTGGCATGCCACCCAGTCGATGGCAGATGCTTCCCTTGCACAGGGATGGATGGCCGGAGCCGGTAGGGCTGCGAAGCTATACCGGTGGGTATGTAGGTAGAATCGCAGCTCAGGATCGCGACGAGCTCTCTCTGCTGTACTTTCTCGTGCCGAATCTTGTTCGCTGTCAGTGTTCGCTCTGTTCGTTCGCCATTGAGGCGATGATTCCATGTAGATAGTACGTACCATGCCGGTAGGCGCTAGGAACTATCTATCCCTGGTACTAGACAGCTAGTAGCTATGACGGAAGTCCTGAGCTGTCTTTGCAGCCGGTTCGTCGTGGGAAACATTGAGCCTGAATCAGCGAATCGAATCGATAGTTACTGGTAATTGTCCTGATTTTGCGTGCTTCTTCGCAATTCAATTCTGTTGATGCCACCCTGTGCAGCGCGCTCCATGGCGAGGTTGGCGGTCATGGTGATTGGCCAGCGATAGCTTGTTGAAAGCTTGGCGAGCCGAGGCGCAGCAGCTCGGCGGCGAGAAACAAACCCAGCCCGTCAACCAACCAACCTCCCTGGCCCTGCACACACACCTCCCCCCCATCGTCATATCTTTCAAAGTCCCCATCCACATCTCGCAACTAAGCAGAATAGCCCCAATCATCTTAAGCACTAGAGCTCGTCAATAAAAAGGGAAAAAAGGTATATATGCTCCCCTCCCATCACCCTCAAAGATTGCCTTCCTCCTACCCGCCTTCTTGATCTCTGGAAGCTCACCTCAATCGTCGAAACTTCAAATAGTATCTTACAACTACTACTTTGCCCCCCCCCCCCCCAAACCGCTTCGTCTTCCTTCATCTATCTATACAAACTTCGTCAGGTTTCCAGTTCTATTGAATGGTGAACTCTACTCCCGCTTCGTCCTCTTCCCCAACCACCTCTCCCATCAACCAGCACTCTGGCCTCGTCACCGTCCAAGCCAGCGAGGAAGGTTGTAATGACGACCCGCCGCCTATACCGCAGCCTTCTGTCGGCAATGGGCCCAATCCGCCCTATCACTTGCCGGCAGGAGGCATTCCTATCTCCCACAACGATCCAGTCGACGTGACTGCACGGCCCCAGCAGCCGTTTGAATCAACAACCACGCACCAGCTCGCTACCGGACACCACGTCAAGGTCTACGACTATGGCGCGTCTCACGCGGGCTCTCCGACGGAGCAGCCCAAGGGTGGTTTCGTCTCGCAGCAACGGCAGCAGATAAGCCCTTCGACGACCGTGACGTCCATCAGAGACACCTCGACTTCGACCGCTCCCGTTTCCGCCAATTCTTCGGTGACCGCAGTCGAGACGGATGAGACCACCATCGATATCGAGATGAAGGGCTTCTACGACGGCAAGAATCCGCACACCGCCGACGCCGGAGCTGTCGCTGCGGTTCTCGGCGTGGACATGGCTATGGGTCTCAAAACGTCCGTTGCTCAAGAGAAGCTTCTGGCCGATGGACCCAACACCCTGACCACCGGAGAAGGCATCACCTGGTGGGGTGTGCTCCTGAGACAGGTTTCCAACAGTTTGACTTTGGTAGGCTAACCCCCCGTCTTTACTTTGCTCTTTGTTTCGCTTCGCGTGCGCTTCTTGTTGCCATACTCGATCCCCCTTGCTTCCGGCTTATCTCCGTACTTATGTGCGGGGTAATCGGGGAAACGTGTTTGGTGACACGAGAGCCATGGTTACTCCATCCGTTTCTACGGAGAGTATTATACCACCACAACCCTGCGAGGTCGATGGCGGGCGGCGCGATTTCCCGCGTTCGTACCCCTCGACTGGCGTGGTTTCGTGGCTCTGTCCTCTTGCATTTACCCCACCTCTTCGGAGAAGAGACTGATCCGATAACCTGCTCCTGCTCCTCCCTTCATTCCTTGTCACTCAGATCGGAGCGGGTTTTGTTTTATTTTACGAGTGTGTGTTTGTAAATTGTTACTGTTGGGATGGAGGAGAGTGGAGCATAATACCCTGTACAGCCTCTGGTTGGATTCGTCCTCCATTGGCTCATTCTATGCCTGTGTTCTTTATCATCGCCTTCCCCCCTATCATGTTGCACCGCATTTTTGTTCGCAGAGAGAGAGGACCGAAAATCCAAACTCGAAGTACCAGCATATTTTGTCCCATTTCAAACCTGACAAAACGGAGACATACCGGACAAGATGACGACCAGAGCCAACACAACCTTGACGATACGAATGATATTAACTGTTTCTCGCAGGTTCTCCTCATTGCCATGGCAGCTTCGTTCGGTATGCTCGACTATGTCGAAGGCTCCGTCATCGCCGCCGTCATCTGTCTCAACATCGTGATCGGTTTCGTCCAGGACTACCGCGCTGAAAAAACCATGCAATCTCTGCACTCCCTGTCTGCCCCCATCGCCACGGTCATCCGGAACCAAGGCAAGATCGAGAAGATCAAGGCGGAAGAGCTGGTTGTCGGCGACATCGTCAAGATCACTGTTGGTGATGTCGTGCCCGCCGATCTTAGGGTCTTTGAGGCCATGAACTTGGAGACGAATGAGGCTTTGCTCACTGGAGAGAGTCTACCGATTGCAAAGAACCCGGCGTTCCTTGTCACCGACGCCAACTGCCCTATTGGCGATCGCCACAATATGGTATGGGCGTCGAGTACTGTCTCCAAGGGTCGTGCTCTCGGTGTTGTCGTCGCCACGGGTATGCAGACTGAGGTAGGTAGCATCGCCGAGTTGCTTAGAGGAAAGAAGGAGAGGCAGGGCGGGCCCTTCAAGAGATTCCTGAGGAAGATTAAGGAGTCGGGAAAGAACATTCTTGGACTTGTTGGTACCCCCTTGCAGGTCAAGCTCAGCAAGTTCGCGCTGCTCCTGTTTGGTTTCGCTATCCTGCTCGCCATCATCGTTTTCTCGGCATCCAAGGTATTTCCTTCCGTCCTACGAATTTCTATGATTGTGCATTCTAACCGAGAATAGTGGAAAATCTCCGATGAAGTCTTGATCTACGGTATCTGTGTTGCGGTGGCCGTCATCCCCGAGTCGCTGATTGCCGTCCTCACCATCACCATGGCCGTCGGTACGAAGACCATGGCCAAGGGCCACGTTATCGTCCGCAAGATGCAGGCGCTCGAGGCCGTCGGTGGTGTCACCAACATCTGTTCCGACAAGACCGGTACCCTGACGCAGGGAAAGATGGTTGCTCGCAAGGCGTTCATTCCCGGTCTCGGAGAGTTGAAGGTGGATGGTGTTGAAGGTCCTTTCGATCCCACGAGTGGCCAGGTCTTCCTCGGAGAGAAGGCTGTCGATGGTTCTCTTGTTGAGAAGCACCCGGAGTTGGAGCGTTTCCTTGAGGCCATTGCTACCTGCAACCTGTCGACCGTTTCTCGTAACGATGACACCAATATGTCCTCCGAGAAGAAGGTTGGACAGTGGACCGCCAACGGAGAGCCCACCGAGATCTCGCTTCAGGTCCTCGCAATGAGGTTTGGAAAGGGAAAGCAGGATCTCCTGGCTTCCGGTGACTGGGACTTGATTGCGGAGCATCCTTTCGATTCGACCGTCAAGAGGATGAGCATCGTCTACCACCACAAGGGCCGTGATACTATCGAGGCTTTCATGAAGGGTGCCGGTGAGGTCATTGTTCCTACGCTCGCCATCCCCGAAGACCAGAAGGCCGAGATCATGGATATGATTGAGCGGCTTGCCGGCGAAGGACTCCGTATCCTCTGTGTCGCCCACAAGCGCATCGACCGCTCCGACGCAGCCAACCGCAATTCGGTCGAGAGCAACATGAACTTCTTGGGATTGGTTGGACTCTACGACCCCCCGAGACCGGAGACCAAGGACGCCGTCCGCCGCTGCAAGATTGCCGGTGTTGAAGTCCACATGCTCACCGGTGACCATATCCGTACCGCCACTGCGATCGCCCACGAAGTTGGTATCTTGGAGGCAGCCATGCCCGCCGCTCTCGCCAGCACCATGGTCATGACTGCCACCGCCTTCGACGCTCTTTCCGACGCCGAGGTGGATGCACTCCCTGCGCTCCCCAAGGTTATCGCCAGATGTTCTCCCACCACCAAGGTCCGCATGGTCGAGGCGCTTCATCGCCGTCGCGCCTTCTGTGTCATGACCGGTGATGGTGTCAACGACTCGCCAGCCCTCGCCAGAGCCGATGTTGGTATTGCCATGGGACTCAGCGGCTCGGACGTTGCCAAGGACGCCGCCGATCTGGTTCTCACGGACGACAACTTCGCATCGATCGTCCGCGCCGTCGAGGAGGGACGAAGACTGTTCGACAACATCCAGAAGTTCATCATGCACTTGTTGATCTCCAACATCTCGCAAGTTGTCCTCCTCCTCATCGGTCTCTCCTTCCAGGATCAGAACAAAGTCTCCGTCTTCCCGCTTTCCCCGCTCGAGATCCTATGGGTCAACATGATCACGTCGTCGTTCCTAGCACTCGGCCTCGGCCTCGAGGAGGCCAGCCCCGACGTCATGACGCGTCCACCGCACGACCTGCGCACCGGCGTCTTCACGTGGGAAGTCATCATCGACAAGATGTTATACGGGATAACCATGGGGGTCCTGTGTCTGGTGTCCTTCGTCATCGTCATCTTTGGCGCCAACGACGGCAACCTCGGCCGCGACTGCAACCATGGCTACAACGAGACCTGCGACGCCGTGTTCCGCGCCCGCGCTACAGTCTTCTCCGTCCTCTCGTTCCTACTCCTACTCACCGCTTGGGAGGTGAAGCACTTCACCCGCTCGCTGTTTCGGCTTAACCCTGAGCGCCATACCGGCCCGTTCGCGGTTTTCCATGCGGTCTGGTATAATCGCTTCTTGTTCTGGGCGGTCGTTGCGGGCTTCTTTGTCACCTTCCCCGTGGTGTATGTCCCTGTGTTTAACACTGTCGTGTTCAAGCACATGGCTATCAGCTGGGAGTGGGGCGTGGTCGTGGGGTGCTGTGTTGTCTACTTGAGTGTCGTCGAGGGCTGGAAGGCGATTAAGCGCTGGAGGGGATGGGGGAGCGCTGGGTATAAGAAGCCCGTGATCCAGGAGATGGAGAATGGGAGTATGCTGGAGGTGAGGACGAAGTAGGGTGGCGGTGTTGGAGTTGGCGGCGTTGGGAGGGGTGGGGGTTTATGATTTTGGATGGGTATGGGTATGAGAGATGATGATGTGGTATGAGAGATGATGGATGGGATGATGGATGGGATGATGGATGGGATGATGGATGAGGGATGAGGGATGGGATGAGAAATGCTGTTGACCAGAGTTACTTTCTTTATTTGTACGTGTATATCGCCTGCTGCGTATCTGCTAGCTATGCGGATTTGGGGATATGTGGAGAGTACAATTTACTGGCTGGCCATAGTACGTTTTGTTCCTTTGGTGATGTGATGTGAGATTCGTGAGAAAACGCAAACCAGCCACAGTTCTAACCACCATGTAATCCATATCAACACCTGCCGACCATATCTAGGACACTCGCTCTTGCACCTCCTTTCAGTCTTGGAAGGAGAAGCAATCATGAGATAGACAGGATTCTCCAGCCCCCGGGCGTGCAAATATTACCAATGACAAATGTGCAATACCTTCCTTGAAGTTTGGACGAGTGACGACGTTGGCTTTTCGGCGAGAATTTTTCATCGAGAATCGCAACACTTCGAAGTTTGAAGTTCGAGGGATGGGGAAGGAAATTTTGAGTCGTGAGTCGTGAGTCTCGAGTCGCGATCCCCCTTCCTTTAGGCTTCGGCTAGAGTACTCTCCCGTGACCGGCGACCGCGACCGCGCCCCCGGCCCGTCGTGCCGCCAATTATCATCACCAACCCAGAGTCCCACACACGCGTCGGCGACTCAGCGACATCTACATACATAGATTCTGATTCTGCTTCTGAAACCATCAACTTCCCCATCGCACAGCACGATTATTTCTCAAACCCGTTCGAAGCATTGAAGCATCGAAGCATTGGCACACCTGCAGCTACAGCTGCGGTTGCACCGGCGCCGCGACGGCGGATAGTATGTACCTGGTATGTGAGCTTTCAGCTTTCAGCCTTCAGCCCTCGGGACCAGGCAGGTCACTTGAGCGCTTGCTTGGTGCTTGAGTGGACGCCCGATTAAGTCTTGGAAATAAGGGAGGTATCAAAAAGACTGATGGATGCCTGGCTGAGGGCGATTCTTCTGGGCTTTCGAGGGGATGGGGTTGACGGCGGGCGAATGGGGGTGAAGATTTTGGCCTCAAAACAGATGACAGAGCAAGCCGACGGCTGAGAGAAGTCACCGCGATGCTCTCCCACTCCCACAGCCCCGCCATCGAGACTCCACGGTTCAGCCCCAAGCCAGCCTAAGCCCAAGTACTCGCTTCTCTAACAAAGATAGGTACAGTTAGTGGCTGGGACATGGCTGGTGTGGCTGGGCGTGGCTGGGCGTGGTTGCGGCTGGGAGCAACGTGTTAGTGCAGATGGGCGTAAGTGCAAATGGTGCCCCTATTTTTTTGTCGTCCACGGGAGAATTCTGTAGATGCGAGAATACAGTACATCATGTCACCAGCAATGGCAACACCTAGGCGATGGCGGAGAACGAGAGATGTTTGTGCTGGGAGTGGGTCACCCGTTGGCGGGTCCCCGGCGCCGGATGCCTACATGAAGTATCACGTGATGCCAAGATGTGGCTGACAGGACTCGGGTTTTAGCGCTGTACCTATCTTTGTTGGACTAGCGAGTACCGATAACGCACCCGGATCGCCACTAAGCAGCCGCCGCCGAGACATCTTAGCGTCCTCCGCACGGAACTAACGGATTTTCGATGGAGCCGAAAACCACTCTAGTTAAGCGCTGGAGTGGGGCTCGGGGGAGGGGTGTTATGCTGACGAGTGGTTTCATACGTGATGATAATTTCATCGCGGTATGAACGAAAGAAAGAACGAGAAGTGATTCGTGAGGAATCGATTGGAAGGTACACACCCTAGATACTCTAGATACTCTAGATACCATACATACACGTGCTCTCCATCTCCCGAGATCTTAGGCGTCCACACAGGCCTGGCAGATTCCGCATCCGCATCATCCCATCCCCATCGGTGTCAGCCAGAGGAGTTTCTATCTATAGCGACCGTGCAGCCACCCCCAAAAGTCAGCAATCTGCCTATAGATCACGGATGGGCTGGGTTGTTTGCCCATCCCTCACCCTCACCTTATCCGTTTCGCATTCATCCGTGTAACTCCCCAACCCGACAACTGTGTATTCGTTGCGTTCCCTGTCCGGCTGCTGCTGCCAGAAGAGCGAGGCAAGATTCGATATCGATGCGCAAAGCGGGCTGTGCTGTGCTCCATATTCTTCACCAATTCGACACCTCGACTCCCCCCGCCCATAACTAAACTACGCTAGAGCCAGGTCGCTACATTCCATATCTAGTCCGAACTACCCTTCGGCAGGCACCTCGCTAAGCCGATGTCCGCCCCGCATCCGGCGCGCCCGCGCCCTCGCCCGCGACCACGCTTCTCGTCCACGGTGACCGAGCCGTTCGATCCCGTGTACAGCTACGACGAGCACGACTTCTCGGACACCGATGGCCACGCCCCCTCGCGGCGGCAGCGCGCGCAGACCTCGCCGGCGCCCGCGCCCGTGTCGTACCCGTTCTCGCCGTACGAGTCCCCAGCCACAGCGGGCATGCCGCCCGTAGGCGTAGGCGTGTACGGCGGCGAGTTCTTCGAGAGCCCGGAGTCGTCGCCGCGACTGCAGCCGACGGTGATGCCACACATCCGCCCACGTACCGCGTCCACCGTCGAGGTCCCCTCGATGGGCGCGTGGATTGCGCCCCTGCCGCCGAGCGCCGCGCGCGTGGGCACCGGCACGGGCACAAGAGAGAGGGACTTTGCGATCCCCCCGTTGAGTCGGCAGAGTACCTTTGGCAGTATCGCGACGCTGGATGATGATGAGGCGGATGTGGATGTGGAGAATGTGCCGCTTTCGCCGGTTAAGAAGGGGGGCGGGGTCGAGGTCGAGGAGCGTGGGGACCGCGAGGAGCGTGTGGATAAGCCGAAGGATAAAGGGAAGCGGATGACGCTGGCGTTTGACGAGCACGGGCCGGGCCACGGGGGAATGTCGCGACACGAGAGTATGGCGACACGGCTGGGGAGGAGTATCATCGGGACTGTGACGCGGGGTCGGACGTCGGCGGGGGCTGGTGGGGCGGGGAGGTGGGGCACGTTAAGGAGGAGTCGGTTGCTGGGCGATGAGGATTATACGGAGCTGGGCGCGCTCGAGGAAAGGGAGATGCCCATCGGAATGGATGTTTCCACATTTGGGCCTGAGTATACGGTGCCGCATCAGACGGCGAAGGCGATGGAGACCGCGGGGTTTAATGAGAATCTAGCGTACACAGGTGGGTACTTGGCTAGATGGACGATGGCAGCGGGGAGGGGCTGATACAGCGCAGATACCGGAGAGGCCATTGATCTGTCGATATTGTCGGGGTTTAATGATGAAGGTGGATTTAATAGTTTCCGCAGCTGTGGGTATTACCTTGTTTGACACCCCCGAAGCCCCGCTAACCGTTGGCTACAGTGGAAACAAGATCGATACACCGCGCTAGCACGTTCGATACCTACAACAAACAGAGCTTCTACTTTCCACCGGGCCGACATGTCCCCAACTGGAAACCGATAGTACTACAGACATGGTACCTGGTGATGTTGATAATATTGACGATCATCATGATCGCCACCGTCGAGGTCCTGTACCAGCTATCGGATCGGCATGTCTTGCGAAAAGGTCCCATTCCCGAGGGCGGCGGGTTATTCTCCTACATCAAGATCGACCATCTCACAACGTTACAATTTGCAATCTGGAAATACGTGCCGACCCTCGTCGGCGTGGTCTACGGTATCCTCTGGAAAGTGACGGACGAAGAGCTGAAGCGCTCGGAGCCATACTACCAGCTCAGCAAAGGATCCTCTGGCGCCCTCGCCGCAGAATCCCTCAACATCGAGTACCACACCGTGTGGTCGCCGATGGTCCCGATCGCGGCACTGAAGTACCGGCAATTTGTTGTCGCCGCGGGAGGAATGATCTCCTTCCTCGCATCCACAACAGTGCCGATCTTCCTCTCCGTCGTGATCCGCGTGGACCCCTCGCAGAAAGAGCGCAAGAGCCTCCCCGACGGCGGCAAGAGCGCGATCAAGCGTCTCGTCGTCGACGCGGTGTGGACGCGCCTGGTGGAGGTGAACCTTGCCGTCATCGTCGTGCTCGCCATATACGTGGTGTGGAAGCTTACGCACCGCCGGTCGGGACTGCTCGGGGATCCCAGCGGCATTGCCGGGATCGCCGCCATGGCGAATAAGTCTCACATCCTGATGGACTTCCGCGACCTCGATGTGGCGGATGAAAACCGCATCCATAAGCAGCTCGCGAAGCGCACCTACATCCTCCACAAGGGCGCACTATGGCAGGCCGAGGTCCTCGCCGACGCCAATGTTGACGGCGACGCCTCCGCCCCGCGCGCGATGAACCCACACCCGCTACTCCTCCGGATCAAGGGCATGGGCCCGTTCATGTTCTTCTGCTTCCTGATGCTCGCGCTGCTGCCGTTCATGGTATACAACCCGGCGGCCAACGTGATAATCGACAAAGCGCCCTGGGTGATAACGGGGATCTCCATCTTCCTCAAGTCGGTCTGGGAGCTGCTAGAGAAAGACATGCGAATGCTCGAGCCGTTCTGGCAGCTGTTCCACCGCAACGCCGGCAGCAGCGTGCTCACACTCGACTACTCCGCGACGATTCCCGGGTACATCATCATCAAGGCCCTGTCGAAGGGCCACTTCCTCCTCGCTTGGGTCACCTCCGTCACGATCCTTATCGAGGTGCTCACCGTCGTCATGGGCTCGCTCGACGTGCAGGGCGGCGAGGAGAGCCACCTCTCCTCGTCGATCTCGTTCGGCCTCGCAATCGCCATCTTCGTCCTCGTGCTGATCACGGAGTGGGCAGTGCTGTACTTCCGGCGGCACCCGTTTCTCCCGCGGCAGCCGGGGACGATCTCGTCCGTACTGGCGTTCATACACCAGTCGCGCATGCTCACGGACTTTGAGGGCACGGAGACGGAGAGCACACTGCAGAGGAAGAAACGTCTGGCAAAGGTGGGAAAGCGCTACGGCTTTGGTTGGTACTTGGGAAGAGACGGGAAGAGACACCTCGGCATTGATCATGAGCCGCTACTCGAGGGGTATAGGTTCGGGATGGACCCCAGGAAGGCGGTCGTTGATGCGCCCGTGGGGTGGGAGAGGTATGATGGTGCCGGCTGATGGGTGCTGGAAGTGGGAGATCCGAGATGGCTCGAGACGGGGATGGGAGGCGGGAGGGGAGAGGAGTGGGGGTGAGGAGAGGAGGACATGTACCGCTGCTGCTGTCTGTAGGGACCTAATTGGGCGTGCGTACGTGTTCCCGTGTTCTCCATGTAGAGGAGAAGTTTTGGTTATAATGGAACGGTTGATACCCATTTGCGCGTTCGTGAATCGTGATCAGGGACTGATAAGGGTGGTATCATGGTATGTGTTGTGGCAACGGATGGATGGCAATCATGCGATGTCACTCACTGAGTAAGTTATAGATGAGGTCATTCGAATTTCTCAGTAAGCCCCCGCGATAGCTGCCGAAGAAGCGAACACGCCGCTCGGGAGAGCAAGTGATTTCAACTATTACCTAGTAGGGGTAGACTGTGGTCGAGCGAAGGACGAATCAGCCTTGTAGCTAGCAAGGGGTTGAGTTTGTGACAAGCGGGCCGAGCCGGCGATATGATAGATGTGCAGTTTTGTAGTTTGCTTCTTTGCGTTCTTCTTTGCTGGTATGTGCTCAAGGCGGCAAAGAGGGGGACGAGGGGACACGGACATACCATCTCTTGAGATTTGATCTCTGCGTTTACTACCAGTCTCCGCCTTCGGTCCTCCGACTAGTGAGACGGTGGTTAAAAGGTGTGATCAATTGAGCGAAGTCGACTCTCAAGGGTATCAGAATGAGGATGGGGTGTTTGCCGCTGTCCACGACTAGTGGTACGGTGCCTTTGTACAATACGGGTCTGAACTTGGTACGGGAACAGATTCCCCGGGTTCTCGGGGGTCCGTTTCTACCGTTGCAATTAGCAGTTTGATACCGGTGCCGAGGGTTACCTTGCGTTGATATCTTCTGTGTGATTGATATCACTCGGGGCTTTCACACTAGTCAAACCAAAACCGGATTTGCTGTTCAACGTTATCGCACTGCCCTAGCCAACAATGCCGGTAACCTTTTGAATGTCCGGAAGTGTGAGTTAGGGTTCCGATATCCAACCCTACGGCCCACAATCCACCACAAAACCAGCCGCAGCAAAGCCGCATCCTTCTCTTCCTCTTTCTCTCACATTACACTTCAACACAACACACATCCACCTAACATCAATCCACCCACAGCCCTTCGGGGCAATATTTCCCACCCACCTTTCTTTCTCAACTCCACGCCTTTTAATTCACTTTCCCTTCCCTTCCCTTCCGCTTTGCCCGCCCAGGGTGAACTGGCAAGGAACTAGCTCTGGCAGATAGGACCGCTCCATGATCTTATCTGCACGGCGGCCATGATCGAGATAGTCGGCCGGCGGAAATGATGGTTGTTGCAGAACGTGGCCGTCGCTTTTCTCCCCCCTCGAGGGGGCGGGGTGGTTGGGCCGGTGACGACACCGGCCCACACCAACTGGGTTGATTCGCTGCCACACCACCCCGTTCCCCTCGACTCTCCAACGCACAGACTTGGGTCGGCGTCGGCTTTCGGGTATGTCTAACCAACCAGCCATGTTAACGAACGGGTTTGAAGAGTCGGCTAACATATTAAGTGCGGGATATGATAGCACAATGTTGCGTGCGTGTCCGACAAGCGGACGAAGGATAAGAAGGAGAAGGCAGTCAAGGCTGCCCTGCGGATACCGGGAGGGGAATGGACGCAACTCGAAGATCAAGAGCGAAAATTGCCCCGGTAGTCTCGGGGGTGCAACCAGCAGGATCTGGGCTGCACAGTAGAAGGTGGTTTTCTCACCATCGCTTCCAATTTCACACAGCGCTGTCTGTTCGACCACCTTCAATGGTGAGTGTTCTTCAATTCAAGCTGTCGGTTGATCACTGCTAACTATTCACTACAGGGGATAAACTGCCTTCCCTCCTCAGCAGAACTTTGCATTATTTGTGCGGGTTCAGTTGCGTGGGCGATGGCTGACTCCCGGATCACGATCCGGCAGCTTGCCAATGCCCACGCCGCTGGTACATTAGCCTGTCTGGAATTTGGGTCCACAGAGGAAATCGTTTTCCGGCAGCTCGCCAATGCCCACGCCGCTGGTGCATTAGCCTGTCTGGAATTTGGGTCCACAGAGAAAATCGTTTTCCGGATGTGGAGGCTCCCCGGCCCGTGGCTCATGCTGCTGTCAATTTCGAGGTTCGTTCTAACATCCACTCCCGACTGCGTGAGCTGTACTGACTTGTAGAAGCTGCGTCCGATTGACGACCAAGTCGCTCGCCATGCTTCCGACCAAGAGGCTGAGCATAGCATCCAAGTCGCCGTTCGTCATGCTTCTAACCAGCAGCCTCAGCCTGGCATCGAAGTCGTCCAGAACCATCACCATCAGGCGGAAGCCGTCGTCACTGCCGAGGATCCCGATGCGATCCGCGAGATAGCTGTGTTTTTGTTTTCTGCTGTGTTTTTGCTTTGTTTTTGCTTTTGTTTGGCGGTTGCTAGGAATAATTGTTGCTGCTGAGTTTTTGTATTACTGCTTGAATTACTGCCTGAATTTCAATGAATATTTTGATCCACCCATAGTGTCTGAGACTTGAACTGAAAGTCGTTTTCTGCGGCCTGCGGCTTACGGCCTGAGTGACAGTTGACACTCCACTCCACTCCATTCGCGGGCTGGACGAACAAGGTAGGTATCATATGTACCATTACTCGTACAATACGCCACGTTCTGTGTGCTCCGCACGTGCTCTATAGTACACAAAGTAACAACAGCTTAGGTAGGTACGCCACATTCCCAGTGGCCATCGCCCGCCCGTACATTGGCACGGTCCGCCGTCCGCCGTCCGCCGTCCGCCGTCCATCTGCACAACTCCAGACCCCACTCCAGACTCCCGAGTCCACGCGCAGGCCCGCAGCCCGCAGGACCGCAGGGCGCATCCTGGTTTATCTGCAAGACTGCAAGACTGCAAAGGAAGATTAGTTATGCCGCAGTTATGCCGCATGGGACCTGTGTAACACCTCTACCTCCACCTCGACCTCCACCTCCACCTCCACTTTAACCCGGCTCAGCCCAGCCCAACCCGTCCTATCCCAGCGCGTCCCAAGCTAGTTCACAGCTGCCGAAGAATGAAGACTGAAGACTGAAGTTGAGTTTCCACGCAGTGCGCACAGAAGGGCCCATAACTAACCAATCAGGTTTGTGAAGGAACGTACATCCGCCGTCCGCCGTGCGCAGGAGGGAGCGCAGGAGGGAGGGTGAGCGATCGCTTTGTCATCGACGCATCGACGCATCGGCCGGCGAGCTGGAAACTAGGCAGAAACTAGGCAGAAACTGGCCAGAAACTTGAAAGACACTGAACACTTGACGGTACTTTCCCGTCACTGGCAGAGGAGAATACCGCGCACGGGGAGTCGGCGTCCGATGATACGGTGAAGAGGGAATGCGAGACTTGAGTTAGGTTTCCTATTCTCCGGGTAGAACGTAGGTGTCTTGACGGATTCATGTCATACAGACGGTCGTCGGTTGTGAGGGAATTTCCCGTTGCTTATCGCGACTGGCGACTTGCGAGTGTCGCATCACCCCCCCCCCCCCCCCCCCCCCCCAACAGACTCGACACTCGACGTGGGTGTAACCCAAAACATGAGATATCATCCTGCATACCGGGGTCTGGTACACTACTCTAGTGATTTGTCATCCGGATATACAACCGGGATATATAACCCGGATTTACGGAATCCCGGATTCGCGAGTGATGCGGGGCCACGGCGGTCATAGCCCATCGGGGCGAGGGCTGAGGGGACTCGGGGAGGGGAGGCTATGTACAAAACATACATGGGTCATTGACTCATCGACCTATCGGGCCGCTTGACGGAGGTTGAGATGGACTGGATATGGCTGTGGATATGAAGACGGAGTGTATTGTCCATGATCCAGATACTCAGGTTGCATGCAATTGACCGTTTCAAAGATAATCTCAAATTCACGAGTGACGTCGAATGTTGCCCTAGCCGACAGACCGCCACCGCCGCCCATCGCAACGGAAACCATGAGTGTCTGCAACCTTGATGTATTTTATTCTACACCCCCTTCCATAGAGTAGATAGGCACTTCCTGCGCCGCCGCCTGCATCGTCTAGGTAGATATGTACAGCTCCGCTCCCAACCGACATCCCACAGCCCAGCCCATCCTTCCACTCCCTTTCTCCCCCTCTTTCGTCGAAAAGTATATATACAGAACCCAACCCCCCCGCCTTGACCATCCTTATCCTTATCGCATGCAACAAATAAAAGCAAACCAGCCCAACAACTCCCTTGAAAAAGAAAACGAAAAAAGCCAAAAGAAAATGTGAAAGAAAATGTGAAAGAAAAGGTGTAAGAAAAGGTGTAGGAAAGGACGAGACATAGGAGATTCCGCGAAACTCCAATTCCAATAATCGTTCTAACCATTGCATCGTCGTCGTCGTCGATATTTTAATGTCGTCCGTGGTGTAGTAGTGTCGTGGGGCAGGGTATGCAAGCAGGGGGGGGGGGGGGTTTACTGCGACTTCTTCGCGCCCTCCCGCGCCTTGCTTCCCTTCTTAGTGTAGGACTCGACAAAGAACGCGACGAACAGGTAGGTGAGAGGGGCGAGGTAGAAGCAGTTGGTGAAGGTGGCAAAGATCTCGCCCGAATTGCTGAGGCAGGGGGTTTCCTTGTCGAGCTTGACGAACAGGTGCAGCGCGGCGAAGGAGCCGCCGACGATGAACTGCGTGATCTGCAGTGTGGTGAGCGACTGCTTCAGCAGCGCCGGCACCCGGATGTGAAGCCCCGTCAGTGTGTAGTACGTGTACATCAATGCGTGGATCAGGCTGTTGAAGATGCAGAAGATCCAGATCGGGGGTGCCATGTAGCTGCGAGGAAAGAGTTAGCGCAGGATCACGATAGCTGCGCGAGAAATGGAGGGGAACATACCGGATACCAGCCCACATGCAGATCATAGCGCCGGCGTGATGGTATGTCTGCAACAAGCTGCTCTTGCGGCCCTTGAGGAGGATGACGGCGGTGTCGATGACCTCGTAGAACTTGCTGAGGTAGAACCACCAGCCGTACCAGGCGAGCGCACCCTCCCACAGGCCCTCCATCGGCACGCCGTCAAACGAGCCCTCGATCCCAGTCGACGTTCCGTTGCCCATCATCAACACGCCGCGGGTCTCCTGGCGGATCTTGCACAGACTACCGATGGCATTGGGCAAGCTGCTCTTGTCGAGGGCGTGGTGCAGGCCACGGACCATGCCGACGAACGTCCATGCCGAGTAAACGGCGAGGAAGATGTTGTGCGCAACGACGAACGCCTTGAAGAGCCGGGTCTTTGCGATCGCGTAGGGTTGGCCGTTGGCGCAGTGGTTCAGCAGGTGCGCGGATACGGCGTAGACAGCGGCAATGGTGAGCGGCACACGGACATCGAGGAGGGCAGCGTAGATGTCTGCCGGGATTGGCACGTGCTGGGGGACGACGAGCGACGGCTGTCCGGCGTGGAACTCAGGGGTGAAGGGAGAAGCCGGAAGCGCCAGGTGGATGCTGCTCAGAGTGATGGCCATCTTTTCTGCTGCTGTGGACGAGACTGACGATGAGGAGATCTGGATGAATTCTGGTGGAGCCTGAGGCTGTATATGAGCAACTGGCGGGTTCTTGGACGCGGCGAACTGTTGAGAGCTTGGGGGCTAGTGTGGGGGAGGCAGGAAGCGACGAGCAGGAGAAGCCGGGCGGCCAGAGAGGAGGGGGGAAGGCGAGAAAAGTATAAAGAGCGTCGTGGTTGGTCCCTAGCTGACGGCGATGTCTTGGACAGGGCGATAGCTGTTCGCTTAGAGTTTTTTTTCTTTCTTTTCTTTTTTCTTTCTTTTTTTTTCTGTTGAGCGCCGGGCAGCAATTGGGTTAGCGACTCTGAGTTCTCCCAACAAAACTGCTCCGAAGACGCGGGTGCGTGCCAAGCCGCACCGTGTTCGAAACTCCGCTTTTCCCAGGATTTGAGGGAGGGACGGTGCGGCACGGCTGACTGGCATGCATTTTGTTGCTGCTGGAATTTAGCCATTCTTCAGCAGATTCGTCAATGAGGAGAGCTCGCGAGAGTTTGTGTGCACGAGTATCGATACGGATGCCTGGACGAGACGACGACACGACCAGACGGCGAGAGGGCGACGCGACGAGACGACGCCACCTCACGGATCATCTCCAGAGTCCGTGCTACTGCAATATCCTGGAACCAACACCCCGCTCGGCCCCAACCGTGGCCAACGGCATCGGTTGAGCTTTGTTGGGCTCTCTCCCTGCAGGATGACGAGACGAACAGCACGTCTAGAGCTGCAGCTGGCCCTCCCCTCCTCAACCTCATCCGCGGCTGAAAAACGCTTGTTTAACCGCCCTTTTCTTCCCCTCCACCTGCTGGCGTGGACTCGGCGAATTTCTCCGCGAGAGGGATGGGAAGCAGGGGTCGAGTTACCTCGGCATCGGTACGGCCGGCCTGGGAAACGGGCTCGATAAAGATCGTGGCCTAGGCGATGGGAGAAAAGGCGGAGAAGCCGATGGCGAGAGCGTAACCGTAGATGGGTTAGCCGCGAAAAAAAACTGTTGGATCCGCGACAAGGTGTCGAGTGGGGTGCAGGAACCACTCGGGAGTCGGCCTTGCTGCAAGCGGGATGGGTGTTGTGTCAACTGTCACTCGCGCGACGTCGTTTCGACAGTCAATATGATGTTCTCTCTCTCTCAGAAATCATCCACCTGTTGCGATCGCAAGACGGCCGGAATTTGCGATCTTCACCGTCGATCAGTTCCCGCGAAACGCGTGTTTGGCCCAAAGTCCAAACAATGGAGAGCCGTATAAACAGCCCACAAATTCACGACAATCCCGAGGTACCTCGCGGGACCTGCCTCGCGGGACCTGCATACGATCTAGGCATCGACTCTCGCGTGCGCGTTGTTGAAGATTAGCGTAAGGCTGCAGTTTACCGGGAAGATCTCTACTCGTATTCAGGCTGTATGGAAGGCTGCGCACGAATCGGTTGTCTTATCTTATCTTGTCTTTGGCCCGGGTATTATCTCTGGGTCTCGATCTTATCTTTGATCCTCACGCGACCCAACGGCTGACATAAGCGTGAAAGCTGCAGTCGCTGAAGCCGTCGAACGCAAGGTTTCGAGGGTGAGAAAGTATAAACACGATCACAATCTACGCGTACAAAGTACCATGCGCATCGGGTACATATGGTTTATCCCGTCGGAAACCTGCACCCTAGCCCAGTGCCCACAGATCTAGAACGAACTTCACCACAAAGGCTATCGCCGAATCTCCGATCCGGGGTGAGAGTATAATACCGTAAATCGCCGACACGAGGCGTGTCTGCGCACTGGGTGCACATACAGAAACGGTCTAGATCTGGAATTCCTCTCTTACATACATACCGCATTTAGGCGCGCGCCTTGTACCTATCCAGAAGTCTATGGCACTCAGGCTCCGAAAGAAACTCATATACCTATTAAGGTTCCATGCCGAGCTGATTGAACTCAGTAGATTTGTCTACCCCACCCAAAGACTTTCCATATTCCCCCTGCGAGTTTACGAAGCGGCGAGCGTATGCATACGGCCGCGCTCCAGATCAACCTGTCACCTCCGGCGGAGGTCGTTGCCCCACCTGCAGTACCTTGCTGCAACTCGTGAGGCTAAAATGATGTCATATTTTTGTCGAACCACTGTCACACACAGAAGACTCCGTGGCGCAATGGTAGCGCGTCAGATTCCAGACCTGAAGGTTGCGCGTTCAAATCGCGTCGGGGTCATTCCTTTTTTGCCCGTTTTGGCCCCACCCTCAACCCAACTATCCCCCCCGCTCCCCACCTACTATATACCCCTCCGCTCCCCACACTACAAACTAACGCGGCGAGGAGTCGTGGCAGATGCACAACACAATGTACGGGACTTCGTGGCTCAGATAGTTTGAGTGTTCTTTCGTGGGTTGGGGCCGAGTCTCGCGGCCGAGTCTTCCAGCCGACAACCCACCTGGGCAAAAGACATACAAATTGCGTACGTTTCTACATACATACCAGACTTATGTGTGAAAAAGACTGGACTCCGGCGGATGAGAGATCGACCCCCTTCCTTCCTTCGGCGGTCACTGGTCAGTGGTCAGTGGTCACAATCGAGATCTATCATCTCTGCAAGCACCCGACGGCCCTGTATCTATTTACTATCTCCTGTTCGATCCCGCTAACCACATATAGCTCGCCGAAACAGGCAGCGGAAAAAAATGTTTCAACCTTCTCTTGTCTTCCGGATCCGTGGTACGAACATGGAGGAGGAACGAGAATGAGAACTAGGTACCGGTATTCCTCTTTACCAGTCGCGGCCTCGCGGCCCCTCCATGCGCAGGGTCCCGTTACTACTAGGTAGGTGGTAGGTGGTAGTAGTAGTAGTGTCTACGCTCTCGAGTCTCAACAGTAACAGTCAACAGTCAACTGCCGACGTTCCCGCATAGGGAGTCACTCGCTCACTGCGATTCCACCGGTCTTGTCTACTAGGTAGTGTGTTGTGAGATCATCATTCTGCCGCATAACTAGATATGGCAGTACATGGACAGCTCGGAAATGGCCGGAACACCTACAATTACGGAAGGCAGTGCAGCTAGCTCGAGGAGGAAAAGTACTTACCTAGGTACCTAGGCTCGGTGGTGTAGCTATTTTCAACTTGGGACTCGATGAGGTAAGAACTTAGGTACGGAAGTGATAAAGCTACGATGTGTTTTCGTGTATGCGGTTTGTATTTAGTCGCCAATCAATTAGAGCAGAGACGGAGACGGAGATCGTGCAGGTAGTTCGTCCAACCCGCGAATGGAGTGTCAACTGTCACTCGATCCGTAAGCCACAGGCCGCAGAAATCGACTTTTAACTCAGACCCAAGTACCTATATGCCAAACATTCATTGTAATCCAAGCAGTAATACAATAACCCAGCAACAACATGTATTCCTGGCAACCGCCAAACAAAAAGCAAGACAAAACCAAAAACGCAGCAGAAAACAAAACCAAAACCAAAACCAAAACCAAAACCAAAACCAAAACCAAAACCAAAACCAAAACCAAATCACAGAAAAAACACAGCAGAAACCAAAAAAATCAAGCAATCCAGCGAAACTCATCACTGCTCGCGAAGGCTGCAGCCGACCCGCGGCTTTGCTGCCAGCTGATCCAACCACTCCCAGCCCCCGCCGGGTCACCGTACGGATGCGCATTAGCATCGTCCGCCCACCAGAAAAGGTCATCGTGTGGGCTGCCATGTGCTCGGCCACCCACCCACCCACCCCCCCACCGACAAGGTGTCTGGCAGCGAGGGGGAGTCTCGCTCTCCCTCATCCCTCTCCGCTTTTTCCGCCTCCCCGTACTGGGTACCTGTGGATTCCTTGAGACCTCCAACCGCCAGTCTGACCGTCTCTTCTTCGTTCTGCGGAACGCGGCACAGCCGCAGATGAATCGGTGGCAGGCGGCGACAGACGACGGAAATGATTCCATCGTTTCGGTATCGTATCATAGTTTTCGGCCGGCTTTCCGTTCTTCGACCCGACCGACGCGAGCATCGGTGGGGAGTGACACTGGATTGTGAGGGATGCAGCTGTCGCTGCGAGGCATCGGCGCAGCGGCGTGGGCATTGGCGCCTCCGGATCGGGGTCCGGGAGTCTGCCAGCGCCCACGCAACTGAACCCGCAAAAATAGTGCGAAGCTCTCCTGGCTGGAGGGATAATTATTGCGGTACGCTCCAAAGGAATCCATCCACAAATGTAAGAACTTGATCGTGATCATATCCAGTTGATTGTCTTGGTTGTCTTCGGTATTGCCGGTGCGGATAAATTTGGCCTCACCTCCAGGTAGGGACGGCCGTAGGCCTGAATCCTGCAGTGAATCGTTAGCAGTGAGAAATCGACATCTGGAACTGAAGAATACCCACCATCGAAGGTGATCGAAAAGACAGCGCTGTGTGAAATTGGAAGCGATGGTGAGAAATCACCTGCCAGCGTGCAGCCCAGATCCTGCTGGTTGCACCCCCAAGACTACCGGGGTAGTTTTCTCTCTGGATCTTCTTGTGTCCATTAACCTCCCGGTATCTGGGGGGACGCCGTGGCTGTCTTCTCCTTCTTCATCGTCGTCCGGTCGCCGGACATGCAGGCAATATTGTGCTATCATATCCCGCACTCAATGTTAGCCGACTGCCCGAGCTTGTTAATATCACTGGATGGTTAGACATACCCAAAAAACGAGGCCAACCCAATGCGGTGCGACGGGAGAAAGCGGCACGCCTAATGTCGTAGGGCTTTCCTCCCGCGCCGACCCAAGTCTGTTCGCGGGAGTGAGGACGGGAAGGAAAAGGGAATTGAAAAGGCGTGAGGTAGGGAAAGAAAAGTGGGTAGGAAATATTGCCCCGAAGGGCTGTGGGTGGATTGATGCTAGGTAGGATGTGTGTTGTGTTGAAGTGTGATCTAAGAGAAAGAGGAAGAGGGGAGCAGCTTTGCTGCGGCTGGTTTTGTGGTAGATCGTACGGCTTATTTGGGGTTGGATCTCGGAACCCTAACTCACTCACACGTGTTCTTCCTGTCATTTAAAGGGCTATCTGCAGTGTCGGCTAGGGCAGTGCGATAATGTCAAACAAGAAATCCGGTTTCGAGTTTGATGGTTTGACTAGTGTGAAAGCTCCGAGTGATAACGAAACCACACAGAAGATACCAACGCTACTAACCCTCGGCACCGGTATCACATTGCCAATTGCAACGGTGGAAACGGAACCTCGAGAACCCAGGGATCTGTTCCCCTACCAACTCCAGACCCGTACCGTAGGTACAGTAGGTCCAGTATCCACTGTCTTTCAAGTTTCTGTTCAGTTTCTGTTCAATTTCTGGCCAGTTCCTAGCTCACCGGCCGATGGTTCGATGCGTCGATGACGAAGTGATGCCGCTCCCTCTGTGTAGTGCGGACGGCGGATGTACTCCCCATTGCAGACCTGATCGTTTGCGGCACATTCTGTGCGCACTGCGTGGGAACTCAACTTGTTACTTCAGTCTTCAGTCTTCGGCAGCTGCTTCACCTCGGCTGGGCTGGGCTGAGCTGGGCTGAGCTGAGCCAAGCCGGGTGGAGGTGGAGGTGGAGGTAAAGGCGGAGGTAGAAGTGGAGGTGGAGGTGTTACAACCTACCTAAGTCCCATGCGGCATAACTGCGGCATAACTGCGGCATAACTATAGCAATCTTCCTTCGCAGTCTTGCAGATAAGCCAGAATGCGGCCTGCGGCCTGCGCGTGGAGCTCTGCAGCTGGACTGGACAGCGGGCAGTGGACGGTGGACGCATTCAATGGCAATAGGCGAGGAATGAGAATTGAGCAATGAGCAATGAGCATACGGCGGCGCGGCTTTTACTGCTCTATATATATGAAGGAAAGAGCAAACAGAGGATAGAACGTGGCATATGTATGGTACCGGTATTCGACGACCGGTAAATAGGCGGTATGTATGTGCTGCAGCGAATCATGTGATATCACTCGGCGTGGCAAATCGTCGTCATCGAGAACTTATGACGGATCCGGTTCTTCAGAGTCACCACCGACTATGGCTAAAACAAATGCACCAGGTAGATCTCGTGAGAAGTGCCTGGAATAGTCGCAAGGTTTAAAACAACATGGCCAAAGCCCAATAAGCAGGTCGCTACAATGTTCATAGCAATCACTCGGCAAACATACCCAGCATCGACAAGATTTCAAATCCGTATGTACAATGTATGCAGAGCTATGAACCACAGGAAACAGAAAAAGACACTCGCTCAATTCATTCAAACACCTAACATTTAGATATCCGCTCAACAATGAAACGCCCGCAGCAAGGTATGAAGTCATGAAGTTATGAAGCAGGTATACAGGTATGATCGGTACCAGAAATCCGGCCATCATGCAAGACAACCGCGCATCAAGCAAGAAGTTTTGCAACACAAACCCTGATTACTTCGCCTTCTTCCACGGCTTCCTCATCGACTTCGCCCTATCCAGCAGCGCGGTTCCACTGCGCGACTTCTTTCCCTTCTGTGCCGCGGCCGCATCGTAGCTCACAGTCCTGACCAGCGCCTCCTCTAGCGTCTCTAGCGTCTCCATCCTGTCCTGACTGTCGTGGCGGCCGTGGGAGCGGTGGCGGTGAGGGAGCGACGGACAGCTATTCTCCTTGCTGTGGTGGGAACTCTTGCCATCGCCAGCACTCTTGCGGAACAGCGAGGAGAGCTTGCCATGGATACGCGTGGACGACGAGGCGTGCTCCGGTTCCGGCTCCGGGGGTCGGTCGGGGATCAGGTCGATCAGCGGAGCCCGCGGAATGAAGACGGTGTTGTTTTCGCGGGTGGGGGGTGGGGCGGGAATCGGGTAGCGGCTGTCGGTGAAGGGATTGGTCGGAAGAACTGCCGCCGCCGCAGGATCGACCTGGCGGTACCGCAGGGGTCGAGTTGGGTCGGCGAAGGGATTGCGGGGGTTGCGGTTGATGTCGTTGGGTGGGATTGAAGGCGGCGGCAGGCCGCGAGGCTGGAGATCGTGCGGTGAAGTGCTGGATACACCCATGGGGGACGGCGGTGACGTGGATGGCATCGGTGTGTAGCGAGGCGGCGGCGGTGTGTTGGCACTCCACCTGTCGCCGAAGATGTCGTACCAGGAGACGGGGGGTGCGGTTAGGTTGCGGCTCGGATTGAAAGCACCCCGACCTAGGGTACTCCGGCGACGTTCGGGCTGAGGGGGATTGAAGGTGTTCTGACTTAAGATACTCCGACGACGTTCGGACTGAGTGGGATAGGTAGCGCTCTGACCCAGGATACTTTGGCGACGTTCGGACCGAGTGGGATAGGAAGGGGTCGACAACTTCGTAAAGCGGCGGTTGGCAAGCGTGTAGAGCCCCCTTCTATTTGCAGGGTCGACAGCACTGCAGTTGGTTAGAGCGAAAAAGAAGAAAGGAAAAGGTGAGCCTTACGAAGACGGGTCCAATCGGTCCGATCGAGGTACAGACTCCAAGCCTTCAAGGCTAATTTCAGGAGAAGTTGAATCTGTGCTCCTAACCGTGCTAGGCGGCGACCCAAATCGCTGATCTGGCGATTCGAACAAGCAGAAGTTGCGGTGCAGTTTATGTCGTGCCTTCACCTCCTCCGCTTCCTCGTCGGCGATGAGACTAGCACGCAGAGTTTGGATGTGAGACCACAACGGAATGCAGTCTTCCCCTACGATCGGGCTACGGCCCTCGTTCATCACTGCTATTTCTTCACTCTCAAATGGATTCTGCTCATCGGGAAGAGCCGAGTGATCACTCGCCTTCTGCTTCACCATACCCATCTCTTCAGTCTGAAGTTCCTCTTCACCGTAATCATCACAATCTTCACCACGGCTGTGAGTAGTGCGTCCGGCTGGCCGGTGTGACCCCCGGTGAACAAAGTCCACAATCTCCTCTCCCACCTCCAATACTGCCGCAGCCCGGAGCTCCTCGATGTACCTATCCCTCCTGCGCTGCTCCAACTCCTCGACGCGTTCCCGTCCACCACCCACGGCACGTAGTTTAGCCAGCATCGGCTGTAGTAGATCATCTTCTTTTGCCGCCCAAAGCCTCTCCCCCTCCCTGCGAGCCGGCTGGTCCTCGAGCCACTGTAGGAACAGCGGATGACGAAAGAAGGTGGAACTCTGGGGGGGCGGGGCCTCGAAGAGAGTTGAATTGCTGTCTGAAGCGCGGAGATCACTGTCGGTGTTTGAATCTTCCGGGGAAGAGGAGTAAGTGCTACTTGGTGGCGGGTGATGGATGGATTCGTCGGAGTGGAGGGGGCACGATTCGTCGGAGTGGAAGAGGGACGGCGAGCGCGTGAGGGGTGGCATCGCGGACAGCGCCAGCGACAGCATCGATGCTTCGGCATTCGGAGAGTCCACGACGGTCAAGGAAGAGGGGTAGGTGCGCTGAGTATTGGCAGAGAAGGAATCAGTAGTAACATCACGGAGCACAATGGCATCGTTGAAGGCTGAATCGCCTGTCTGGGGTGCAGTCTTCCGCCGGGATGAACGAGCAAGGGGGTTCAGAGTCACCGCCATGCCGACGGTATGTTCGCTGGACGGCCGGATCTTGCTGGAAGTTTGTGTCTTGAACGGTATTTGATCTTCCCAAGGAGGTGTTCGGACCATAGCTGCCTTCGGGGGCTTCGTTCGGTCGTCCTCAACGCCGAGAAGAGAGGTCTTAGCAACAGCCGGGAATGCACAGAGAGTGTCATCACTATTTTTGTATGATAGACTTGTTGGGATTCCAGTTCCTTCATCCGTCACCATTTCATCACGGGTCTGACTCTCAAGGTGAGGAGTCTCCTCCAACGTGGAACTCAAGTTCGTGGATCGTGAACTCCGATGAGAATCGCGAGCTGAAGGTATGGGGCTTGCTGGTAGCTCCATCTTGTTGAATGCTCTTCAGCAGTACACTAAAGGAGGAGGGAGTAGGCGACGTGGGTAGGGGGTGGTGGGGGCAGATAAAACACGCGGGTTGTGGTCGATGATGGCAGGTGTTGCGGTTGCGGTTGCGTGAGAACTGTGAACATGGGAACACAGGTCGAGAGCTGGTGAAACAAAAATACACTAAATGGGAGCACACCTCGCTAGCTTATTTAAAGAAGATCAAAAGCTTAATGGATCGAGAAAACGAACAAGAAAGTCAAACGTGGGAGTCACAGAAAAGCATATCCTTGCCGAGTGATGAGTTATGTAGTCAGCTAGGTATGCGCGTATCAGAATGCGGAACCGTGGCCCAACCATTGACTCATCGGGGGAAGCTAAAGTCAAAAGCCGAAGACTTTGTCAATTTGAACATCGAAGTCTCCCCACTGCCTCCCGCTTCCTCTTGAGCCTCCTCCTCCGTGACCGGCTCCGCCGCCTCCTCCGCGACCGTCTCCGACACCTCCTCCGTGACCGTCTCCGACACCTCCTCCATAATCACCGGCAACTGGAATTCACGGAGGCCCAGACGCGGAAGACGAAGACCGACCTGAGCACCCCAGACGCATGCGAAGCGTTGTTCCATAGGAGCTGTGACATCATGGTGGAAGTGGTACTTGGACCTTGCTTGGACGGCGGAAGTATCGACCGGAGTCTCCTCGCCGGCCATGCCGTTCTCGAGGTTGCGGTTGAGAGCGCCATGGAGGCCTGGCTTCTGTGTATCCGTGATGTTGGGCTTTCGGTAGCTGTTAGAAAGGCACCAGGCCAAATGCTGGGAGAAGGGGCCGGGTGGGAATGACTTGGCCATGGTGTCGTTGTCGCTGGATCCGTTGGTCGAGGGGATGGAGTCGGCATTGGTGCGATCGTCCTTCTTCTCATCCTCCACCTCAGGCCAGATTGCGCGTACATGTGGATGGTGAGTGTAGTACCAAACGCCGCGCTTCATGAATGTGAAATCTAAGACATTAGAATGTAGATCTTGGCCGCGACGAGTAACGACAAATACGTACTATCAGTCCCACCCAGACATCTCGGCAGCGGCGGGGCCACTGGAATCGCCAAAGAGCCAGGAGGTGCTAACGGCTCGTTGATGGTGTCCGGGAATAGGGTAAACGAGGCCCTCGGCGTCCTGTACGTCTTCTGGTACGGAGCCTGGTAGAATTGGAACTGTCTGGCCGAGCTATCGAGTTGATCCCCACCAGGACAGCCGGAGGGCGTGTTGCCATGTTGCGAAATATTAGACTGCATGATTGGATCGGGGAGATTGTTTGGGGGGGGGGGGAAGGTGCGGGGGCGAGGGAATAGAGGAGTATGATGGGGGAGGACGGCGGAGGATGGAGGCGGATAGCGGAGGATGATGTGGAGGATGAGAAGCGAGGAAGAGGAGTGAAGGAAAACCACACCGGGTATCGTGACGAGAGTTCTGTTGAATAGCACGATGGGCTGATGGCGAATCGTCAAGGGCAGGGCAACTCCACCGGATCGGCACGGCGTTTTTACCTATTTAGGGTGCGACAGAGTCGTCAGGAGAGGCGATGACCAAGTCGTCGGCCGTGATGCATCATGTGTTAAAGAATTCCGGGAAGGATGATTGACTAAAACCGGGCGTATCGATTACTGGAGGCAACCCGAACCACTCGGATATAGAACAACAGAGAACAGTGAAGACGTAGTCCCTCAAGGATGGGCCGCTCGGGTGGCCGCGGCCGTATTGCCGGCCTCGAGATTTTGAGACCACACCCGAGTGAAGGGAGCGTAGAGTTACCTACTACATCTCTGGGTTGAAGTAAATTAACAGTAGACTTCTAATAATAACGTGAATACTGAGAGACAACTACGGTATACTATGTGGGTATTGAAACAAACCCGGCCAAAGGCAATAGGTGATATACCTACACCGGCGATTCTGAGCGATTCGCAACCATTCGGTACAGTTAAAAAGGACGGTACAAACACATGTCGAATGAGAGACCCGAGAACAACAGAGAAAACACGAGCAAAGTCGGTTGCATTACAGCTTATCTGAGGACGCCCTTATTACGTGACAGAACTGCATACAACACGCGGCACGGGCCAAATCGGCGTGGACTGGTCCTGCCTCGGGTGTCGGGCGGGGGTGCAACACACGTTACAGTTGTAGCCGGTGGTAACAGTATTGGAAGCGAGTACAGTTCTCCCGATCGGCGTTTTCCCCATTGAATAATGAGGTAGGTAGGTAGAAGTAGATAATAAATTCGGTACAGCAACAATATCGTGAGAAACGAGCTCTCTATATACAAGCTTCAGTGTTCACCAACCAGAGTACCTGAACATCAATCCCTACGAAAGGTAGGTCTCCCGCGCTCGGATACCCCGCACGGACCATGCCATCTCCGGACGTCCGATACTCTGACGCTTTCCCTACTACGAAAGAAAAGTCGGTTGGGAATTGGAAATCGTACTTGACCAGAGATTTGGAGCACTGGTCACCACTCGACTACGAGTGACCCCTGGTGACGGCAGACGATTCCGAAAACGATTCCGGAATACTGACTGCCAACCATTGTTGTAAGAACCTGGAATAGTAAGCCTTTAAGTTCCTCGCTGTGTGAGCGGCTCGCTCGATGGGAGTATTTCCACAGTACCAGCTTGTTTCGATATGAAAACCTGTAGCCTGAATCAACTGAAAAATACGCGACTACGATGGAAGCCCCACATATGATGGTTTAGAATCTGGAGACGTGCTTTAATGTGCACGAAACGCAAAGATAGACGGTGTTTTAGCTATGGAAACATCGCGTGACTACGCATAAGCAAGACGAAACAATCTGTTTGGAATGGTAAGAACGATCGAATTCAAATTCATTGTAGATAGAGCACATATACCTAGGAGCTTTGTAACAGAAAAGACACTGATTACATCCCAAAGAAACAAAGTAGAAATAATCAGTTTAGTGGAAAGAAATAGGAAAGATGTGATCGTAGGAAATGAGGGAACGGGATTGACAAAGACTACACAGCCTTGCAGCTCGACTTAGCTTCTAGTGACCCCCCTCCCCGTTTGGGTGAAATGGAGCTCTATCTCTGAGGATGTCGTCCATTGAGAGCATTGTCACTGGCAGCTGTTTCGTGGTTTCTTCGAGCCCGTCTATCTCGGCCAGAGTCCGGACCTTCGTGAATGATCCAGCGACATTGGAGGGCTGTTCGTTGTAGATATCAAAGAAAGGCATTCCAAGTTCGCATACGTCTTGTACTCGATGGGCGTGGGAGAAGTCGGCATGCCGGTGATCGCCTCAAACGCGGTGGCGTTGAGAACTTGTACGATGAGGAGCTTGGCGCGCCCTGTGTTCCAAAGTCGGGGAGAATGTGGGTCTTTCCAGATACCCTGCTTGATCGTACCGCCAGCTCCGACTGCCATCTCGTGCGATTGCGCATAGCCTCCCCTCAGCGTTAAAATCAAATCGATTATCGACCCTCGAACGATGCCGTAATCGGCAACCGTTGGAGTCTTTAAGTTTGCGCTGGAGGGTATCACCGATCCTGGTTAAAAACCGGCCTCTCTTGGTGTTCCGAGCAACCTAGGCGCTCTGCGATGGACGCTAGATTCATCCCATAGGGCAAAGCTCGGTTTCCATAGGGTAAAGCTCGGTATGATCTCAAACTCAATTCCTCTAACCGTTTCCGAGCCGGTAACCTTCGCATGAAGTCAGCGATGGTTTCAAACTGCCATGTAATCGGGGGGAGTATTTCACCTGATGTTCGACAGAGTAGCCCAACTTATAAGGCACAGCCACGAACTGTTTGACAACCCCGGGGCTGGTGGCAATACCATTCAGCCACGGCTGAGGTGGTACCACAACGTAGTCCTGCCTCTCTTCGTTTCCTATCGCGGCGGGTGCCAGAGTGTCTTTGTCCGATGGAGTGGGAGTCATGGGCTCACCCGAGACACCATTTACACCCCCCAACGAAGATACGGATGGCAAAAGGTCGGCTGGCTGTATAAAGCAACCATCGACTCGTCTCGGTTGATCTGCAACCCGCCAGGCACGGTCTGCAAGTAGCATGAAGGCCCGTCCGTGACAGTAATCATCTCCCTGGTCTTGGTCGTGGTCATTATCGTGTCTTGAAAATACTCTAGCGAGTCGAAAGCGAAATATCGATGCTTTTGATGGCGACGTCGGAATGAAAGGGGAAGTGGTTGCGATGACGCGCGCCGGAGGTGCGGGGCAGACCGTGGGCTGGGCCGGTCATTGTCGATAGATAGCCTGGGGCGAAACGGCAGGTATTGGCGGAAGTGCCGCTGCAGGTATGGGGAACGATAGCTTTGTCGAAGGGTAGTAACGTTATTATCGTCGAAGGGTAGTATTAATGCTATTCTGGTGAGAACAGTCTTGGTTTCGTTTTTGACGCTTTCGTTGTACCACCGTGGTGAATGCCTCGAAAAGAGGAACCCACAGTCAAGCCCTGTTTTGCACCGACCAGTCAGTCTTTTGTGGTTGTGTACCCGCGCAGTTTTCCTCGCCGGTCAAGAACATTTCACTCTGCGTTCCGCCCGCATGGGGCTGTAGAGATCTGCGATCGATGATTGGTTGAGTTGCCGACGAAGAAGACGAAGCAGCAGTGAGGCTGAGACCTGAAGAATTAAAATGGGATCAACACGGATAGCGATGAATCCTCTCTCAGTGGAAGTGTCGGTTACCGGATCGGGCAACCCCTAAATGTTTATTCCAACCGTCTAGAAGAATGATAAAATACTAGACATGTTTGGTTTCAATTCATCAGCATTTTGCGACCCAGTGGGCCAGTGGTTTCGGTCCAAATGGACAGGATGGCTCAAGACTAATAGGAGGCCGGGACAAGAAATGCGGTTGATCTCGTAACCGTCGCGCGAGCGCCTCCCGCGCTCGAAATTCTGCGAACTCCTGTCACTATTTTGCCTGCGTACCTCTGCGACGCCACTTCGTATCTTGCAATGTCACGGGTGTAGGTGGCTGGGGCCATCGTCCTGCCACTCTTCGCTAGTCCCGATGTGGATCGCTCGGGATCAGCTTTCACCGGCGGCCATGGCGGCGGACTTTGGCGTTCACTCTGAAGTACCTGCAAAATCGGGAGGTGCTTTGAAGCCGATTTCAAGTCCAACTCGGCTTCGGGAGATGTGTGTGCAATCGCATCTGAATCCGCTGTGGTCAGAAAAAACGGCACTCCCATTCTTGAAGTGTGAACTTACCTAAATATTTGGTAGATGCCGGACGTTCACGGGTGAAAGAAGTTGCATTGATCCCATCACTTAACTCGCTGTTCACAACTTGCTGTGTTCATCTTACGGTTGATTCGTCTCTTAGTGATCCATGTGTGAAGTAAATGGACTGATTCGACCCTGACTGTTCCTGGTGACGAAGGTTCAGTGGGTAGCGGATGCATTATCACTCACTCGCAGTCAACGTTTGGTGGAAGTGTTGATCAAGCCCTACACTAGGGGCGAAGTAGGCTAGCTGAGTAGCCACATCAGGTGGGATGCATTTAATATGACAGCCTCTGTTCGATTTTCAGTGCCTCCGTTACAGGTTAACCTCTCTCTCATCACCCACACACCTTTCCTCCAACTTCATACTTTCATTTTCCTACCCGATCTCCACACCTTTTCTACCACTCCCTTTTCCTCATTCAGAACATACAACTGCACCTAGGCATCGGTAAATAGTAATCAGGGAGTACAATGTCAGCGCCACAGGGATTCTTCGATCCCTCCCAGTACCCCGGATACCCAGATCCGTTTGGTTACCACGGATACCCTGATCTCGCTCGTTTAGCAGATTCTTCACATTACTCCGATCTCGCCCAGTTTCACGAAGGCCTGATACCACAGCAGCAACTAATCCCAGGCCACCTTCCTGTCAATAATCCGGGGCCTCCTCCAGGATTCGGTGGGCAGTGGAACCCCTTGGCCCGTACTTTCGGTGGGGTTCCTGCCGGAGGTCAGCCCGCAAGTAATGGTATGTTCCTGCCTTGCTCTTAGAAGATACATGTCTAACCTTGTGCGACTCAAGGCCCGAACATGCCTCCAGGGTTCGGGAATTTCGCCCAGGGTCCGCGTCGATCTTCGGTTAGTGGTTCAGTGCCACCTTTTATGCCGCCATATACGATGCCGTCACAGAATTCCTTCCCAATTCCGAATCCGCCCCCGGGTCTCGGTGGACTCCAATCTCAACAACACAGCCGATCCATTTCGATGGGCGGGGAGATGGATCAATTCGGAAACTGTGGCGCGATGCGACCTCCACCTGGCTTTGAGAATTCTCTACAGACCCGTCCTGGGGCTCCTGGTGACAGTGACGGTTCCCACGCTCGTCACATCCCCACTAGCATCGCGATGGGTGATCAGGATCCTGACGCATCTGCTGGGAGATCGCAAGTAAAGGACCGTCAACTTCGGCACATCCCCACAAGCATCTCGATAGATGATCCGGATACCGATCCATCTGTTGGGAGGCCACAAGCAACGGGCCGTGTGGCGCCGCCTGTTCGTAAGAGTCTCCACTCTGCACGCCTGCTGCAGCTTCGCCAAAAAGTGCCCGGAGCTGAGGAGATGAAGGGAGATTACAGTACGACTCCATGGCGCCGTTTGGCGGCAGAGCCGAGTACGCCGACCCCATCGGTACCAGCATGGCGTCGTACGGCTGTACCGCTTCAGTTCGGTGATATGCCTACGCAAGCTGGCCCGCCTGGTCTCAACTTACCTCCTGCTGGAGCTACGATGACTTTGGAGCAGCAGAACAACTACGCTGTGGACAATTGGACGGATCGTTCTCTTTCGTCGCATGGTGATGGTTTGCAGCAACAAGTTGAAACTGGCAAGGCTGTACCACAAACAGGTCCCAGTCGTCTGACGCAGGCGGAGTTGATTGAAGCGCAGAAGACTCAGCGGCGTCTGGCTGAGGCTTGGGGCGAGCTGAGTGCAAATGGGAGGAACCCAAATCATTCCTCGTCGGTAGTAGGTAGTAGTCGAGGTGGGTTCTCTTCTCTGTGGTTATCATTATATTTGAATTCCGTTCTGACTACAATAGACTTTATGCCTTCAACCGGTACTGCTACAACCGCCACGAGGAAACCCACGACTCAGACGGATTCCCGCCTGCGCATGAGTCCAAATACCCAGGACCGTTTCTTCGCTGAAATGGAAGTCGCACGGGAGAAGGATCGTCATCTTCGTGAGAAAGACAGTTCGCTGATCGAAATCGATATGAGAAACCACAATAGTTATCTATACCCTAACCAACCATCAAAGACCGACCCGTTGCTATCAAATGGTATGTCGAAAGTCAATTATCCTCAAAGACGATCTCCAAGCTAATGGGTAACCGTTCACCATCACAGAGGGGAATCTAAAGGACTTCGACGTGTATAGTTTCTTCGATGCTGTCGAGGCCAAGGAAGAGGCGCTCCTACAAGACGAGCCAGAAACCCAGCAACCTCTGCATTCTCCCGAAGGCGACTTCCCTGCACCATCCGTCGCTGAAAATTGGAACTCCAAAGCTCTGCATGGATCCATGCGGAACTGCAACAACTTATGGGGAGATGCCGATAGCATCACCAATAGCGATGGTGCTTCGTACTCTCGCCCATCGACTCCTGCGTCACCTACCCCGAAAGGCGATAAGTCCGGTTCGGCTCGTCGTCAGTTCCTCATGGCGAAGCAATCTCCCGAGCAGTTCGATCCGCAGCAGGAGGCGTTTTCCAAGAAGATCTCACAGATGGCTATAGGCCGTAGGAACCTTGATCTACAATCTTCTTCCGGTCCCTCTAGGAGTGACTTTGGGCCGCCCAAGCCTGCTCTCAGCGGTTCGTCACGTTTCGGTCCATTCCGTAACGAAGGCAATGGGAGTACCTTCCAGCAGGATGGTGGTTCATCGTCCCGCAAGGTTACCAATCGCAACCTTGCAACTGGTCAGAGAGGTTTATCGAAGTTGTCGCGTCCTGGTGCTTCTCAAATGCGCAAGCATGAGTCGGAGCTTGCCCATCAGATCGATATGCTGCCAGAATCTTCTCCAGGAAACTACCGTGATGGAATAATGAAGGCGGAAGATAACGCAGAGCAAACTGCCGCTAGGTATTGTGGTGACTACGCCTCGCGCAACGATTTGCGCGTGACATCGTCAGACCAGGCGAATGTTTTCAGCAAGCCGTCAACTCAAGACACCACCGATACTGGAGCCTTTCGTCCCGGTAATCGCATCGACACCTCAGGTAGCATCGGCGACGCCTCACGCAACGGGAGGCGCACGAAATTATCGGTCCCGGCGTATGTTTTTAACACGCCCACCCCCTGTAGTTGGGCCTCTCGTCCCGGCAATCGCACCGACAATCCAGGTATTATCGGCAACGCCTCGCGCAAGGGGAAGGAGGTGGAACCGTCGGACCCGGCGTATTTCAACAAGGCGTCCGCTCAAGACACCACCGGTGCAGGCGTCGTTCGTCGCGGTAATCTCACCGACAACTCAGGTCGCATCGCCGGTAATCCGTCAGCCGTGCGTGTTCCGACCTCTGTAGGAGGAGCTGAAACCGCGACCCCGCACTCATCGGCTCCCGCAAAGGCAACCGTCCAATTGCTTAAGCAAGTCGCCACGCCTGTGCCAGCTGTGGGTGGTCCGGCGGCGATCCAGCATTCCACTCCGTCAGTTTATACTGGCTTGAGCTCTGGGCCGGTTTCGATTGCACCGACCAGGATTCCCGGCTTCTTCCACAAGAGCGAATCCGGTCAGCCGCTGCACGCCGCACCTCCAGTCTCAAGCGCCCAGAGCGACGCCCCGGTTGACGCTCGCGCCGCGCCCTTCGAGCCCGCGCAGAAGCGTGCCCTCGTCTACGCTGCTACGGGCAACCCTAAGTTCATGAAGGGTAACAATCCCGACAGCATTCTAACCAGCCAACGCGAGACCATGCGGTTCCTCAACATGTTGAAAGTGCCCGGCTACCACCACCGCCTCCCCATGAGCGTCGACGGTCAGGTGCATATCTTCGAGGGCGACCTACCCCCACTCGGTCTTCCCCCGCTCGCGCCCACCTGGGACTACTCACTATACGAGAAGCCGCCGCGCGCCATCCCATGGGGTGCACTCACCTGCCCTCGCGGCGAAGACGTGGAGGCCGGCGGTGTCTCGAAGCTGTACGGTCCGGAATACGAGTATCTCGACGGGATCGTGTGGGATGCCTCGCTCGGCTGCTCACGCTTCGAGACCGACGCCGAGCGCACGGCAAGACGCGGCCCCATGTGGTGGGAGACCGGCGCGGCGAAGGAAATGGCCGAGGACGACGACGAGGACTTGTCCAACGCGGACGGTCGCATCGCCCGTGCTTCCAGATAGGCAGGCGGCTATGCTACAGAAAAAATAGGCGGTGGGTACTACTGGGTGTGGACGAGAGAGTTAAATGTCTTTGTGCTGATTTGGAAGACATGTCGAACTCGGTTGCACTGTGTCCGCGAAGAAAGACGTGATTTGGTACGGATAGGCGGTGATGAGAATTGTAGGGAGCCCTTAATGCTGTTTTGTTTTCTAAAAAACTACCGTTTCATCCGTACGAAGATCTACAGGCTATCGATCTTCGGGTGATCCCATTTTGTAGTGTGATTTTTCCCCTACCCATGGAGCACATGGCTTTACTGAGTAAACTGTAAAGTTACAGTAGCTATGGTTGCACAAACATAGCAGGTCACTCGCTGATTCCACATTGTGGCAGTGCGGGTTCAATCAAGTCCAACAAAAAATGAAGAAGCAGGAGATGAGGATGGGCTGTGAGATGTTCTTGGTGCGATTTCATTTGTTATTTGTTTGGTAGGCAGCGGCGCCACATCGTGCTGGATGGTAGCGGGATCCTAACCGCCGGCCGGCCAGAGTGGGCAGGAAAGGAGTGCGACGGTTCTCCATAGTCTAGATAGGCTGCATGCGAAATAAAACAGGAAGATCTGTCTCTCTCAAGTCCAACAATCATTACCGACTAGGTATGCTAAGATGCACGAAAAAGCTGTGACTGGCGGGTCGTTTGTGTGTACTGTCAAGTCGGTGTGTGGTGACCGTTGATATCAACCCGTGATGATTATGGCGGGGCCTCTGCTCCTCGCAGTTCGACGATTCATAGTATTGCCATACGAGTTCGGACATTTTTCCGAAGGGAGGCAACAGTCGGCGGCCATCCGAGGCAGTCTCATCTACTAGTAGGATCATGCCCGTCCAGTCCGGTAGTGAGAATCCATGAGTCCAGCGAGATATCGACGGTTGCTTGAGAACCGCAACTTGGAGTCTCAGTCCTGCGGAGTGGTGATCTGTCGCGATGGAAGTGGATCGGCGGAGTGGAGAGTATGCCGCTGAACTCAGAACGGTGAGCAATAGGGAACGTGCGGGAAAGTTGCAAAGATTTCACGTGATGCTTGCCGCAGTAGTCGTAGGCCTCCACGTGCAACTCTCCATCCAAAGCCACAGCCCTGGAGCCCCAGATATATGTACATACTCCCGGATCCTTCCCACTTTGTACTGTACGATACATATGCAGTCCTTGTATCACTCACGAAGTTCCCACTGTACCAATCCATACGCAAAGTTTTCCAACCACGAAACATAACCCATTTAGTGAGGCTGCCAACATATCTGCCATGACAAACATCGGAACAAAGAATGTGGCAATCCCGAAGAAAAACGAAACCATTGGCTCCCGGAACATTGCAGTCGAGAATACCCAGATCCAGACAGCGAGATATCACCTAAGAATAGTCAGCTAGATCCTACTAGTCCCCGCGGATTTGGAGGGGCACAACCTATGAAATCAAGTCTAGATTAAGTTTCATGAAGGAAACTCTTCCTGAGCGATGCCCAAGAGCGATGACGTTGTCATGGACAGCGTAACACCCCGCTCGATAATCAGGGGGAAGCAAGAATAGTTTCCGCATCCCTAAGGATAACCAGTCCCCACGTACACACAACATGAATGGTAAATTGGCTCGCAATTGATGCGTAAGATGGGCAGGTGCAGATACTCCACCATAAGTTTTAATGCGACCACCGTCGATAAGAGACAACTGGGATATTTCTCTTGCGTTTACCGTACCGATTGCATCGCCCAAACCGATGTGCCAGAAGCTGACGGTGTTATCGTCGGATCTGGATGTGAGGAGCTGGCCGTCTGGCGAAAATTCCACTACTAAACACGAGCCTGAAAGCCCTTCAATAATGCTCTGGCTGGTCATCGTGTTCGAAGTCCAGAGCCGAACGGTATGGTCGTCCGATGCCGAGGCGATAAGCGTGCCATCGGGCGAGAATGCCACTGCAGAGACCGAGCCTGAATGGCCTTCGAGGGTCCCGAGGCAGGTGCCCGTCGTCGGATCCCATAGCCGTACGGTATTGTCGTATGATGCTGACGCGAGAAACTTCCCATCGGGCGAGAATACCACTGCCCTAACAGCGCTTGAATGACCTTTGAGAGTGTTTCGACAGGTGCCGTTCATCGAGTCCCAGAGCCGAACGGTATCACCGTTGGACGATGCCGAGGCGAGAAGCTTGCCGTCGGGTGAGAATGCCACTGCAATTACCGAGCTCGAATGGCGCTCAAGAATGCAACGGCAGGTACTCGTCATCAAATCCCAGAGGCGAACGGTATTGTCTGACGATGCGGATGCGAGTAGTGTGCTATCAGGCGAGAATACCACTGCCCGCACCAAAACCGAATGTCCCTCAAGAGTGCCCTGAGAAACCCCCGTTGCTGGATCCCAGAGCCGGATGGTACTGTCGTCCGATGCCGAAGCAAGAGCCTTGCCATCTGGCGAAAACGCAATTGCAATTACCGAGCCTAGATGGCCCTCGAGAGTGTCACCACCGGTAAGTATTGTCGGATCCCACAGTCGTACAGTATGGTCGTCCGATGCTGAGGCGAGAAGCTTGCTATCGGGCGAGAATGCCACTGCCGAGACCGAGCCTGAATGGCCTTCGAGTGTGCCGCTGCAGGTGCCTGTCACGGGATCCCAGAGCCGGACGGTACGGTCGTACGATGCCGACGCGAGAAACCTACTATCGGGCGAGAATGCCAATTCATAGACCGACAGAGAATGGCTCCTAAGGACAGCGCGGCAGAGCGTAGTGATAGGGTCCCAGAGCCGAATGGTGCCGTCGGACGACGCAGATGCGAGAAGTTTCCCGTCGGGCGAGAATGCCACTGCAGAGATTGGATCCGAATGGCCTTCGAGAGTGTCGCCAAAGGTGCCTATCGTCGGATACCACAGTCGGACGGTATGGTTGTCCGATCCCGACGCGAGGAGTTCGCCGTCAGACGAGAATGCCACTGCATAGACCGAGCCTGAATGGCCTTTGAGTGTGCCGCTGCAGGTGCCCTTTGCCGGATTCCAGAGCCGGACGGTGCTATCGGATGACGCCGACGCGAGGAGATTGCCATTCGGCGAGAATACCACTGCAGAGACCGGCAGCGAATGACCCTTGAGAGTACTATGGCAGGTTCTAGTCTTCGTATCCCACAGGCGGAGGGTATTGTCGTCCGATGCCGACGCGAGAATTTTACCATCGAACGAGAATGCCACTGAAGTGACGGTGCTCGAATGGCCTTCGAGAACGCCACGGCAGGTCCCTGTCATCAGATCCCAGAGCCGTACGGTTCTGTCAGACGATGCCGATGCGATGTGCTTGCCATCAGGCGAGAATGCTACGGCTATAACGACGTTTGAATGGCCCTTAAGGGTGTTGCGGCAGGTGCCCGTCGTCGGATCCCAGAGCCGAACGGTACGGTCGTACGATGCCGATGCGAGAAACCTGCCGTCGGGCGAGAATGACACTATCTTGACCCAATGTGTGTGTCCGTCAAGCACCTGTAACATCGAGTCCCAGTGTGCGGGAACTCTCGGCAAGCCGCTAATCCAGCTTGGGATACAGTCTCAAAATTGCTCTCGGAGTATGCTTTTTTCCGGGCTGAGGGTTTGAGCAGAACAATATACTTGGAGAGGCGCAATCTCGATGATTGATCTGAAACTGAGTACGAATCGCACTGCGTCACCTGCCATTGCGGTCAAGTGAGGACTGGCTTTGGCCTAGAGTGCAATGTTAGCAGGATTTCGCGTCTAAGGGCACATCATGAGCCGGCAGGAATCCCCATTCGCAGACAATTGGAGTCCGAGATTCTCATCCAGTTCCATCCATTGACGCTTGGCTAGACGACATCTCTCCAGAAAGAAATAAAGCTCAAGATGTTCCGGATCGCTCACCGTAAGTATAGAGTCAAACGTCTTGATCATGACAACGCCATCCGCTATCCTGCCCATTAGGCTGAGAGCCTCGAGCCAGTGGAGGAAGTGCTCCTTGATGAAACTGTGTACTCGGTCGTGTAATGGTTCCTCGTTACGGAGTTCGACGTCAATTCCGTGTAGATGATCGACCCAATACCGGCACGCATACTGAACCTCCTGGGGAAGGTAACGCCGTACTGTACTATCGTCGATTTCGCTTGTGAGCGTACCCCCGTACCCCAGACCACACAGATCCTGCTTTAGGCGCTTTGACATGAGCTCGAGGCAGCTGACCAAAAGATCGTTGTGCGCCTCTCGCCCAACTATTCTGAACCGATCATCAGTGCATCTTTGATCACTCAATAAATAATCGCAGAAAGACAGATGCAGAACCGTGATCGGAACGTCCTCGCTATTGGAATATCCCAACACGGAGCTCAGGGAATCCAATGTTCGCTCCACCTCCCTCGGTTCCGTGTTTAGGAGTTGGCCTAGTACACCGGCGGTTAGGGCGTCGATTAGTACCACGATGGCTCCGACTATCCGCCTGAACCGTTGCAAGAGCTTCTTCGTTCTCTGCTGAGAGTCGCTATCTTTAATTACTGCGTATCGTAAGATCGTCGTGTACATCAAGTCGAGTTGTTCCGTCGGCGATCCATCTTCCATGCTATCTTTCAAAACCAAACTGAGGCGTTGTGGCGGATAACTGTCCACATGCCCAATGAACCGGCATACCGTTGCAGCGTAGATAAACAATCCACCCGCCTTCTCGATGAGATGATCCTGGCTTGCTTTGTCCGGCCATTCCAACGTCCCTGCGAGGTGATGACGTCTCCGGATTCCGTCCAGCTCGTGTCCGAGAAAAACCAATATATCGTGGTTGACGATTGGGTTAGAGATGCTATGAAGAATAAAATCCCGATGGATATCTTGGGATATCGCTTCGAACTGATGGCGAATCGGAGTTTCTGGCCTGCTGGTGACAAACACTAGCAGCCGCACAGAGCTGACAGATCTCGCTTGGGAAATAAGTTCAAGGATCAGTCCAGTATCTTTTTCATTGTCGCACTCGTCCAACGCATCGACAACTATTATCACAGACTGCAGTTGGGGTGATCCACCGCTCATCTGAGAAAGCGGTTCAAGGATAAGATGTTTCCACTGCTCGCGTAGGCTTTGTCTAGCGACATCGGGGTTGTCGCATACACCTTGAGCAAACCGGCGGCAAGTTCCGGCTGGGCACACGGTAGCTGGTATGCAATGGTAGCGGAAAGTTTCGAAGCATGAGAAAGATCGCCGTGACCTCGGGAAAAGAAGAAACTTGCACCGAGTCGTTTCTCATCGGCCCATTTCCGAGCGACCGTACGAGCTATGGTCGACTTTCCAGTACCGGCCATTCCATTCAACCAAAAGATGCATGCACCGTGATTGGGCGCGTCCGCCCAGCGCATAATTTCCTCAAGGAGGGCAACTCGGGTGTCGTCTAAGCATCTTGGCTCGTGTTCCAAACGACGTGAGTTGAATCCGGCGCCATTGGCACAATGGGCTTCTGCTTTATGGTCCAGCGAAGATTAGCTATGGGAAGTATGTACCGTACGGGTTTCCTCCAACCTACCGAACTTTCCCAAGGATTCTACGGTTTGTGGATCAGGCTGCTGGTAGTAGTGAATCGACGTAGTTCCTAAATCAAGATGGAAGGATGATCAGGTAAAGTGTTTCCTCGTCGTTGCATAGAACAGGCTACGAACCGAATCCTACGGGCCCCCTGAATTGCGAGTCTCGAATTTCGTTGTGCCTCGAGCCGCTGTAGGCACGAGTGATACTTGCGACACCGGTGCTATTTTTTGTTGTCATGTTCTGGATATCGGTCGTGGTTTCCGAGTCCGCGTGGCTGGTGCTCCGGATGCTGGAGAACCTTTGTAACGCGTGTTTCCGATGTTGAATTCTACTCGCTGTTTTACCAGCTAAATAAGTGATCGTTAGCCACCATCATTATCCAGACGGAGCCCGAGAAGCATGCTGACCATCGTACGTGAACTCACTTCTCCCTCGGGTGTATCCTGTTCACCCGCGAGGGGCCGATCCGGAAGCCCGTGTTGCGTTCTTGAAGCTTTCCGGACACACTCGGACAGCCGTTCCCGAACTATTGTGTAGTGGGGGTCGCTATTGTGGGCGAATTTCACCATGGTTGAGTGGTCGGCAGCGATTGCTACGTACTTATGCATGACCCCGTGAGGCCTGGGGCCAAAGGTTGCTGACGCCTCCGGGACTGCCCGGATCATCGCGCCACTCCGTGTCCAACTTCCATCCGGGTGGACGCCCACAGCTCGAGTGTCTCTAGTTTCAAAAAAGGACACAATCTGGCAACCCCCGAGATGAACTTCGACCGCTCGCAGGAAATCGTCACAAGTGAACCTTAAGAAGTCCGAGTCTTCCGACAGGTTGTAGATGTAGTCTGCATGCTTCGGCTCGCGTACTAGCGTCCTCAAGCGTCTGAGGTCAAGACCTCTGGAGGGTACTCCAAAAAAAAAGATACCAACACACGAGCTCAAGATGACCTTATCGGTATCGCGACCTTCAGGTCCCGATGCATGCGCGATTGCCTATGGATTATAAGCTTCAGTCGTGCCCACGAGTGGAGCGGCATTTTGTACGTACCTGCTTGATGACTAGGCCACCGAGGCTGTGGCCGATGAATATCAGGGGACGGTTACGTTCCTGGCGACATCTGTTCAGCTATTACGTTCTCAGCGAGGCTGCTAGCTCGATTGCACATACATTGTCTCCGGTACGTGCACCCGCAACACTCTTCAACAGCGATGTCGCAAAAGTGTGAATAGTCGGGGCGTCCCTATCGTCTCGGCGGCTCGTGTCGTAGCCGAAGGTGAGGATCCTGATGTGCTCGCCTATCTCCGACGGCAAAAAGTCCCGTAGCCACATCTTCGGCTGGTGCCGCGGTTTCCACGATTCATACGCGTGATCGGCGAGGCCCGTCACAGCAATAATACTTGGGGTTTCGTCAGCGGCAAACCAACGCACACGAGGGCGGGCACTACCCCACTACGGGCATCTGCGCGCTGTACAACGGCGTGATCCCAAGAAAGTCGCAGTCAACCACCAGGCCAGCGACTGTTTCCGGGTACGAAAGGTAGATTCTGGTACCTGGGGAACATTCGGAAAAGGTTGGAGGCTCCCCCTCGGTGAGGGTAATGGTCGCAATCGCATCCCTTTTCGAAGGAAACAACGAAAGTATGAAACCGTCGTATCCAAGAAGCTCTTTCAGATAGACTCTAAGCTCATCTTGCGTGACATGGGGTGGGATGCAGCGAATCCGGAGTGTTCGCGGCCGAGTCGGTGGCTGCCAGGGCGGTATCGACATGTGAGGTGTGGTAGTGGCAGGCTCACGGCCTGGCGCCCGGCGCCATAGAACGCGGTTCCAGAAGTTCGACATAGGTTCCGCGAAATATGTACCAGGTTTCGAGCTGAAGGTTGCAACAATCTTCGTGAAAACAACCGAAAGAGCCTCTTTGGGCAAGGGATGAGGATTGACGGTAAAAAGCGGGGATACTCTGCTTCAGGCCCTGGCCAACACTCAAAAGTAGGCGACTCGGAGATTTCTGACAGCACACTGTGCAACACGCATTTTCTCCATTTGTGGTGGCCGACCAATCGCTGCGACGAATACCTCCTCAAGCGCTAACTATCGGTGGCATCACGCATCACGCAACGTATCGAAGATTGGTCCATTTCTGCGGAGTCGGCGCGCTATTCGCTGGCGTCACGTGACGTCATGCACGGATCCATGCACTCTCCGCTATTTGTACTCACATAAGTCAACCAATTAGCATGGAATGAAACTCCCGGGCGCTTTTGCGTGCATGACATAGAGCCTCCACTGTGGTCAAGCTGGAGCAGGAACATCTACTGCCACGACGACCGCCCGGACAGATTCCCGGCTGGTCGCGAATTGTACTTTCACCCGGACTGATAGCCGGTGATGGCCAGTCTCCGTGTTCGGTAGAGTTAAGAACATATAGATATATGGTGGCCGACACTTAGAAGAGGTAGCGTGACAGTGGTACCGAGCTCGAAAACAACCCCCATCGCCAGCCGTAATTCCATCACCCAGAATAAAAAAGAATTTATTTTGGCTCTGTAGGGGGATAGAGGAACATGTGTACAAAACCGCTACAGAGCCCGATTTTGATTTGCTGTGGTGGTGGGGGAGTAAATACGCTTTGAAAACATCAACTTTGGTTAGGCAGCCACAGATTCACATCACGCACTAACGCTTTTGGTGTCTGTTTATACCCTATTAGGCAATTCCAGTGATAGATAGCAGCGCTTACTAAGTCTCTTGGTATAGCGCTATACTCTATGGAGACATTCGAGTGTTATCAGGTGCATCTTTGAGTAGATACAGGACATCACTCGCGCTTAGTCACCGGATTTGAAAATCGCACATTTGCCAATAAATGCCAAGGCACTATCTCGGCTAAGTGTCGGCCAGTATAGGCACATGCGGATCTAAATGTGCCGTTATGTGCTTTTAGAGCACTCCCTCACTCCAGTTACGCTAACCGCGCACCCCTCTTAGCGAATTGTGCTGTAGAAATGCATTGATGGTCGATGACATGATGCAACAGTCAGCACATAGCGTGGCACGCAGAAAGGCGTGGAGGTTCACTCGGTGGGAAGGCTGAACATCATTCTACGGTATCTACCGCTCAGGGCTCCATCCGATGACCACCGCTGACTACTCGGCAACACGATTAGTAATATTGAGATAGACCGACGACATAAGTTCAGCCTCGCTATGCGATTTGCGTAAATTTCACAAAATTTCTTCAATCCAGTTGCTCAAATACCACCACCACCACCACTGCTGATATCGTTCAATTTCTCTTGAAAATTTCTTTGACATTGTCATCTTGATAGTTGTGGTGATTAGCACCGTTGGGTGATGAGAAAGAGACCCGCCGACCGTCATCAGCCTCATCTTGGCGGCGCCAAGATCTCAGCCTATCCAAATAATAATGAACTCATCTAGGTATGATAGTCGTGTGGGATTCGGGGCCAGATCCGGTGCGGTCGCCTCAATGTTGTGATGTTCTCTGTTGCTGATTCTATGTTCTCCTAGTTTTTGAGTCTGTCGTTGAAGACAGCGGATATTATCAACAGATGAGACATCAGACATTACCATCACCGCAGATATTATTAGTCCAACACCGCGGACATACTTTGAGGTGGTTGAGCCTGACGAATATTCATCAGGCTGCTTTCTTCCTTGTTCCTTTCTAGTCAATTCAATCAGTCTGAACAGTTGCCGTACTCGTCGGGAGTCCCTCAGTAGATGCCTAGCCTGTTCCCGCAACTGTTACATATCAAATCTACATTCCGATCGCAGCATATCTTATCGATCTTATCCCATCTTATCGCACCTTTCAGGATGGCAGACAACAGAACACCCCGGTATGTACTCTACTCTACTGTTCTAGTCCAAGCGGTTGATCGATCACTCCGTGTAGAAAAAAAGGGTGCAGCATGCCGCTGATATTTCTCCATAAGTTGGGTACCTAGAGAGGTTCATGTACATACACAGATCGGAGTGTTTCACTAAAGGGTTAGGTACCCATATCGTTCGAGTATGCGCGCAACCGTCGGTTAACAGCTGGGAAGCCGTAGCTACGTGACCGCGTGCCAAATGACAGTGTTCTCCATCGTACGGTCCGTCCGGCCAAAATACCTGACGGTCCGAGCCTGAGATGGACCGTTGCAAGATGTGTCCGCCAGATCTGGGCACGGGACGGACGGGTTAGTCGTTATCCGACGGTGGAGGACGACCGTCCAAGTCATGTGAATATGATTCGGCGGATTGATGATTTCTTAGCACCGATATCCTAGGCACCACTGCGTCAGTTCATTCCTCATCGCTCCACAAACTGTGCAAAGTGGCAGTATTCGTACTCGCACGCCTAAGGTGCGGCGCCCGGCCCCTAGTTATCACAGCGCGCTAGGCACCATAACTCACTCGGCAACTCAAGGTTTACGCCCGAAATTAGGTTTTTACCCAGGGCTTGACGGACCGTCATTGACGGCCGTCCTGAGCCGTCTGGCTCGTCCATCCACTGAGAACAGCTTGAAATCCACGTCATGGGCTCGGACGGACGGGAGTCACGTCGTCCGTCCTCGTCCGAGGCTCGGGACGGACGGACTGGAGAATGGAGATCATTGCCAAATACACGGATGCAGAGATGACTCTCGCTCTACTGTTACAGGAAGCCAACAACCTCCACCTATCTCCTGGACCAGCCCACATTCTTCCCTTTGCTAAACGGCTGAAGGCCCACCGGTTTCCTGAGGCACGGCTACCCGGTGATCACATGGTACATGGACGGCCTGCAGAAGAGGACTCGCCGGGGCGGAAGAATAGCAGTGCGATAGTTGTACTAGTAGTTATTAGTGGTGGTAAACTTTTAGACACTCCGAAGCCTCTATCGTATCAGAGTGTAGTGAGTGACGGTCATCTTCGATGATCCACGGATTTCTCGCATGGCCGTAGTTTTTCCATGTGGTTTGTCACACAGCTGACGTTTAACGAGGTGCAGGAGAAGTGCAGGCATTTTAGGACCTCCGTCTGTCTTGCTGAATTTGGATGCTATCTTGTGGGGGTTGCCTCTCGAGGGGTACTGTGAAATGTCGGACGTCCGGAGAGAAACGTGGCTCCAAGGAGGCCACAGAGGACAACTTTCCGAGTGAATATGGTCGCCATTTCGGGCGTTCCGCCTCTGATCACCGGAGCGGATGCTCTATGAAGGTCCTACCTGTAACTACCTATTTAGAGATCATCATTTCCTCCTTTCCAAGGGCATCATCACGATCAACGAATTCACATATATCTCTCCACCATTTTATTGTTGTCTCTATCCACCGATGTACTCAGATAACTTCCGAAGTTAAGGGCGGAAGTCTTTAATCATGACGATAATTTCGAAAGAGGAGAGAGAGAGAGAGAGAGCTTTTTCGGACCGTCAACTGGAGTCTTGTTGTTCTATTGTCTGACTTGACTGATGGTAGGAAAACGCGAAAAGGTTGCAATTCTTACCGAAAACCCACCTTCCGACGCATGCCAGCCTTCAGATAAAAGAAGAAACGTAGATGTGGTAACAGCTACTTCATCGACTTCTCAGCTTGATATCCGTATCTCGCCCAGACCTCCAGGCCGGCGTCGATGCCAACCCAGGTGCGGATGGTAATGAGAGGTAGCCCGTGGGTTCTGAGATAGTCGATCTCCCAACCAATCCGCCTGGCGGCGATGAGGTGGTAGATAGCTGTCATTTTCTCTTCGAGCTGTTGTATACGCAAGGCGGTCTCCGTGCTAATTGTGGTGTCCGCGCCGGTGTTGGTGGGTAGTGGGGTGGTGGGGGGAAAATCGTCCCACCGAATCAAGCCGCCGAGATGGTCCTTCATTCACGTTAGTCAGTTATATGCGTGTACTCGGCGGGGAGGGGGTGTTCTATACCCTATTGGCAAGCGTGTTTATCCAGAAGAAGGGCCGGCGCATGGTGGGGAGCCACGTGAAGGTGAGGTATTCATTTGGGCTCGGGATTCCGGTGATCTCTCCGAGATTGAGGGTGACGAGGTGGAGACGGTAGGTGATGCTGACTTCGATGCCAGATGGGTTCGAGATCCCCTGTGGCACATATGAGTAGGTCCGACTCTTGGCCGGATTGTCATAGAACTCTGAAGCCATCAATTTAAGTCGGGGATGGGTGGCCGGTAGGATGATTTGCGTTGCTATCGGTGTTTCCTGGTGGTGGTAGTAGTGGTGGTATTGTTCTCGTAGCTCTCTTTTTATGGGTGAAGTCACGACACTGGATTCCAACCCTACTCCGTCCGCAAGTCTAGGTATGCGGCTCTCTCTATAGCCCTACTGGCGCGATCGCCGGTTATCACGTGCCTATTGCCCTACTGGCGGATCGATAGTTATCACGTGCATATTGCGATGCATGTGCTACGACTTCTTCCAGTTGATGTTGCCCTCCACCAGTTTACTTGGCACTAGTCCACCATGCGATATCATCTTCAAAAGATATAGGTCGTACTCGGTTTTCCATTCCTCTTTTCAACGTAGTCAAACAATTCTGAAATGTATATTGCAAAGAGAATCGGTGATGCTGGTGATCCTTGAGAATACCCGAATCGAGTTGATGTTCGGCTCCAGCCTTGTTGTTTACAGGGAGTACGCCCTCTGTATCAAGGTTGGCCACGCCTGTGCTTCGTTGCTTCCATATACCTAGTGAATTTGGCCAGCACCCGACCGAACGTGAACCGTTTATAACCGACAATCGAACCGGTTTTTGAAGAGCAACATTCCAACAACTACATACTTGGATACCTAGGCAGAATCCACCAACGCAACTTCATATTTTAGAACCACAAATGAATAGTGAGGAATTGGTTTAAACTCGACAACTAGTTACACTGGAAAACTATTGCCATTGTAAAGCCCAGAAAAGCAGTGGCTATTCGGAATGATCTGAGACGGAGACGTCTGCGCCGTGGTCGAGAAGTAACTGCACCATCGCCTCGTGCCCTCTCCCTGCCGCCCAGGTTAGCGGCGTATTCCCGTACACATCTGAGACGGAGACGTCTGCGCCGTTGTCGAGAAGTAACTGCGCAATCGCCTCGTATCCTTCATGTGCTACCACGCATAGCGGTGTCTCCCCGTCCACTGCTGCTGCGACGGAGACGTCTGCGCCGTTGTCGAGAAGTAACTGCACCATCGCCTTGTGCCCACTCTTTGCCGCGCAGAATAGCGGTGTCCTCCCGAACTCATCAGAGACGGAGACATCTGCGCCCTTGTCGAGAAGTAACTGCACAATCGCCTCGTCCCCTTTTCCTGCCGCACAGAGTAGCGGTGTCCTTCCGTCCCAACATGCGACGGAGACGTCTGCGCCCTTGTCGAGAAGTAACCGCACCATCGCCTTGTCCCCTTTTTCTGCCGCACAGTGCAGTGGTGTCCTTCCGTTCCAACCTGCGACAGAGACGTCTGCGCCGTTGTCGACAAGTAAATGCACAATCGCCTTGTACCCTTGGTGTGCCGCCACGCATAGCGGTGTACTTCCGTTCTCATCTGGGACGGAGACATCTGCGCCGTTGTCGAGCAGGAACTGCACAGTCGCCTCGTGCCCTTCGTATGCTGCCCAGCATAGCGGTGGTTGTCCACCGTTATCCGCGCCATATTCGAGAAGTAATTGGACCACCGTTGGATGCCCTCTCTCTACCGCCGAGTCTAGCGGTTTCATTCTGTCTTCATCCAAGACGGAGACGTCTGCATAGTTGTCGAGAAGTAGCTTCACAACCGCTTTGTGTCCGCGAAGTGCCGCCCAGTGTAGCGGTGTCTTTCCCTCCTCATCTGAGACGGAGACCTCTGCGCCGTTGTCGAGAAGTAACTGCACAACCGCTTCGTGCCCATCTCGTGCCGCCCAGTGTAGCGGTGTACTTCCCTCCAAATCCGAGACGGAGACGTCTGCGCCCTTTTCGAGAAGTAACTGGACCACCGCCACATACCCTTGCTGCACTGCCGCGTGTAGCGGTGTCACTCTGTACTGATCTGAAGCGGAGACGTCTGCGCCCTTGTCGAGAAGTAACTTCACAATTGCTTCGTGCCCGCCTCGTACCGCCAAGAATAGCGGTGTTCTTCCCTCCGCACCCGAGACGGAGACGTCTGCACCTTTGTCGAGAAGTAACTTCACTATTGCCCCATACCCGCGATAAGCGGTTAAATGTAGCGGCGTCATTCGAACCCGATTTGGGACTGAGACGTCGGCGCCCCTTTCAAGCAAGAACTGCACCACCTTCACATGTCCGTTCTGCGCTGCTCCGTGAAGCGGTCCTCCAGCAGAGATGTCGGCACCTCTGTCGAGGAGCAGCTGGGTTGCCGCCAGGTGCCCCTCTGTTGCAACGATCGATAGCAGCCGCTCAGGGGAGCTTCCACTGTTAGGGGGCTGTATGAATGTTTCGATGTGCAGCCCTTCGTCCAGCAACAACTGAACCACGTCGCACTCTCCCCTTTGCCCGACTTCATATGGGGAGAGCCACATCCCAAGACCATCAAGTTTAGGCGGACTGAAACCCCGATGGGTTAACATTTGCCTTACGACATCATAGTAGCCCCACTTCGCAATCGTGAACAACAAAGATTTGTGGTCGTCTGGGAAATATTCTCCGTGTGCTGAATGAGGCTGGGATGGTGGAAGGAACCGCTTGGCTGCTGCAACAGCGACCACAAGAAAAGAAGTAGACTCCATCTCCGGGGACCGACCAAGGATACCAAGAAAGTACTCGACAATATCCACAGTTGATATCATCATTGCGGCTAGCAAAAAGATCGCATCGTGGTTGACCTGCATTGAGTGCTGGAAGTCTGGGGTACAGCGAATTATGTGTAGCCCATACCCGAGCAAGAAAGCGCCGAGAAGCTGTGCGTCTGTTTGAAAAGCGGTCAGCACATGCTAACACCCATTGACATCCACCGAGGGAGGGGACTAACCAAAAGTAGTGGATAATATGATCTGCACACCTGCTATGCTGACGATGTTGTCGTGCCGAGGTTTCAGAGTAGGGAAGAGTTCAGCTAGGACCGGTTAGCGTAACTACATCACAAAGAGTCTGGCCATCATTCTCCCGACAGGTGAATATATCTTGCTTAGAGGGGGGGGTTATCCGCATACCTGCAAGCTCTGCCAAACATCTCCAGCTCTGATCATGAACGACTAAACGTGGCTTTCTTGACTTCTTGTCCACTAGGAGTAGTACTAGTGACGGAATTGGAATTTGCTGGTAGCTAGCCTGGTATCGAGCAAATCTACGCCAAAGTCAGAGTTGATAATTCGATTCAATGAAGGAGAGCATGTACCTTTGAAATATGATATCTTCATCCTTCATTACCCATGTTCGCTCTCCCGCTATGGAGCCTGGTCTCATCGCGGGGCTCGTCAATTGCGACTCCCAAATCTCCGGGTCGTCGACATCTTCAAGGCTAGGAATCCGAAGATTCTTGTCCTCAATGTATTGGAATTCCTCCTTGATTGCCTGTAACATGCGTTAGTTAAACTGACTTTGGTAACTACTCGGAACAGTGCTCCTTAAACTACGGTTTAGGATAGGGGCACAATCGGAGAGACTGTGTCAGACAAGTCGCCTGCCTGTGCCATTGAAGATCTAAGCTCACCTCGGTCAGACGTAAAACATCGCATTGCACACTGGCCTCGATGTAGATCATGTGAGGATGAACAACGATGACGTCCGTTAGAATCCAGGAAGCCTTCAACAGGTTGGCATATGCGTCATTGGGCACCGTGGCTCTCGCGGCAGCACGTAGCTCCATATGGGCCTGTACGGTCAATAGTCAGCCGTGTTGCGTTTAAGCGGACTATCAAGTAGCTGTGAAGGTTCCTACCTTTAGGAGCCACCAGCGGCCTGCTTTTGTCCACTCTTCGATACCTATCAGCGTCCAGCGCTGAGACACTTTCGCCGCCTGCATACACCGTTGACTGAAATCGATCTTTGCCGGACTATTTGTAGCGCCAAAAGCCGAAACTATCGGGAGGTCTCCCGTTCCGACGCGTTTGAGGAATGTCTTTATCCCGTGAACTCCAGCGTCGATCGACTGAGTGGTGGTCTCCAGACGTTGGAGTGATGAACTGATCGCCACACCCGAGAGTTTCCATCAGCACACTCCTTTAGGTTGAGAGTTCCCGTCACCACTCGGTTGGGGTATACCCACTTTCCCGCACAGGTGAGAAGTAAAGCCAAGAGGCCGTTGAGGTAGGTAAGCTGAAATTGATTACCAGGTAGTTAGTCGTACATCATACAATATTACAATCTGGGGGCCGAGGCATCCTACCTTACTCCGCAAACCCTCGACGTCCTTCACTCCAACTGCCCATTTGAACTGATCCCATCCCCGCTTGAAGGACGTTCGGGAGACGTTGCCTAAATTGCGATGCTTGTCATAAGCTTCCCGCAGACCGTTGAGGACATGCATCACCTGCGCCAGCAAATCCTCCACCATTCGCAATCGATCCTCTCCAGCTCGCACTAGGACCGAATTTGGGTCCCCGAACTCGTCTTCAAAAAGCTTAATTGTGGCGTGTAGCGTCTTTAGTTCGTCAACCAGCAGCCGGAACTCCTGTGGAGCCCCCTTCGCGACGAGGAAGCAGTCGTGGTATAGATACCAAGCCAACTTGCCAACCGCGGCGAAATCTCCGACGCCGAATCCGAATGGCATTTCGCCCAATAATGATGTTGAATGCCTGTTGAGAAGTAGTCGTCGTTAGACAATCTAACGGACGAGCGATGATTGCGCTGGATTGTGATCCCACTCGGAAAGCGGGGTCAGCGGCTGAGTTGCAGGATCTGCCGGCTAATCTGAGCTGCAGTTGTAGGGTCGCTGCTGACCTATGAGTCACACGCATCGAATCACCAGATGCTTACGTAGGTCGCGATGAAAAAGAAAAGAGACGTATCAAAAATTCGGTGATTCAGTAGAGTATAATAGGAAGATGTGAGCTGTCACGGAGGAAGCGATCGTATGGTAGCCTCGCGGGGGAGGACCACTCGTGCCGTTCCGGCGCATCCGAACGCGGCGAGGTGGCTGAGGGCCAACGGCATATTCCGTCACCAAATGTCGTTGAGCTGATGAAGATATATGCCGTACGCAGACACGCGAGAAAGGTTGAGAAGGAGAAGGTTATCTTTCTAGCTACCGCTCAGGGCTCCATCTCGTGGGCTCACCTGCCTGGCCTAACCCAATCTCCTCTAGCGTTATCCTCCGTCAGACGTCATCCGATCCTCTCTCCTATGTACCCCCGTACTTTTGCCATCTTATCTTATCGTATCTTATCGTATCTCATCGCTTGGTACTACCTTTCTACTCCACAATGGCCGCCATTGAATGGCCGGAGACAACACAAGCAAGAGGTAAGCCGTTCAGTGTTGAAATTACCATCGATCGGGTCTCCGTGTGGATGGGCGCCGAAATGCGAAAAACTATGAAGGTCGATCATGCTCCACATCGTGCCTAACACGTCTCGATAGTATGCGAAGGGAAACAGTATATGTATTGGTAGGTACTGATTACCTTGCAGAGTACGTACGTGCGTTATACACTCGGTGGAATTACGAAGATATGTAGGTACTTTTTTCCCCACGTCTTAGCGACGTCGGCTGGCTGGATCGATTGACCAGACCGAGCCGCTACATACATTGTACTTGCCGCGAAAGGCTTGTTTTAGCGTACCCGCAGTACGCTTGCCGAGTGATTTGAAGTGTATAGCCCATGCTGGGCAGGACGGAGGAGAGGCTGATAGAGCCGGAAGCTTGTGCGCGTCCGTGGTATAGTAGAGAGACTCCATACACGAGTGATAGCTGGATGCAGCAGAGCCAGAAAATTAGACCAGAAGATATTGGCGGCTGGCCGGTTGGAAGAGTTTATCAGTATGCTGCTCATCTGGGGCTATCGGGATTACTAAAGCGTTGGGCGCGCGGATTGCAAACACCCCTTCCGACTCGTCTTGGTTTACTTGCGCATTTGTGAATCCTCTCTAGTACGGCGGTTGAGAATCCGTCGTACACCGGCCGTGCCGCCCAACAGTTATGCCACGAACCGGACGGGTGGGTGAATAACAAAGTTCCGCTTCCGTTCCTACCAGGTGTACATCAGCACAGGTAACTGGCCTAAACGTTCTATGCTATCCTCCGCAATCAATATTGGCATCCACGCCGATATGTACCAAAACACCACTCTAGCAAAGCCCTCGGTCGATCCGAGGGGACATGGGTCCGCATATTAGCAGCCGTGGCACAGTTTTATCCACGAACTAGACCCACCGCTCGGCTCAATACGGGCATATCACGTGCCGCTGGCTATCGCGCTGTCATAAACGCCCATAAGAAGAATTCTTTTTCGTTGGTATGCCGTAGGTACCTACTCTATTCAGTCTGTGAAGCCCGGAGAGGGTGATAAAGCGATGAAGCTTTGCTTGCGACTTGAGTGCTCATGACGCAGTGGGTTCTACCATTCTAGATAGTAGGATTCTTCTTGCCGGCGAGCCTAAGCCCAACAGCCGACGCACCACCTATCACTCGGTTACCGTATTTTGCACTCTGCTTGCAGTGTATTCTCGACCAGCAGCTGGGAGGTTAGAAATGTCTAGATCTAAAAGTTGATACGTGATGGTAGAGCCTGACCGATGCCGGCAGTATATGTAAGTAGGCAGGTGTTTGAGCACGTGTGGTGGATACTGTCTTGGTACCCGGTTTTGTGCGGGCACACACCCGAAGTCACGCATCTTGAATCATTCGCAGGCTTGGGCCTCTTTGCCCACGCAAGATTTCCCACTATATCTTACTCGCTTCGCTAGGGTTCGCGTAAGAGGTGCCGACTAACTCGGCTTGCGTGTTTCACCAACGCCGACTCATCCAAACACCTCCGCAACAACATCCATTTCTCGGCGTCTCTCTTTAACACACACAACTACAAGAGAAGTGATCACAATGAAGCACAGGAAACACTCCCGCTCCCGTGGCAGCAAGAACGTGAAGTCGAAGCCATCTCCCAAAGCAATCGCATCTTCGCCTTCCCCTTCATCCAGCTCGCATGAATCACAGAGGTATGGTTTGTTGGGCTTATGAAAGCGGTGTGATTGACGGGCGCACTGACCAGCGGTGATAATAGGAGTACAACGGAGAACTTTCTTCAAGAAAATGAGGTCGACCAGTTCCTTTCTCCATACGAGCCGACACCCGCTGGTGATCCTGCGACTCCAGACAAGGGAAATGAGGTTGCCGACGAGTTACTGAACGATGAAGAGATTGACTCCCTGCTGTCGCCGTACAGACAATCCGGCAAGTCGGTGAATGAGATGGATGACGAGCAGCTAGAGGCGCTGCTCGCTTCCTATACAGAGTCATCGGCGGTTACAACGTGAGTTATTGTTCGAAGTCGAAGCGGTGGTCGATAATGTCGACAACTCTCCGCGCTGTAATGTACAATGCTGATGCGGTTCTCAGTCCTGCTAGTGCGAAGCGCAGCTGCGGATCTCGTTTGGGCGACAAGAGTAATCTTCCGTGGGTTCCCCTCATTTATTTTGTGTCTTTTCTTCTGCTTCCTTCTTCGTTGCTTCATCCACCCCCGACTTTCACATCATTCCTTCATCCTGCACAATACCGTCGTCAAAGATACCCCCCTCTACACCATCGAATCCTCTATTCCTCAAGATGCCAGAGACTACAACTCCTGATCCCATCTCTCCGGCTCTTCACGAGTCAGTGAAGAAACGTATCGATCTTTATCTCCAAGGACTCCCGGCTTCGCAATCTGCGTTTGAGAGTCTGGCTTCGGCCGCTCGCTCGAGCCAGGAGGAAGACGAGGAAGAGAGCAGCGACGATGAGCTGGTGTCCGATGAGGACGACAGCGATGACTACGGAGTCAAGGAGGACTATGAGGAGGAATCCACCGTTCCCGATCCAAGTTGCGACACTTACCCCCCTTCACAGCCTATCACTCCGTACGGTACTCCGTTTATCGCACCGACAATTGCGCTGACCGCGAGATCTAGTGGGTCGATCCTCGACATGACCGTCGAAAACGTCACGTATACGGATGGCAATGTGCCCACGGAGAAGAAGAATGAGCTCCGGGTCCTTCCTCCCGAAGCCTACGACTGGACGAAGGGACCTAAGCGCCCGCGCTTCTATACCGACGACGAAGCCCTCCACTGGGAGGAGCACGGGGTACCGTTTAACCTGATCGAGTACCTGATGGCGCGTCGCCGCATGAGGATCCGTGAGGATCCCGATTACCCCGACCCATTCACCATGCCTCGCCCGAAGCCACCTCCCCCCAGCCCAAAGGTTCCGTGGCCGTTCTCCTTGTCCGATGACGAGGAGGAGGCTGCAAAAGACAAGGGAAAGGCGAAAGAGAAGACTCCAGAGAAGGCGTCCAAGGTCGATGATTGGGTTGTCACGCCGCCGAGCCCACCGGGTAGGTGGATGCAGCAGGAGGGGGAGTTCGTCACTCCGCCCGGAAGCGACGACTCCCAGTGGGTCCCGTCGTGCGGACAGCCGGCGCCCCCACCCCTCAAGGATCCCCGCCACGCGGTGTATCTTGAGCTGGGCTTGCCGATTCCGGAGGTGTGTATCCGATCTTTCCACGTACGTACCTATCGCTGACTCGGTCATTTTCAGTTCAAGCTTCCGACGACCCAGGAAGAGCGGGATGAGATGCTCCTCGAGTGCATCAAGTCCCGCGACTACTGCAAGCACCGGCACATCCAGACGGTACAGAAGCTCAACGAGCTGTACTCGGACCACTACCGTCTCGAGGAGCGGTACTGCATGACGTACGAGATCCTAGACTTCGTGCGGGGCGGAGACCGCTCGCGCAACCACATCTTCTCGCTGCTGCCGGGACAGCGCGAGTACGGGATGGAGGAAACATGCGGGAAGGTGCTCGCGGCCGCGTGGCGCAAGGAGAACCCCGGCAAGCCCGAGAGGGTCGCGCCAGTGGTGCCTCCCGACTCACCGGCAGTTGCGGCGGGGAAGAGGACGGCTGCGAAGAAGCGTCCGGCTCCCGCTGCCCCCGCCACGACGAGTGCTGGTAGGGGGAGAGGGAAGAGGGCGAAGAGGTAGATAGCGGAAAGAGGAAGCACGAAGGCTGGGGACGTGGGGAGTGATCACCCCATGTCAGTGACGTTCTTTTGAACGGTAGCACCCAAGCCTGCGTGGCTTCGGAATCAAAGGTTGTTTCTGCGAGCGCGTGAGTTTCGTGAATTGTGATTCGTTTAGTATCGCCTATCCCACCCACAAATTCCACTTTTTGTCCTGTCAGGCTCCAGTTCTGGTAGATTTAGGCCTGAGAGTTGATCATAATCTCGATGGTGGTAGTGGATGTCTGTTGCGGTCTGGCACCCTCTGGCTCCCTATATGATGAAGTTTGTAGACCCTTCGGGCTGTGCTACCACGTCTACACGAGTGTTATGCCATTGCACGGTAGCATCTGACGAGGACTCAAGAGAAACGTAGTTGCAAGCGCCCAGTATCTGTTGTGTCCCCGGCCGAGACCAAGACTGTAACGGATACTCAACTTTCAGAATTACCGTCTATAGAGACAGAGATAGGGATGGATTGTTAGGCGGTGATAGTATTGAATTTTCTCACTTCCCGCAGGCTGCCGGGGCTCGAGCCTCGGGGTGGCGACTCCTCTTCATAAACACTCGTTCAATCTAAGGTATCATGACGACGCTCTCTATGTCGAGTATCCTCCGCCTATAACGCCACGTCACACAGAGCCTTCAGGAACGCTGGTTCGCATGCGGAATGGTGATCTTCGGAAGGTACATCTTCGGAGTATTTATGTAAGATGTTTGGCTTTACGCAGAGGTGTTACCGGAGTGCAACTACTGCGGAGGCACGAGTGGGTTTGAAAACCGTAAAGCTTCCTATTGCAGCCAAGAGGTACGGACCAACTTCATAAGCCGCTTTGTCGGAACGATGCGAGGGTAGCGATGCTGTTTATGATGGACATAGTGGTAGAGCCCTCAGCCGTGGTACTGCCGACGGAGGGGTTCATAATTGATTTTTCCATCTCCTAATTTCAGCCAATATAGCTCACCGATTCTACAGTTCAGCACTTTGATACAAGTTCGGGTATCCTTGGCTTGTCTTTTTGTTACTCGCCGAGTCGCTGTGTCGCCGCCGTTCGATCTACACTGGGAGCGGCAGCTTGAGAGATTTAGGTAGTAAAGGACTGACCCACGTGATGATCGCGATAAATCATTCAAATCTAGGTAGTCCATGCACAGCTCACTTCATAGTACCTAACATATATCCGAGGACGGTTTCCGTTGCTAAGCATCGAGCCACGCATACTGCGGTTTCCTGTGTGCATACTAATATTCTCGGGAGATGAAAACGACCTTTCTCAGCTTTCCTGTCAACAATACGGAAGATAGAGATAGGGATGGATAGATAGATAGAAAATGTTCTGGTTGATTCTCTAATTCTCGTCGGGCCAGAGAGGTCCTCTATATACACGCTTGTCTTGTCCAAGGTAGAATATTCTTAGGTAGGAGATACTCAGATTCTTTGGCTTCTGGGACGAGCACGGTCCGCGCCGTGTCATCAAGTGGAGCCTTTAGGATCGTAAGTCGTCTAGAGCCTTCTGGACGTCTAATCTTGACATTAACCCTAACAATATAGACAGTCAGTATGGTAAAGCTACAGACAAACACTTGGCGAAGTAGGATGCCGAGCCCCGAGCCCCGAGCCCCGAACACATACAACACCCATCATACCGAGGCGACCATGCATTGCGCGAAGGAATAGTAAAAATGACAAAAAAACCTCCAAGTGAGTTAGGCGGAGGATTGGTAGCTGTCTTCACTCGGTAGCGGACGTGGCGTCGTGGTGTAGTGTAAAGTACAAACGATACTGTTTATAATGGACAAAGTAGGAGATCCGTAGTACTGCCGACGGAGAGGTTCATAATTAATATGCTATCAATTAACGTCAGCCAAGATAGCCCAGACAATTTTACCATTTAGCACTTTGATACCTGGGCCCGGGTATCCTTGGCTTATCTTTTTTTTACTCGCTGAGTCGCTGCTTGGCCGCCGTTCGATCCACACTGGGAGCGGCAGCTTAAAATATTTAGGTACAGTAGCAAAAGGTTGGGTGAAAATACCAGGTTTATCGCAATACCAAAGAACTACCAGGTTTTTACTTAACCTGTATTTTTTACTTTTTTTAAAAAAAAAACCAGACATCACGTATTTTCACATAGAAAAAAGGACTACCATCTTTCCCACACCATGTATCAAAACATAATCCCTCTACTATAGACCACGAGAGTTATTCAGTGTTGGAGTCACATTTGCATATCATACGTAAATATAAAACCCACATAGTTCGAGAATCATATGGTAAACAAAACTGCCTGTTGCGTTGACTTCAATGGTACTCCGTGATCTTCACCAGATGTCTGCGATATCTCTACTAAAAGACTTCCGTGCTTGCAGAAATCTGTGCTCACTGGTACCTTAGGGTCGTACAATGCGATCTTTTTGAGTACCATGGGGCTTCGTCCGTCTAGTCCGTCCTGGGCTAGGTATACCTCAGACAGGATGGGAAAATGACTCGTCACCGAGCAGGAATGACTAGTCACTAAAGTGGGCATGTCTAGTCACTAAAGTGGGGATGACTAGCCATCAAGTTGGGAGTGACTAGTCACCGAGTATGAATGACTCTAGTCACCGAGTATGAATGACTCTAGTCACCGGGTGTGAATGACTGTCAATGAGTGGGAATGACTCTAGTCACCGGCGCCAGTATTGCATCCATGGCCCCCAGGCGACAGCAGTACTGCCTCCATTGCAGCGTGAGGGGGGTCGGCGGGTGAAATCGAATGTAGTTAGTAGTGGGCCTCAACGTTGGCGGGCATGGCGGGCATGGCGGGGTCGACCGAGTGCGGAGGAGGGGTACTTAAGCTGGGTCCCGCGGCGTTTCTTCTTCTTCTTCTTCTTCTTTCTTGATCATGTTCGACAGAATAGACAGTCAACCCTCCCCCGCCGCAACTGCTACTGCTACTGCTACTCTCGCCGCAAATCCTCCTCTCGCTTTCAGTTCCTCTTCATTTCGCAGAAAGCTCCTCTTTCTCGCTAATCATTCCTACTCACTGACAAGCCCTCCTCGCTAACCACTCCTCCTCGCTGGTAAGTCCTTCTCACTGACGACTTCTCCTCACTGACAACTCCTCCTCACTGACAACTCCTTCTCAATGATAGCTCTGCTTCCTACTCGCTGACAACTCCTCCTCCTGCTCGCTGGTAATTCCTCCTCACTGACAACTCCTTCTCACTGACAACTCCTCCCCCCACAATGCGTTCCTCCCACAACTCCTTCTCCTGCTGCAAATCCGCCCCGCAACTTTACCCTCACCGCAACTCTACCCTCGCCGCAACTACTCTTCCCCCTCCCGCTACAACTACTACTGCCGCTGATAGCTCCCTAGTCTTATAGCTTTCCTCGCCGCAACTGCTACTGCTACTACCACCGCAACTGTGGGGAGGGTATCGGTGGTTGGCAGGTGCTTCGATTGGAAGCACGAGCCGCCTACAGTGATCAGTAGTAGTAGTAGTAGTAGTAGTAGTAGTAGTAACACCTGAAAAGTGCTAGAATGTCGTACATTTTTGCTTGCGTACAACATGTCTTACCCACAATACGTATTTTTTGAAGCCGGAGGGTTGCTACGCATTTCTTCCGTAGATCTCTTGTACTTGTAGTTTTACTACAATTCAGAGACCATTTGGTTGACATGACAACGGTGCTCTCTGCACTACGTTGTTGTGCATACAAGGTAGTTTCCTGATATTTTTCTGGTATTCCCGACACCACGTAAGATTTTGCGTCTGGAAGAACTGCAGTGCTTCTTCCCACTTTTTGGTATGCATATCTTTACAACCTTACGTAAAGATTTTCGATACCGTAGAGTTGGGACTATGGGAAGAAAGAAATAACAAAATACATCTGTATTTTCGGAAAACTGCTAGGTTTCTACCTATACGGTGGTTCTACTCATGACCTGCGGAAGGAGTCGCACCCCACTTTTTGCTACTGTAGTAAAGGACTGACCTAGGTATGTGATGTTCGCGATGAATCATTCAAATCTAGGTAGTCTATGCACCGCTCACTTCATAGTACCTAACATGTATCCGAGTACGGCTTCCGTTGGTAAGCATCGAGCTACGCATACTGCGTTTCCTGTGTGCATAATATGATTCTCGAGAAACGAGGACGAAATTTCTCAGCTTTTCCCCTTACAATATAGACAGTCGGGCTACTAAAGCTACAGACAGACACTTGGCGAAGCAGGATTCCGAGCTCCGACCACATACAACACCCATCACACTAAGGCGACTTCGCGACGATGCATCCGCGAATGAATAGTAAAAATAACTCAAGACCTCCAGGTGCGTTGGGCGGACGATTGGTGGCCGTGTTTACTTGATACCAGACTTGGTGTTCAGTAACGTACGGCGAAAACCACAAGCGAAGGACTGGACATGCGGAAGGGAAGGTTCCACCCTTGATACCCTCGGCCTTACTGGTACGGCCACGGTGACGTGAATTACCGGCACATACAGTATTCTCCATAGTCCAATCCGTCCGTTCTCAGCCTCGGACTGGACTGGACTACATACATTCAGTCCGTCCGGAGGAGTCTTTCGGACGAACTAGTCCACCAGTAAGGTCGGATGGGACGGACTGCAGTCGATTGTAGTCGACTGCCAAGACTGGTACAAGGCGACAGAAATCATGATAGAAGGCCCGCGGCGTATTATCGGTGGTCGTGGTGGCTGAGGGGAGTATTTGCGCACGGGCTCAAGATGATACCGCGGCGTTGATGGCACTTAACAACTATTGTGGCGCAGATGGTGGCGCAGTTTATTGCTCCTGGACGAAGATTGTGGCGCGGCATACCCGGTACTGGACGAAGATGGTGTCGCCGCTCACAGTTTTGCTGGCACTGGACGGAATTCAACACACGATAGTGGGAAATACCACCAAAGTTGGTGGGATAAGTGCTGAAAATAGTGGCATTTGTTTTCACTACCGGACTGCAGTCCAACCCCGTCCAGCAAATTGGCGGACGGGACGGACTACTTTTATCCCTTCCGCAAAAAGGCACGGACGGGACTGGATCTTGGCAGTCCGTCTCGTCCGGGCTGCAGTCTGGACCGGACTACGGAGAACACTGGGCACATACAATACCATATGCTACTCATTGATGCTACTTACCGCCTAACTAAAGGAACTCATGTAGATATGGTGCAGTGGAGCCCTATCTCCCTGCTCCTGTAAGCCTACCCACGTGACACCAATCACGTATTTGATGGAAGAAAACACAAAATATCACACAGCTTCAACAAAAGACGGATCAATCAATTCTCTCCGCCACGGTCAACAGTCCTACAAGGGTCTAAGACAAAGATACAGCCTCGCGGAAGTTTGGCATGAGTGGCAAGAAGCTATCGAGTAGTACATCCCGCAGCCCTAGTTTCCGCGGGCGGCAACTCTGGCAATCATCTTGGCAACATGGGCCTCATCGGGCTTTCCTTCGAGCAGGAAGAACAGCAAGTTGAGCTGAGCGACGACCTCGCCGAAGGCGGTCTCAATCTTAGCTTCCTTCTCGGGAGCCCTCAGCTTCATGCCCACGAAGACCGCGTTGATAAGCCTATGGAGGTGCTGAATTCCGTGCTTCTGCTCCATTGTGAAGCTGCTCTTCTCGATGAGTCTAGCAGCCTCGTACGCGGCGTATCCGCGCTGCTCCCAGGCCTCGAGCTGGGTCTGTGGAGTGCGGGGATCTGGCGCGTAAATGGGTGGTTCGCGGCGGGCGCTGCCGGGCGCAACCGGGTGAGCGCTGCGGTGGCCATGGGCTGTGAAACACGGATCGTAGCTCGCTCCGTTCCGCGAGTCGGGGCGTGAGCCGGACCTCTGGGATCTAGCACGAGCCCGCGATGCGGCGGTAGGAGCGCACAGCCTGTCGAACACGTTCAAATTGTGGGTCGACACAGCCGTGAAAAGGCGATTCGGCGGGGTGTGACGTCTTCCGGAAGTCTGGACAGGTGCAGGCCGGGTATCGACGGGGGCCTGGCGATGAGTGGCCTGCGTACCGAGCTTGGAGATGTAGCCACCAGGTATCCTGTCTTCCAAAGGTTCGCCAAAGCGAGCACGGGACTTGTTGCGGCGTAGTGGCTTCTCAGGGGAGGGATGCAAACCGTGTCGACGACCGGTGAGGGACGGATCTTGGTACATGCCCCCGCTAAAGGCGGTACTTCCGTATGAATGCTGCACAGGCTGCCTCATAGTATTCGTTGGGACAGCATGGAACCCCATGCTGGCCGGAAATCTGCGTGGGCCTTCAACACCCACCTGCCTCGAAAACCCCTGCTTGCGTCCTTGGTGATCATGTTCAGCGCGGTGGCTCTTTTCCAGAATATCCACAGCGGCACCAACGAACTCAGCAGGAACTACGGCGATGCCCTCCCACGGTGGTCTCGCTCGCGATATTCCACGAGCATTATGAGTGAAATCCTGAGCCTTGCCTCCGAGATCGGGAACTCTCCTGGTGTGAGTCTGGGCAACTGGACCAGTATTGAAAACTCCGGGATTATTCAGCAGCTTGTTATCCCTCTCAGTGCGAACTTTCGATCTTGCGCGGGAGCTCTGTGTTGGAACCATTAGGCGACTCGAGACAGCCACGCCGTTTGCGTTCGCCTTCTTCTTCTTTTGAGGGAAGAAAACCGAGTGAACGTTGAACTCATCTTCTGACGAGTCTACACCTTTTCGGCGTCGACCAGCGTATCCTTGACCCGCGTATTGGGTTTTGGTAGACGAAAATGATTCCGTAGAGTCATGATCTGAGTTCGTTGGTGCCTTACTATCCGATCGCGACTGGTGGTGGACCAGAGCTTGCTGACGATGAATGTTTGGAGTCGGGAGGACGGTTCGCTTTCCCACCAACCCAGGAGTCTGCACGATGGCGGGAGAGGGTGGAATTGCGCGCATGGTCCAGTTTTTCGGGGTAATAGGCTGGGGAGTGTCCCTTGTCTGACGCGGATCTGTTGAAGTATTGAACGGATTATAGCCAGAGAGCCCGGGCGATGGTGCTTGTGAAAGCCACACTTGCGGCACAACTGGAGGGCTGATGATGGCTTGGTGTTTGTGGTTCCGCTCACAGTACTGAGCCCCGCCACATGGAGAGAAGGAGAGTCGACGAGGATCCACCTGAAAGGGATCATCTAGGTACCGTTAGCTGCGACTCGATGGCCATGCAGGATATTGAAACCTACCGGGTATCACCGATGCCGTCGTGGGTGTAACTTGTTTAACAGGCCTGTTGTGACGAGGAATCGACACAGAGTAATTCTGAGTATGTTTGGTGACCGGTGTCGCCATCAAATCACCATGTATCATCTTGTCAACCCCGGCCGCTTCCCGCATCCGGTTCAATGGACGAGTTTGCCACTCCTCCGCGCCTGTATCCTTGTCACCATCGCTATCGTCCTCTTCTCGAAGTCTATCCTTTTCTAGACCTGTATTGCGAGAGATTCGCACCGGTGATGTTTGGTGGTCTTGGATCTGTTTCTTGCGACTACTTGGAGCGATAGGGGATGCGTTGACACTCAACGGCGACGCACGACCGGGAGACGCAAGCTCGTTGGCTCGGAAGCGGTAGATGGGAGGAACGTAGTCCATCCGGATTCCTTGTCGATCGTAGTGCACAACAGGCGAGTAGTGTCTACTGATTTCCTGAGAGGGATTATTCCTTCCGGTGTTCGGTGGAGGACCACTGGACGCCGCTTCCGAAGTCGTCCCGCCCTTATCTGCGTTCCCATCCGCGAAAATGTGAAGCCCGCTCAGCTGGCGTTCCAGCAGAAGGGTCCGCTCCTTCTGCGATGGCCGGCTTTCGTTGTTATCCGAGCCCTCCGCCTCTCCAGCAGAATTATTTCCAGAACTCCTGTACGCAGGACCATCCAAACACATTTCTTCCATCCGCTTTTGAAACCGCTGCTGTTCTTCCTCCGTCAGTTGCAGGAGTTGGGGACGCCCAGCCGTTCCGTAACCGAACTTGGTATCCGCCAAAGCATCTTCGAGTTCCTTACGATGCAGGCGTGCATCTCTCTCCACACCTTCGCCAGTAGAGGCAATGCTGGGCGCAGGAAACTGTAAGCTGACCTCGGCAGGAGTGCGAACCAAGTTCTTTAAAGAGTTGGCAATCGATGGAGACACTTCCTGAACATCTGACTCTGGAAAAGGCGATGACGGAGGGAAGTCATGGTTGTAGGGAGGCGGTGGCGCATCAAACGGGGAACACCGCGCCGAAGACGGTGCCGGCGGGTCATCCCCGGATGACATCTTGAAGTGCTCTATACGCGGTGCTTCGTGGACGTCTTTCGTTGCGGGCGGGTCGGCGGCAGTGGTTGACAAGTCGGCGGTGGTGCACGGGGTGCGCTGAAGTGGTTTTGAGGAGGGTGTTTGAGGGAGGGTGCCGAGTCGTTGGTGGAGGGTTGTGAGTCAGTGGTTGCGCGTCGTTTGTTGTTGGTAAACATAAATGATTAGGGCAACTTCCGTTGCTTTGACGATCCGGCAGATAAGTCAGCTACTCATCCGGAATTTAAAATCGTAACCGACGCTAACCTATCGGGTTACATCAAAGAAATGTGTTTACATTTCACAACAAAGAAGGAGAGGACCACCAACTATGCCTTTACTAATACGAAGTACGTAATTATACTAGCTGTAATGGCCTTGTTGCTACTTGCCTCTAAAACTGTGATCGGTTCATGGGGTGTGCACTCGGTATCTTCACAGATGCGCACTCGGAAACTAGGGCTCGACGATGGGAGCATCGATGAGAGCATCGACGAGGTTTTTGCGAATGACCATAGTTTAGATAGGCTGAATATGAGTGCTATTGAACAAAACAAGAGAGCATCAACGGGGCGGCGATTAAGATCGAGACCCCGACCGCACTGTCCCGGCGCCGAAAGATGCGCCAGCTGTCGGAGAATATTCAGTTCTCCGGCGAGCATGGACGCGATCCACACCGTACAAACGCCCACCACTACCGCCTCTAGCAGCAACCAATACGGCGGTCGAAAGTGAGCAAATAGTCACCTGTTGTGCATGGCGCATTGCGCATTCAACTTTTGGCTTTTGGCTTTTGGCTTTTTGTGCAACACAGGGCTGGTGGCGGCCGCTCGCCCCACCTCACACCGCAATAGAGCGCCCACTGAGAGAAAAATAGAGAGAAAAAGAGTGGGCAAAAGAGAGAGAAAAAGAGAGAAAAAAATAAAGCATAAGGGAGAGAAAAAGAGAGCGGAAAAGAGAGCGGAAAAGAGAGCAAAATTGCGGGAGGACGGCAGGTGACAGCGAGGAGACCATCAACCCCGCTAACTGTGGGAGCAGGCCGCCGAGCGAGACGTTGGGGGTGGACTACGAGGCTGCAGGATTGTCGCAGAGCACTCCCGCTGCCGGGCGAAACGAGATCGCCGCACTGTGGCTGGGCATTTCCGTCAACGAGCGAGACGATTAGAGGGGACTACAAGGTCGTAGGACTACGAGGCCACAGGACTGTGGCAGGTCATTCCCGCCTCTGTGCGAGACTATTGGAGGGGACTACGACTACGAGGCCGCACGACTGTGGCAGGGCATCCCCGCCACCGAGCGAGAGAATGGGTGGAGCATGAGGCCGCATGACTGTCGCAGGTCATTGCCGCGACCGAGCGAGACGGTGGGTGGTGGGGGGGAGGGTGGAATCTATCTTAATGACTAGTCACTAATTGTGCGCATAGCAAGTCAGTAAGTTTTTTGACTTGAGCATAAATTCCACTCATCTGCCATCTGCTGATCATAACGTGAGACCGGAGACAGACTGGCCATTAGAAAGTTATGGAATGCGTCGTCCACCCAAGCCGCCATCTCCCTCGGCGACGCGTTTCGCGGTAAGTCTACCTCTCAGGTTTTCCACTCCCCCCCCAGTTCGTCCATTCAATCCGACATCTGCCTCAATTCTTCCCACCAGTCATCCACACAAGCCGACATTTGCCTTGACAACGTGCCCCACAACAGTTCCTCGCCAGCATGCCACGGAAGCCAGTTGTCGTCATATACTCCACTACTGAGCAGCAACCTCAAGGGAAGAAGGCAGAGAGAGAAGAAGGTTGATAGCAAGCGCAAAGAGAAAGGAAAATAGAAGAAAGGGAGAGTGGGTTGAAACGATGTAGGGTGCGTTCCGGCCTAGGCTGATAATACTCGGGACAAGGGATTCCACGTGACCGTCTTCGTTGGCGAGAACAGGGGTCCTAGGCCGTATCGGACACGTGAACCCCAGAAAAGGCGGAAGTCGGGGAAGTGATGCGAGGGGACAGCAGGAGAAGCGGGCACGTAGGCCATACCCGTGCTTACTGTCAATTTACTTTTTGCTTGTGTCAGCCCGAGGTAGATGGGTAGGGGAAGTGGGGTGCCGCACCGGACTAGCCGGTATCAGGGCTTTCACCTGGACTGGCCTGGGTGGGGGCACGGTGAGATGTAAACAATGGTAGCTGACGTCGTGAGAGGGAATGGCTGTTGCCTTTTCCTTACTCTATCTCTGCTTGGTGCGCTTGCATTCTTTTGGAAATAAGGCCAGGGCGGAAGTTTGGGAAAGCCACATCAGGCCGCCTGATGAAAGTTGGGTTGTACAGTGGCAGGGTATCAGGGGTTAGGTGCACGGGTATATGATATTACCATGATCTAGAAAGGCCGCATGTAATCACTAAAAGAACAAAAAACAACCAATGATACACTCTCACTCGTCCGCGAGAAATCATTGCATATCACTCGCCCAGGATGCAATCACTTTGTATCACTCACGCTGGCGCACCTGCGATTATATCAGCTGGTATGATAGCTATCAGGCCGGCTCTAAGATCCAATCATTCAGAGTGATCGCTTACTAAGTTCTGACCGTGTGCAGAAATACTGGAGCAGTTAAACCTGATGTGGTGTTGGATTGGGCTTTGAGGGACGAACATCTTTGTTTCCTCCTATGATGATTAATAGATTTTCTTTTCAACAATCGATTCATATGTTTCAATGACCCTGATAACTACATGGGAACAAGCCAACCACATGAGATCCCTTGCCCCAGCCATCACACATGTGGACCACCGTCAGTTGCATGGTCAGTGTTGTTCAGCTGTGTCATGGGCGATCACTCACTCTGGTGAATGTGTATGGAAGGTCACTCGTTTCGATTTATTGTTGCATAAGGTATCACCCGTTAAGTTACAGTACATTGCTGTGGTAACACCGTCTCCTCCTGCTTTGAGGACAGCCACCATCAGTGCCAGCCAATCCCAGTCCCATATCCTCTTCCTTCACAGCTTCCTTTGTTTATCTCAATCGGGTACAGCTCTGTGGTGCCGAGTGATCGTTCATGTCTTTTTGCTGGTTTTTTTTGTTGTTCCTTCATTGATAGCATGCGGCCTATCTAGATCATGGCATTGTCATCCACCCGAGCATCTCCCGCTTCCACGCCACTTTCCAACCCAAACATGATTAGGCGGCCCGATGTGGCTTCCCCTGCCCTCCCCCTGGCCTTTCCCAACAGTGTGTGAGCTCACCAAGCAGTAACAAAACTAGGAGGAGGAAACGATCGTTTTCCGCCGCGTCCGTCTCCACCGCTCGCTCCGACCCCCGCTCCGCATCCTCGTCCCCACATCCTCGCCCTCACCCCCACATCGTCGCCCTCACCCCCGCATCCTCGCCCCCGCGCCCGCATCCTCGCCCGCACCCCCGCACCCCCGCATCCTCGCCCCCGACCTCGCACTGGCTCCCGTCCTCGCACTGACCCCCATGCCCTCTAGCCGCCCTACCTCCACTGTAACTTTCAGACCCGCTATTCTTCATTGCTCGACTTCTCAGCTTCAGAACCCTCCTGTGCCTCGACTTCCGCACCCTCCTCCTCCTCCTCCCCCTCGAGTCGCCTCAGCTCTGCTCTCTCCTCCCGCTCCCTGAGCTCCCACTCGTATGTCTCGCTTGCTGCATCTTCCTCATCGGCTTCTGGAGTTCGTCTGCCCACCGTGATTGTTCATGCCTGGACTTAGAGCGACCACAGGACTGTTTGGCGCCGAGTGATCATTCATGCCTGGGATCCCGGCGGCTGCAGTTTCAGTAGCCAAGTGATACCTAGCCAGGAAGGGGACAGCATTTGTTAACCGTGAGACTTCCTGCATAAAATCTTTCTTCAATGCCTACTGACCGACCTCCTGCCTCGCCGCTGCTGCTACGACTCATGCAGTGCCGCATGCATTGCAGCCTGCTGCCCAACCTCCTGCCCCACCTCCAGTCCCACCTCCAGCTGCGCCGCCTCCAGCCTTTTTCGGAAACGAATGCTACAAAGGATGTTCCAGTGATACGGAATAATGCAGATGACCCGGAGTCCTCAAATGCAACACCCACATTTTCCTCAAGCCTTCTCCTCGACTCCATTCTATATTCCACCTACGTATTTTACAAGTCATCCCCTTCTGTATCTGAACTATCATGATGGCCTACCTCCTGATCGACTGCATCAACGTCCCAAAGAGGTTCTTTCTCTCTATCATCGTCCTCCAACTCGATTGGAGTAATATCGTGACGATGATCTTCTCTTCTAGCATACGCATTGTTAGGAAGCCATGCATATGCACCTGTTGGAATAGTGCATAGCGGAAGTACAGCACCTTCGATGTGGAGCAGCTGAAGCTGAGACCGTAGATGACAATAAGCTAGCATATGAACTGCATCCAGCTCTGCTGTTCGGTCCCGGAATTTGATAGTGCCATGAACCCTGATAGATGCCAACATCTCCTTACACCAAGCAAATGTGGCATTAGGTAGGTATTCATCAGGGTCTACCATATGACAGTTAGTTTATACGCGTCTGGTATCTAATCCCCAGTGACATACCCCATGCAGCTACATCAGCCTGTAAATGTTCGAGGACCTGTCTGCCAGGTTTCCAGCTGTAATCATTGACACCAGTCACAGGTGTGAAGTAGAGGACCACAATTTTTCCAAATGGCAGATAGGGACGCTGAGATTGCCGGCGGATGTGCTGGTTATTCCATACCTCAAGAAACTCTAATATCTCCTCCCGAATGGTGGAGAGGTAAACATAGAGTAGTGCAATTTGGTCAGCAACAGTGCCTTCAGTATAAAGCCCCATGGTACGTAGATTATCAAAGAAATTCTATTGAATGTAAGTTGAGTTCAGTACTGTGACTAAAAACAGGTAGCCGTAACTAAGTACTTCCACGCTGTTGTTTGAGATTTGCTTAGCTGTCGCCACCAAGCTTCAATACGTTGGTTCAACATAGAGGTACCGTACCAGTAAACTGACTGGAAAGTCACATCCGGGTTCAAAGCATGGTGAAGTAGGAAATGTGCGTTCGCGAGCATAGGAGTTTCGGTTCCCCAGTTCGAACGAACGGCATGTGGTATCGTATCCGTTGCACTCACAACATCAAGGTATTGACGCAGAACAGACACACCAGTTTTGGCTGATATTCCTACATAGACCCACAACACATATCTCAAGTATCTATTAGCGCTATGAACACGGACATAATACGCGGGGGACAGGACGAAGGGCTGGAAGTTTATATAGAGTGGCTGGTGCGTATGCATGCGGGTATATGTCATGATGCACGTTCGATAAAGATGCAGCCCAGGTACTTTTCCCTTGAGTAGTCATCAATAGCTGCATGGATCTCAATCCTGTACATCTGCATCTTCAAATAGCCATCGATTGACCAGATAAAGTTGGGCCCGGGTGTGCAGTATTTGCCGCGTGGAGACGTAAATAGATTGAATGTGCGTTCCAATCTCTTTCACAGAAGCGTTAGAATCACAAGATTCTTCATCAATAAAAACTTTGACCACTTTCATCACATTGGGACTGTACGAGGTTATATTGTGCAGAAGTTGCAAAGCGAAATTACATTTTGTATGGGGCTCCAATACAAAAAGCCACTTAGCAACCATTAACTTTTCCCCCGTATGGTATTGCTCCGCAACAACAATTCAGAACTCCGTGAGGATCTCCCATATCGTTCTCGGTGTAGTTATAGAGGCCTCCCGATAATCTCAGAGTTTCTTCGATACGTTGTGGTTGTTGTATCGGTGGTTGAAAATGGCCATTTTTGGTGTAAAACGGGCACTGTCCGATCCTGTTTGTCCTAGTACTGTACCTCGAGGGAGATTGCGCGGCGCTTGTCGGCGAGCTCAGCCTTGGACCTCCTCTGGTATTGTCGGATATAGACAGACATGACCGCGGTGGCGGAGCCAAAACCATAGTATCGGTACAAGCTCGGAAGTACAACCGTTGAGTTGCAGGGTATCCGATATACACACCTCCTGATCGGGTCTGCAGCCCTAATAATTGACCCGACGCAGCGCAACCTCATTCCCCACCTTTGCACGGGCACCGAAACCATAGAATGATAGAACGCGCCGAAACGATTGCACGATACCGAACAGCCGACCAAAGGATATCTACTGGCTCGCTGCCTCCGCATACAACGCACCGCGTAATAGCATTGGATGGGGTACGAAGTGTGCCTGCGCCAATTCTCCAGCCCTCGTACTGCGTTCCCGCGCCGACGACGGGAACAGTAATAACTGTTGAACCCCTACTGGACCTCCAGATGAAGACGATCCAAGCACGCGTTGAAGTTCAGGCGATCATCGGTAATCTGTTTTTTTATTCTGACAGTAGGTTTACCAATGAACAGGAGGTAATGCAGTGTGACTATTGATATCACATGCCCTCCATGGCAACTTCGGTCGAGGGATTGTTCGCCTTGCCATCAACCTCCGCTTCATCATCGGTTGAATAATCGATCGCCTTCCCGTCATCCTTCATGTCATCATCAGTCAAGGGATGGTTCGCCTTCCGGTTAACGTCCGATGATCCGAGTACCGCGGCGTGTCGCGCCGCATACTCTCTCGCCGTCAGGGAATTAATCGAATCCCGTTCCCTCTTCCTAGCGCCAGCGTGACCATCCTTCTGCAGCCATTCCATGGAAGCGGAAGGAGCGGCCTTTGCAGCACCAGGTTCCTTGGCGGCACATCACATCCTCCACGCTTTCAACATAGCCAATCCCTTTCTCAGCTCCATCGTCGCTTGCTCAATAGCGACGTGCTGCTTCAGAAGCTTCATCGTGTCGTCGATCAGCGTGGTGAGGATCTCGACCTGCTCGGCGGGTTCGTACGAATCCAGCACGGCGCCCGAGATTGTCGTCTTCTCTTCAGGCCTAGGCGGGCGGCCTCGTAGTTATGTAATTTGCTTCTTGCGCATGTCGTAGCCGGTGAGTCGAATGGGGTGAGGCGATGTAGGTGTGTGGTGTAACTAGTTGGTTATCGAACGTAGGAGTGACCCACTACCAGATGTGAAAGTTGAAATAGCCACGTTGTGATCTACCGCTTGCAACTTCATCTTCGCTAGCGTGCGACAGCCAGTGCACGCAGTAGCCCGGCCCAATCATAGCCAGTCCGCAGCCCGGCGGGTATATCCCAGCCCGGGCTGGTGGGCCGTAGCGACTGTGTTCCAATGGTGCGTCTCTGCTACTATCATCGTTGAGGGTGATTCGGCATGGCCACCTCCTGTATCCCAACAACAACAACAATCGCAACAGAATCGTCTCCCGCAGCAAAGTCAGCTCCCGCATATTTCGACAGATGTAGAATGAATGTTTAGTAGCGCGAAACTCGTCGGGACGGACGGCCGGTAGTTAATGGTTGAAGCCTGAGATCATTGAGGCCTGCTAATATTTGCGACATTGGCATGCTTCCGCCACTGTGGACCTGTCTTCTTAGTCGAGTAGCTTTATACTTCATTTACTGTTTCTTTCCTTCTGTTCTCCTCTGTCTTTCTGTCTTGAGGGCGCTGTCGGCGTGGACCTGTTTCGTATCTATCATGAGAGAGCGAGCGAATGTCAAGTATCATTGTCGCATGCGGCCTTCCTAGACATTGGAGACCACCAACTTTCAAACCTGTCCTTTCCTGCCAGCTCCGCGTGGTCGAAAGAAGGCTCTAAATAGCGCACGGATTCTTTTGGTATTGGTATACGAGCTAATACTATCTAATGTTTCTCGCCCCTCCCTCCATCTCTCCGATCACTCCGCCACTCCCTTCACTTTCTCGGTCCAGAGCACCTGCTGGGAGGAGTCGCCACCTCATCCGAGGTACGGCGCAATGTCCAAGTCCTCCCCAATGGTGATATACTCGGTTACCTTCTTGCGAAGGTAACACGAGGTCTCAACCACCGGCGGACGAGGGTCTGACAGCAGCCTTGCCCGGAGATGAGGAGCCACCTGCCAGGACGCAGCTGGTGGCCTGGGCTCGGTGGTCTTCGGCCTGCTCTCGGAATCCGACCGCTTCCCGGTAGCTTCCTTGTCGGCAACTGCGACGGCCGACTCGTCTCTCCACTTCATCTCGAGTGAAGAGTTGGCCGTAGCCTGCACCTTCTGCAGCCTTTCGGCGTACATGGCGGTGTTCGTCTCGACGAGTTCACCCCAGGCCGCGACGGCCAACTGCCGGGAAGGATCTCTCTCCATGACGCTCGGGGGCTGCGCCCTTCTGTGATGCCTGCTGCTCCGCTGCCAAGGAGGTACGGCGTCTCGACTAACACTACCAGGATTACTGGATTTCTTCGCGCCAGTTTCTCCAGTGGTAGTGTTCGGAAGGGTCATTCTCTGACCCTCTGCCTTCTTCTCCGCGTGCGAGCTGAGATGCAGTGCCTCATGCACCAACGACTGGGTGTCGCCGTCGGCCTTCAGAAACGCCTCCCACAACCTGCAGTCGTTAGCCTTGATGCTGATTATGTTGAAGTGGTAGGAAACTCACGAGCTCGCGTTGAGTCCTTGTTGCTCCTGGCCATCCTCTCCCTCCGCCTTGGGCTGCATAGTTGCGGCCTCCGGTACTCTAGCGCACAGGCTGCTCTGCTTCCGGAGCCTCGCCCGTCGAGCGGCATGCGCCTCACCACTCGTCCTAGAATTTCTATCAGCTATTGCATCTCCGTTGAGCTGGAATGAACACTTACTGCTGTTTCCGTCCCGAGGAGCATCCAGCCATCTTGGCTCCAGCTGCTCCCGGTACTTCTTCGTCGCCGGTGCTCCTACTGCCCCCCCTGGTCGCCTTTAACGATCTCTCACGCAAACGGCGACTAGCTCGTCAGCATTTCCGCACAACTAGTGTTTGAAGGATCAGTACTGCTTACATCTTTCGATTAGGCACGCTTGTGGGAGCCGAGCCACCGACCTCCGCCGTGATCACTTCTGCACCCGTAGGTGCGTCGTATGCCGTAGCAGTGACGACAGAAGCAGTCGCGGTGGAGCCTGCGGCTTCGGCCCCCTCGTGCTCCGCGGCCGACTCTCTTGTCATATTGCCCCCGTAGGAGACTTTGCGCCCACTGCTTTAGCCTTTCGTCAGTATCTATTCACGCGCAGTCAGAAGTATCACCGCAGTGCGCAGTTAGTAGTTATTCACCTGGTCTTCTTCGTGACTCTGTTCTGTCTGATCCCAGCAGGGCATCGCACCGAAGAGGTCTGCTCGCGCAGGCACTCTTCCACTGCCGTAGCAGTGGTCGCGGTGGTGCTGGAGACATTCAAAATGCCCTCCAGTCCACCAGGAGCTTCGAGCTCCGCGGCGATGCGTGCCAGCTTGTAGGCCTCACGGCGTCGGCGCTGCTGAGGGTTCGGTCGCCTGCGGTGAGCACAGTTAGTAATTTTTAGTGGTAGTGTGTGTTGGAAGAAGAGGTACCAACTTCTGCTTGGTCTTCTTGGCGAGGTGGTGGGAGGTGGGGGATAATTCCGACATGTCCATATCGGCGAAATGGTTGTGTTGTCAAATAGTTGTTTCTTCGAAAGGGTCTTCGGATGATTGTTCAGGAGAAGCGAAGTCGGATGGTTTTTCAGGAGAAGGGGGATGGGATGGGTTTGTGGGAGATGCGGGGTCGTGTTTGCTTCGTCGACGTTAGTGGGGTGTGGACGTTAGGGCTAGTAGCCTAGGGTTTCTTTTCTGCGACTAACGCAAGTTCAATGGTCGTTACACGTACTACCAACGGTCCACGGGTGAGGCTAGCACATCGTAGTTTGCATAGTCCCGTGTTGTAATCACCTGTCACACTAATCACAGAGTCGTAGCGAACGATTGATTCTTGCCTTCTTTATTTTACCCTTTTACTTACGAGCTGTACTGCAAACATCAACCGGCGGCTCGTATACTACACTAGTTATGTGTATTGCTATACGCTATAGCCATGCGGTAATCTGCTCTGCCACATAGACGGCGGCCCTCTGGAGTTTGTTGGAAACCCTTCCGGCGAAGCAGTGACGTAGTGCAATTGAGGCCTGGCGAAAATATTTGGCCTATTACAATTCCACCGTTCCTCTACATGCTCAGAGGCTCGAAAGTAAAGATGCCCATCTTAGCCGCTACCGGTGTGAGAATATAGTACGATATTTACGATACATATGCTGTTGCCATTGAGTTTTACGTTTTAACGGTGTGTGCAATCCACGTCCATGATATCCTACTTCCAGTTGGCTTCGACAGGGGTATAAGCCCTACTACTTGTGAAGTATTCTACAGACGAGCGGATAGTAGGATGAGCGACAGCGGTAGTTGGTTTCGGACCAGGCAGATGCATCCCTCACAATCTTTCATTTTCACTCGTTTATCGAGTGACACATAATGCAGGCTATTAACAGAACCCAACTATATCGCCCTTCACGAGCGGATGCACAGCCGTAGTACCACTCCTGGTTTCTCAAACTTTGCATACCTACGTCTTAGGACTGAACAGAAAAAACCACCTCTGGGTGCAATAACGTGCCTACCTAATGTATCACTTGACATTCCAACACGTTCTCTACGCTCTTCTTGCGTCGTGCATTTACGTCGGCGAGATTTTGCGAGTGTTCTTGAAAAGGATTAGTTTTCATTTCACGGTATCTGACTGAAGGTATTCGACTGCAGTTGCACATCTTTACCATGTCGTGTCAGCACTCAGATCATCCGTCATGACTCGAGTCTCACGTCAGAGCAGCGCCCCAGCTATTTTGTCGAATGCGGGACATCCAGTTGCTCAGTTAAAAGAGGGGATACCGGCAGCAGCAAGATACCTACCAATTTATATTTTCCTCGAGGAGAGGGCTGCGCTGAGAGCGATAGGCAACACGCACATAGCTCGTGATCAGAGGTGGGTCGGTGACAGCCTACAGCCAGGTAGAAACAGAAATGTAATCTGCAATCGCCTACTTCAGCCGAATCCCTTGATGATTCAACCCAAGGGAAAAAAAACCAGCGACGTGAGATAACCCCCATGTCGAACCGGGCTCGAACCAAAAGCCTTGAACACGCCCGTTGGGTGGCTTGGAAACCCCGATAGCCGGACTCGTGTCCTGCCAACTCCGCAGGGTGTGTGACCGTTAGGCCTCGCGGATTCTTTTTCCGTGCTGGGAGTTTACTACCCGCGGTTATGAATACGTTCGAGCTCTGTGGGCCACGTTTTAACAAAGCGACGGAGCGGTAGTGCTACTGCTGCACACTACATGCTAATCGCCACATTCGATAGTTCGACCATCCGAGCTAAGGATATTTTCGTAGTTAGTAGTATCTGTGAGCTCCACTCTACGACTACGTCGTAGCCCGTTGATGCACAGACCTGCGAGGTGCCACTGCACGCCTTTTCATACGTATGGCACTTCGTGCCCGCGCAACGAAGCTCTTTGAAATGGACGATGTGATCTACTTTGGTCCATACATACGTCAATCAAATGATTTCCCGGCCACCCCTCGCAACGAGGTCAGGCTGGATGTATTGCGTCTGCCGTATTGAAGCATCATCACAGTAAAATACGCCTGTCTTGTGCTGTGTAGCTCTGCTGTAGATTTACCTTCCCTAGTTCTTTGGTGGTCACGATTCGCAAAGAAGACCGAAAACGAGTGATAACTGCATGATAGCTGATGATTGCAACATACTTGTAAATAAGATTCCGATGTGAAAACACACAACAGGAAAAACCGAGTATGGACCGCAGGAGAAACGAACGCCTTGTGCGCACTTCAGGGCGCTTCTACAGAGATCTAACCACGCCGCAGCGTGCTGTTGGAATGGCACTGCACTAGATTGTCAGTATGGATAGTACCAGTGGTCCCAATATCATCTACTCTCAACAATCCACGCATATTCGGACGAGAGTTACCTGTTTACTTAAGCAGCCCCGCGGTTCTTTAAAGCCGTGTGGATAGTTCTATGCGATTTCCCTCATACCCAGTAGGGGCTTCGCTTGTACCAGCCTGCGCCGCCGTTGTGTTCTGTGCTTTTTCATAAAACAGCAGGAATCCACACGGCTCCGGCGGTCGGAATCGATGCTTCCACCATCTCCAGCCTCCGAAACCCGCTCCCGGCCGGTATTGCAGTACTGTCCGCCGCCCGTGGCATATGCACTTGTAGAAGGGTCCGCGGCATACGCGCGTGCGACGGTACCGCTACGACCCGGCTGCCGTCGATTGTACGGCCAGCGATCGAAACAGCTTTCCCCGAGCTCGGCGCACTTCCAAGTTCGCACCAGCAGAGGAGAGCGGCGAGATAGATACCGACGTCCTTCGGAAGAACTGCGACAGTCGCGAATTCCTCCTTTGGACTCTAACTTCTTGTGATGTCGAAGGCGGTTGATCGATTATTAGACCCGGCCACCGACGATCTCTGTGGATGTGGTTGGTATGGGAACAGGTCAAATCTTAGGCGCTGAAGCGCAGTACCGTGATCATTATTGTTGAATATATGAGGTAGATAAACATGACAATAGTATTCGATACAGCAGCAACATCGCGAGCAGCGAGCTCTCTCTGTATACACTCTTCATAGACTAGGAAAGCTCGGCATCAATCCCTTCAGGCGGTCGGTGTTCCGTCACCCTTCGACCGTCACCCGTGCTCGAATACTCCACTAGAGTACAGTAGGGACATCGCCATTTCCGGACGTCCCATATTCTGACAATTGTCATGAGGCAGCCTGAGTAAGTGCACCTCAGGAACGAAGAAGGGACTCTGCGGCCGGGCTCAACACGTGCGCCCATCAACTCCACCCGTGCAACTCATTTCAATCTTCAGTCGCCACGCGGCGCGAACCCTAACCCACATCCTCCAACCCGGTTACTATATCGGGCGCGGGCCGTGCCGTGCCGAACCCTCCGATACCGGTAGATGTGCGACAGTGCGAGGGTGCGACGATGCCACGGAACTAGGCGGCTGCGATCGCCTTTCATGGATCGCCCTTCACGGAAGGAGGTACACAGCAAAGAGATTTTTCCACCTGGCGGCGCATCGCCTGTCGTTCTCGACTCTCGCGACGGATTGCGCACTGCAGTCTGCAGGAATCGCCGACGGCGGCGATCGTATCCGACCGAGAGCGTGTAGATCCGGGGTTCGGATCTGCTTTCCTAGATATTCCGCATTGGGGACGGACGTGGATTGAATTGGATTGAATGCACTCAATGGCGGCGTGCATACCTACTGTATCTTATCGCCTCTGTCGACGCCACTTTTGATGATAGATGATGGATGATAGATGATAGATTATAGATGATAGATGATAGATGATAGATGATAGATGATAGATGATAGATGATAGACGATAGATGATAGATGATAGATGATAGACGATAGACGATAGATGATAGATGATAGATGATGCCTAGATTATAGGAGCAGCGCCGGGGCTGCCACTGCCACTGCCACCGCCTACGACACCAAATCAGCAGCGCCCCCACACGCACGTGAAGATATGCGAACTTGGTGCTCTGGTAATCTGGTAATCTATTTAGCCGGTGCAACAACTCAGCAACTGGGTACCGTATTTGGTGAGCCAGGATGCCCATCGATAACGGTACCCGACCGGCTACGTAAAGCACCTACCTCGTATGGAGGCTGTTGCTCAGGGACAACCTTGCGGGGAAGCGTCAGCACACCCGACTGAGCGAGCGATTCCGAGTTCCGGCAACTTGCAAGGAATGCGTGAGTGGGTGAAGGCTCTGGAGCCTGGACGGTGGTTGAGTTCTTCGTATCGGATACGCAGGATATCAGTGGTGATGAGAATCTCGCCGCGTACGCAGGATATCAGTGGTGATGAGAATCTCGCCGCGTACGCAGGATATCAGTGGTGATGAGAATCTCGCCGCGTACGCAGGATATCAGTGGTGATGAGAATCTCGCCGCGTACGCAGGATATCAGTGGTGATGAGAATCTCGCCGAGTACGCACCTTCTCCAGGTGATTCGATATCGAAGAATCGGCATGCTTTCAGTTACCGATCGGAGTCATCGCGCCGCCGTCGAACAGCCTCAAAAAAAAGCAGAAAACCCCGAAAAGAAAAGAAGAAAAGAGAAGAAAAAGAAAGAAGAAAACCCCGAAAAGAAAAGAAGAAAAGAGAAGAAAAAGAAAGAAGAAAACCCCGAAAAGAAAAGAAGAAAAGAGAAGAAAAAGAAAGAAGAAAACCCCGAAAAGAAAAGAAGAAAAGAGAAGAAAAAGAAAGAAGAAAACCCATCGTCAGCCACACACGCACCGCCAACGCTGCCGTCCCGACCAGGACCAGGCTGGACTCTGGAGCCGGCCGGGCTCCGCTGCGCCGCTCCGACAACACACCACGACTCCATGACGGGAGCCAGGCCAGGCCAGGCTCGCTCCGGTGGCGGCGCATCATCTGTCTGGCTGGCTGTCTGTGCGACGTGCAGCACTGCAAGCAATGTAGCGGTGCCTTGATTTTCGGTCGGGATGTGGGAGTACGACGGTGCGGTAAGACGGTAGATTACGCACGTCAATCACATAGCAGCACCCCGTGAGTCGAGTAGGAAGGCACCGCACGGCTGGGGACTGGCTGTGGGTTATATGTCTGATGCGGTTCGAATCTTCGCCGGTCGAGTAATGAGCGGCGATCCGCTCACGACGATGTTGCCGGCGAATACGGTAGGATGTGAGTATGAGCTGCGAGCTGCCCCGAAGACTGCCTTGCGGGACTGCGACTGCCAGCTGTCGCCGACAGCCCGTCGCCTGTCCGGCAGCGACGCGACGTTTGCGGGAAACGGAGTGGTATGCATGGTACTCTGCGGGGCGGTACTTTGCAGTACAGTGCTTTTCTACAGTGCTGTATTCCATAGCACTGCAACTGCTGCGCTCGATCGCCCGAGCGGTTCAGTTCCCAACGGCACTGTTCTCCATAGCACCCAGCCCATCCCGTTTGTTGCCGGGGACGGTGACGAAGACGAGAAACAAAGGCCATCACATGCGGGTCGGCCCTCGCTGAGGCGTTGCGGTGTCACAGCACGGAGCGACTGGCTCGCTCTCTCGGTGGCGGGTGCCTCGACCATGCCTGCGGAAGGGTCCAGAGTCGGTGCATTGCGCCATGCAGGCGGTCCCCGTTGGCCGCTGGTGGGAATCAGCGGCTGCGAGTGCCGTTCGCGGATTGGCGCGACCGGCAGGGTCGGCTAATGCGGGCGAACCAGCGAGAATCCATAGTGGTTGGCGGGAATGTGCCGTTGCAGGGATGGGCGTGGCTCGATGGATGGGTGCGCAGGGATGCGATTGGCGGGAGGGAGGGAGGGACGCTTGTTTCGTTTTCCGGCGACACGAGGGCTGCGCGACAGTTGCCTGCGGAATAGCTCCAGAGTGCCCACGCAAACGTATCTACGTGCTGCCCGGTAGACCTCATGCTCGGCGACGGACCGTCGAGCAGACCCAATTGCCGCGCCGTGTGCGGAGACGGAGCACGGGAATAGGTGGCTGCCAGGAACGGGTGCCGCACATCTATACGTCACCTGTGACCGTAGCAGAGCACTGCTGTCGGCGCCCCCGCTGAAAGAAAGAAAGAAAGAAAAACTCTTCTCTGTTCCTGCAGCGGCCGTCAGCGTCCATTGTGTTTCGGCGACAGCTGCTCGACCACATTGCGCTGGCTAGCGGGCCTTGGCGCAGGCGACGTCGATTTTGGCTGACCCATCCACATCTTGCCCCACCATCGCAATCCACAACCACCACCGCCAGCCCACCAACCAACAACACCCACCCGCCCCCAGTCCCAACATCCAATCGCGCGACGCCAACACCGCGCCCACCGTATTCCCCCTCCCTCATCTCGAATCAACGACAAACGCACGAACAACCTCGCCACGCCCAATCGCAGCACATCTACGAACATTTCCCACGAGCATTCCATACCCGGCATACATGCGAGACCGCCCGCACCACCGCACCCACGGAATCCGGTTTATCTAGCTCGCTGCTCCGCCGCCGACCGACAAAAATTCGCTTCGATCTTCAGTCTCGTACTCGCACACAACAGCGCCCACGGATACTAGTCCTCTAGCTTCCGCCGCCGGAAAAACAACATCACATCACATCACCGACCACAAAGACGGCAACAGCGACCCTCACCTGCCGCCTCTCGCCACCACCCCAGCTGCCCTCTTCCCCCCACCACCGGCCATAACCACCATGTTCACAGTCCCGACCATCAACTTCCACATGACGTTCACGCTGCCCTCTTTGCCGCGGCTGCCAAAACTCCCGAAGCTGCCGAAGCTGCAGATCCGCCGGCGCGTGCAGCGCGCCCTGATCCGCGTGATCCTTGCGGCGCTGTTCATCGCGCGCGCCGAGATCCGCGCCATCAATGTGCAGGGCATGTTGCTCAGCTGGTTCCGATTCTGTCCTGAGTTCCGCGATCAGGCGACGACTGGGAAGAGTGAGTGGTCCTCCGCGTCGCCTGGGGGGTCGGCGGGGAATTCGAGCGGTGGCTCGGCGGAGGAGGGGCATGGGAGGCCGTTTATGGGCAGTAGGGTTTAGGCCGATGGGAGAGGAGGAGTGGGGAGAGACAGATGCGCCATGGAGTACGAATACCGATCACCGATCACCGATCACTGATCACTGATCATCACCCCCGTCGTCGCCGCCGCTACGGACGCTTGGCAAACATCTTCGCCGGCTACCGACCACATCACGACATCGACCGACACCGATACAGTCACCGACACCGCCATCGGTACACGCTCCATGTTCGGCACAGCGATTCCAACATCGGCACACACACATTTCCTTCGTCGCTCTCACCGACACTCACTCTCACATTCACTCTCACTCTCACATTCACTCTCACTCTCACATTCACTCTCACTCTCACATTCACTCTCACACTCGCTCACACTCATTATCTTTCATTCACCACATCGCACGCATGCATGCATAAGTAACACATTGCCACGTCACGTCACGTCAAGTCAAGCCACGAGACGACACGACACGACACGACAAATGTTACAATACGGGGTTCCATCTTTCTTTCTTTCTCTTTCCTTCTTTCGTTTTTATTTCTCTGTCGCTTTCATTTGCTCCTGTTCATCTTATTTCCTTGCTTTCGAAAAAGGTGTATTGTACTATAGACAAGCGGAGTTTTTATTGTGTCAATGGGGTTCTTTTCTGCTTCTTTTTTTGCTTCTTTTTTGACGGTTTTTTGTTCCGCGGAGTTTGGGCGATGCGTTACGATACGATACGATAGCTACGGCATGGATGTGGGGATGCGGGGATGTGCGGATGAATGAAGATTAATGAAACATTACTGTTATGTACTCTACCGACGACGACCATTGTGATGTGTTGTGAACTCGTGGAGTGGATGAAGGGTGGGGTTTGGAAGGAGGGGGGGGGGGGCGGGGTGGGCAGGGATGGTTGCGTATTAGTAGTGGGCGTCGGCACCGAGAAGCGGCGAGAAGCGGCGATAAGCGGTCGTACGGGGATGCTATCCCCACATTCTACTAGTGGCCTTTCGGCCGTTGCTTGGCGTCGAAACGGATATTGCCGGTTTCGTGCGCGTTTGAGAAAATATGGCCGGAAGGGATGGATTCATCTCGAATTTATCAGATGTATGATATGACTGGTAAGGTGCTGTATTTGGCGTGCAGCATCTGCAGCTTTTGCAACGGTTATCACCAGCGCCGAGGTGACTTGCGAGTGATGTCCGAGTGATAGCAGTGATAGCTAGTGTACCACCGAAGACCACACCGTCAACGGTCACCGAACAAAGAAGACACTGCGATGAGACCTCTGAGCAGACAAAGACAGGGGCTACGAATATTGCCATACCGGAGCGAATACCTGCATACGCCCTACACAGCTGCTCACAGCCCTCAACCCTAAACCCTCAATCCTCTACCCTCTGCCACTCCGCCACCCCGTCACCCCACCACCCCGCCGTCCCGCTTCTGCCGCCACCCCTCCCACCCCTCCCACCCCTCCCACCCCTCCTACCCCTCCACGGGTGTAATCATCCCCCAAACCTCGACCAGCCCCTCTTTCGTGCGATACCAGCCGCCAACACTGACCCCCAACCCGGGCCAGTTCTTTGCGCACTGCAGCACAATACTCTGCGTCAGCAGGTTACACGCCTCCGGAGTGAAATCCCAGCCGGAGGTGGCGTTCATGTTTTGAGCCTTGACTTCACGCACACGCACTGTCAGCCACAGCAGAAGGGGGGGGGGCGGGGGGGGGGGGGGGGGGGGGCAGGGGCTTACGTCCAATACGACTATCCCCAACTCCGTGCAAATCCTCATCATCGGGGACGCCAGTCACCCCGGCCCCGGCCACCCCAGTCACCCCAGTCACCCCGTCCACCCCATCCACCACATCCCCATCCACATCCACATCCACATCCACCTCCCCCACCCCCCACACCGGCCTCGGCCTCGGCCTCTCACTCCCAACAACCTGCAGGTGCGGTATCGGCCCGTCCTCGCCCGCCGTAGCGCACCATGCCGTCGCTGCGTCCACTAGATGTTTTATCGGCAGCGGCTGAGACCAGTACTGGCAGCGTACGCCGAGGGTGGCGAGGTCGGCGTGTTGGCATAGCTGGTCAGAGGAGGGAGAGGGGGAGGGGGAGGGGGAAGGGGAGGGGTCGGATGAGGGGGAGGGGGAAGGGCTGGCGGTGATGGGCTTGATGATTAGGCTGGCAAGCAGGAGGGTGGAAAGGAGGAGGAGGCTACGGATGAGGAGGCGGGAGCGCTTCGGGCTGTCGATGGCTGTGCTGGGGTGCTGGCGGTCGGAGGACATTGTAATTTTCGGTCTATGGGGGCTCGAGGTGGGAACCGGAGATGGCACGGTGGAGGGGGCATTATATGTAAGTGTTCTCTTTATTCTCGTAGTGTTTGAAACAGGTGTGACACAGACGATTTGATTGTCCGCGCGGAAGGGGGACAAACAGGAACAGAACATAGGGAGCATCTCGAAAGACCTACAGAAGGCCAGTATCATCATTGCAATCAAGACGTCTTCGCTGAAACTTCGGTCAAACAACGTGGAAACATCAAAGAAAAACAAAACTGCCGAGTGATCCACCGCGCACCCACCTCCGTTTGTACGAATCCACATCCCACGCTACTCCCCCCTCCCACCGGCAGAAACAACCTCCTCACAAACGCCCCGCCAAAAAACCTCCTACGACACTCCACCCTCTCATCGAACCTCCAGCGCACCTCCATCGGCGCCTTAGCCCTGGCAGCAAACATATCCGCCCACGTCACGCCCTCCCCGTCAGCCACCCCACCCACCCCACCATCCCCCCCGTCAAGCAGGCTCCACAACCACTCCCTAACAGTCTGCTCCCACGTCCCTTGCGGAACTGCCTGCCACCTAAACTCTGACAGGCTAAAAGCTGGCAGCTTCCCCACCCCCGCGGCGAGCAATCGCCGCGCGCGCAGCACGTCTGGATGGAACTCTAGTTTGTTCGGTGACACGGATAGCACGGGGAGGGTGCCTGAGGTACGCGTGGGTGTGTGGAATGATTTTGGGCGCGGGTGGGGGAAGTTGAGGGGGGTGGTGGTGGTGGTGGGGGTGGAGGAGGTGGGGGTGGGGGTGTTGGTGGAGGCGGTGTTATTGGGGGTGGGGGTGGAGGCGGCGGGCGTAAGATGCGGGGAGATGGGGGGCGGTGTTCCGGTGATCGGTGGAGGGGCACGGAAGATTGTGATGGGAAGAAGACTGCGGCGGGTGTGGGGGGTGGAAGGCGGCGGGGAGGGAGGTAGGGCAGTGGCGGTGAGTGCCGTAAGGGGAGCGGGATGCGGGTACTGGGGGTGGGGGTGGGGTGGCGGGAGGGCGCGGATTGGGAGCTGGAATCTCGGAGTGATTCGGCGAAGCGGTCGGGGAGTTGCGGGTCCGCCGTGGGCTCGTGCACTCCACTAGAGTCGGGTGTCCGCGGCCGGAACGGGTGCCGCAGCCGGGACGACATAAGGTCCGCGGCCTCCGCCCGCCCTCGGGAGGTAGTACGTCGGCGGCGATGACGTCCTGACGATGTATCAGAAGCGGGCGTTAGCACCGACGGTTTGATTGTCCGAGTCGATGAGGCCAAATAGGAACAGAATTGTTGTATATGGATCATCTGGAACAATCTAAGGATGACATGCTACGACCGCAATCCAGACGTATTCGCTGACGTTTCAGTAAAACAATAGGACACATTCAAAGAAAAACATGATAACCGAGTGATATCCAATGCGAACTACCCTATCTCTGCGAACCCGCAGCAGCTACTCCCCCCTCCTCACCGGCAGAAACAACCTCCTGACAAACGTCCCTCCAAAGAACCTCCTACAAAACTCCACGCGCTCATCGAACCTCCAGCGCACCTCCATCGGCGCCTTCGCCCTGGCGGCGACCATATCCGCCCACGACACGCCCTCGCCCGCCCCACCCACCCCACCCTCCCCCCCATCAAGAAGGCTCCACAACCACGCCCTCACCGTCTCCTCCCACGTTCCTTGTGGCATCAACTTCCACCCCTGTTGCCCAAACTCCGGCAGCTTGAAATCCGGAAGCCTCGGCACCCCCGCGGCGAGCAGCCGCCGTGCGCGAAGGACGTCGGGGTGGAACTCGAGCTCGTTCGGTGACATGCTCAGAACTGGGTGGCGGCGAGAGACGCGCGTCGATGTGTGGAATGATTTTGGGCGCGGGTAACGGGAAAGGATGGGTGTACCTGGGGTGAAGGCGGTGGGGCTGGTGGGACTGTGCGGGGGGGAGGGGGTCGGCGGGATCGGGGGAAGGGGGGTGAGGGGGGTGAGGGGAAAGGTGACTGAGGGGGGTGGGCGGGCTGCGGGGGGATGGGAGAGTGGGATGGGGATGGGGAGGAAACTGCGGCGGGTGTGGCGGAGTGGTAGGCGGGGCGGGAGGTGTGCTAGTGGCGGGGGGTGGGCTGCGGGGAGAGGGAGGGGGACTGGGGTGGGGGTGGGGCGGAGTGAGGGTACGGATCGGGAGCTGGAATAACGGAGTGATTCGGCGAAGCGGTCGAGGAGGTGCTGGTCCGTCGTCGGTTCGTGCACGGCGCCAGTGTCTCGACCGCCTGGAACGGGCGCAGCAACCGGGACGACGAATGGGCCCCGGCCGCCGCCCGTCCTCGGTAGGTAGTACGTCGGCGGCGATGATATCCTGACGATATAACCCGTCAAGACCCACGTTCTTACGATGCCTGAGAGGCGACCGGCCAGCTGCGTGTGTATGGCCATGTTCTGGTGCGAGAGGCGGCGGGAGGCGGGGAGGTCGTTGCTATCGACTTGGCTGGCGAGGGGTCCGCGAGATCGGGTTGAGACAGAGGTCTCGAGATGGATGCTGGACGTGGAGTCCGCCTTAAGTGTCAACGGACCGTGCTGGGGTGCCGGCGGCGGTATAGATTGTGATCGAGCGCGTGAGTGTTGTGCCATCGTGTTGTGTGCGTGTGGCCTGTCTGCCAGGACGCGGCGCGGGAGAGGATGCATTTGTTTTATTGTTGGTATGCTTTCACGTCGTAGGTCGGTGATATGCGTTCTATGGGACGGTAATGGGCTGCGGTTATGTACGGCTTTCAAGGTCACGCGATATACGTTTCTGTGAATGCGAAACGCATGGCCTAACCGCTCAAGGATGTGAGTAGGGCCCATACGCGAAGAAGAGTGTACACATATCATGATTGCGACACAGCGGCGAACGCGAGATGTCACTCGGTACACACCGTATTTGGCCCCATGGTCCTAGGAATTGGGAGAGGTCCGGGGAAGAACCTAGGCGCGTCAGCTATCATCGACTATGCTGATTATGACTGTGGCCGTTCTCAACCGTGCAGCCAGGGGCTAGGTGTTTCTCAGTGCTCACTCGCCATTTCGACATGAAGCCCCAACAGAAGACTTCGAAAACAACCATCTCTCATTTTCGAGTGCCAGTATGCCAAGTTTCCATAGACCACGGATGGAACCGCAGAAGATTGAAGATGGGCGATCGTGCTCTGCTTTTCAATTCGTAACATAGCTTCGCGGAAATTTAGATGTAAGGCGTGATCACTGGACACTTTTCCGGTTCATCTCATCAACATATCCTACAAACATCACCTCCAAATCAAGCACCACAGACAAGTTTCCACATCGCAATAACTCCACAGTCCTCGGCAACCCACGACAACCCACGACAACCCACGACTATCCACTACAACACATCAACTTCCGCAGTCTACTCAACGACCATCCCCCAATGACGCGCCTCGGCAAAGTCTACACCTGGCGCTGCTCCTTCTGCGGACAGCTCCGCAACATGATGGACACAGCCACGTGCAGCAACCCCGACTGCAAGAAGCTGTGTCCGTACAAAAAGTGATAGGAACACCTGGCTACTGCGCAGGCTGTTAAGGGGTTGTTGATTTGAGCTGTGCTTACGGGACGACGGGGGGGAGGGAGAGAGGGAGGGAGGCAGGGGGGAGGGATGCGAGTGCGAATTTACTTTTCTTTCGGTTGAATCTTCTGTTGACGTGGGCATGAGGGTGCGCGGAGGAACCAGAGAGAGGGGCTCCTACGCTGTATCTAAGTTCTGTTTAACAGGTTAATTGTTTGATTGTTTGATTCCCTGGATGGTTTCAGTGTCTCTGTGCAATCACGTGAACATATTATCACATACTCCGTGGTGAAATGCGTGCCACCGAGGATACAGAGGGAGCAGGTAATGGAGGGATGTATATACGTAGCTGAGAAATGGAGCAGTATGTCCTCTTCCTCCGTACCGCCATCATATCAAGTCACTCGCTGCCAGATATCACCTCGATTCGCGATGACGTCATGCAAAAATCACTCGGTGTCTCCGCGCTCGACGACATCTCTGATGATTCCATCTGCTGACACTTATATTACCATCCCGATCTATCTATCTAGATAGGCCGTATGCAATCAATGAGTACAGAGAGAAACAAAGCCATTCACCTGGCAACAAATCTGCTCCTCTAATATAAACAGCTTCAACGGTTAACAACTCTCAGTGTAACATTTGTTCGAACGTCAAAGTCAGCAAGTAGTAAGCACAGCCAGTATCAGGCAAATAACAACCGTGTATGAGGGGAGAAAACAGAAAAACTATATGTTCATGACAGGAGAACGCGTTGAACTTCCCTCCTCCAGCAGCAGTGAAAGTGCTACAGATATCCAGTGATGTCAATATTTACTTCTGGAGTAAGGCAGAGCGCCAATGCCTTTGCAGTTACATTCTGCTCACAAGCTTCAGCAGCGTGCAAGCTGGATCGCAACTACCACCGTCGAGGACGTCTCCGGGATTGGAACCCGCAAGACCCGTCGGGTTATCCGAGTCGGAGATTCCGGGGGTCAGGACACCTTTCCCCTTCACATCCACCACCGTAGCTTCTTTCGGTTCCTTCGGCGATGCTTGGGATGCTGAGGATGGGTCGTCGGAAAGATCCGGTGTATCGGCTCCGTTAGCACGACTGCTGGGCTTCGGTATTCGATTCTTTACTCCACGCCGGTCAGGGGTACGGGCAAACCTAGAGACCGTAGGACTGGCTGGTGGGGAGGAGATGGATTGTTGGCGACGGTGGGAAACCGTAGTTATGGTAGCGACGCTTGGATCATCCTGCATTTCGATACCTTCTCCGGGCTCTACAGATCATCATCAGTCTCGCCCATAACCAGTAAATTCAGAGACAAACCCACCTGGCGCCGTAGCAATCCAGGGCGTTCCCCAAACACCCTCAAACTGCATCCTGCACCTCTCTCTCTCCCTCTTGCGGTAGGAGGCGTACTCCTCAGCGATGGGCAGGGCCAGTGTGGACGCCGACGACTCGTGGATTGTTTTCCGGACCGTTGCCGCTGTCCGCACTTTGTGAAAAGACTCGCGGATACAGCGTGAGGCGAGCAGGATGAACGTTAGGTAGATGCTTCCGATGACGATGAGAGGGATGACAGCGACGAGCGGCATCGAAAGCTGCGGACTGTTGCTAGAGGACCGCGAGGGCGGGGTTGGACTTGGTGTTGCCACGGATATGTCCATAGCCATGGACGAGGTTGCTGCCCAAGTGACTCCCAGGGACGAGGTTGCATTTGCCGATGTAGACGTCCAGATGAAAGACGAGGAAGGAGTAGGAATCGGATGTCCGATGTAAGCTGCTCCCACGACCGTAGCCTGTAGGGAATCGACGTCGGCGGATGGAGCGTGAGTGAGAGGTGCACTTGAGATTGGAGTTGGCGTTATAGGCACCATGACCACTGTCAGCAGAGTGGTGAGGTAGTAGCTTTGCAGCGTGACTGCTGGTGGTGGCGGCTCCATTGCTGCTTCGAGGCCTGAGTTCGAAGTGGGGAGGTGGCCGGCGCGGTGCAAGTGACGCTGTTAGAAATCATTGGTAAATACCTAACAGGTGAGTACTCGGGTGTGAGGGAGAGTCGTGCACCAACACCACTAACAAATGGCGCTCAATGGGGTGCACCAATTCCCCTTACACCCGAGTACATGATGAACCGGAAATCACGTGCAATGTGCGATTTCGAGTTAGCGGGGATGAGCACGGACCAAGTCGCTCACGGACCAAATTGAGCAAGCAGTTCCCGTGACGAACCGTAGAAGGACTTTCTTCCACGATCGCACCTCCTCCTAGAAGCTACTACAATCCCACAAACAACACCCCTTCAACCCCTTGCAACACCTCTGCGACGACTACTCGAATGACCACTTATCTCGACTCCCTGATTGTGACTTACGTTTACGTTCTATCCTGGTTTGCGAGCCTCCGCTGGCCTGGAGAGAATCTGAGCGTCCTGGATTGCTTGACAGGTATGGTCGAATACATCTCTAAGTTCTGGTTCAGTGGGCTTCGCTACGGCTGGGAATCATTCTGCGGGATGTTGAGCTATGGCTGGCACATGTTCGTAGCCTGGTTTACCTTTGATGGACAGAGAGTTGCCGGCGGTGTTGGCAGGAAGCTCGTCACCGTTCTCACAGCTATCGGGTTCGACCTGCAGGACGTGAATTGGCCGGAAGCCCGCGACCGCTTGATTCACCGCGTCAGTGAGAGTCGCTCCCAGCTGGCTCTCACTATGGGCTCCAGGAACTGGACCGTCACTAATGTCCTCGTTATCCTTTTGCTTCTTGCTCTGTACGAGCTGTCATTCTACCTCAACAACTGGCTCGACAACCCCTACTGCAGGACGCACCTCGCCCCTGTGCGTGCGCTGACCGGATATCCGCAACTCGGCGTGGAGACGTCGATTATCGGCGCGCTGTTCCACAACACCAGACTCGGTATGTACGGAAAGAAGGCGCTCGATGCCCTTGGAGCAATCTGCCGTTCCATTTTCCTCGGATTTCTGAGCGTGTACATGATGACCTTCACCCCGGTTCCCTTCCCTCAGCCGATTTTCGAAGACGAACACGAACACGCCCATCACATGCACGCGGGTCACACGCCCTTCACCATGCTTGCTGTCCCGGGTACCGAGAACTTCTTCGCGCCGCCGGATGACATTCACTTTTTCAACCTCAACGATGTCAGCGACCACCTTTCCTCGTCGGACGAGGATGAGGAGGACCGCAAGAACCGCTTCGACAATGCTTCTTTGAGCGCTCGTACCCTAGCCAACAGAAGCAACGGAAGTGATCCCGAACCGAGTACCGGACCCTCTACCAGCGATGGCCAGCATCACTGTGCCCGATCTGCCCGCGCCAAGAATGACGGTCTGCCTTCGCCCAAGTCGCCCCGTATCCGCATGAACCCCAGGCGCCTCCCATCCAGAGGTGCCGATAGTGCCGAGCCCAGCCCGAGCGAGTGTGCCCTGGCGAGGAAAATGAGGAAGGCACGAGAGGCTAGAGAGGCCAAAGCGACTAGAGAGGCTCGACAGGTGAGTTAGAATCTCGCCAGGTGACAGTAGGGAAGTGTCACTGACTAAAATTGAACAGGCTACCAGAACTGCTGCTGAGGCACAGAAGGCTGAGGCCGGCGAAGCCACGAAGCCGCGTATGAGAAAGGCGTTTTCAAAAAAGGTGATGCGTTCAAGCGATCCCGTCGACAAGGCGTAATCCTGGGGCTTTGCGTGTTATGGTGCCATGGAAGATTGGGTCATACTGAGAAGCCTGCGGTGCCATGATGCTCAGCTGCTTTAGCCATCAAGATTTCAAGTAGTTACGGTCAGATCTGAATGGAAAATAGTGCATCGTCGTTTCTTGCGGTTTTCAGGCTTGCTCATTAACATGTTTTCTCGGGAGCCGTTCGTTATCGAAGGGAAATTGTTTAATAGTGTGGTAGATACCTAGGAGGAGGTGATAAATTAGGCACAGCAAGTATCGTGAGCAGCGAGATCACTCTATGTACGAGCGCCAGGATCCTGAGGGTCGGGGAATCGATTCCTACGGAATGTCAGCCCCCGCAGTGGTCTCCGGCGCTCGTATTCTCTGTGCGGTCCTCGTCATCTCCGGACTTCCAGTTGTCCAATATCCTGACAGAACTCAACGAGAAACTCCGTAGGCTCGAAGTTGAAGTGTATCTACATCCTTACTCCTCTCTATTCTACTTCAAGTAATCTGTTATCATGTAACTTCGTCCAGATGGTACGCCGCATGGACAATGGAAACCGTGTGCACTGAAGATCATCAAAGATCACTCGCGCAGGAGAAATATCTTCAAGGGTGACGAACTGTGCCGCAGTGGATTCGGCGGCCCTGCCCATTACGCCACCATGTTTCGTCTGGCAAGCCTTTCTCTTATCTTAACGAAGTTGAACGGTGGAGACGGCGAATAGAGAACGGAGTGATGATTTTGCGAGTCGAGCTATCGAATGTCAGTGGCATGAGGGAACTCTCCTCATGTCCGGTGTAAGGTGATGGTGAAGTTTCGAGGAGCAGTGTTCACAGTTCAGAAGGAGTCAAGGACTCGGTCATGCGAATCGTATCCGGAGAAGGAGATGATCTTTCTTGCTGTTTGGCCGCGGTCATGCAAACTGTATCCGGAGGACATGCGTTCTACTGTCTGGTGTCGCCGGTGGGTCTATCTCCCAATGGTAGAAATATTCTGCATAGATAGAAGGGTGCCAGCCCGGAGAAGAAGAAGAAGCAAGCAACAAAACAGTTTTATCCTCCCACCAATCCTTTCATCTTCCTACCAATCCTCCTATCCATCTGGGTATCTTTAACATGAAGGTATGGAGTAGTGGGTAAGTAGTAGCACTGCTGCTGCTTCGTCGCTGGGGTAAAAAGTCGCACTACAGATTTCGGACGTGTTCATAAGCACGTGTAGTAAACTTACAGCATGGAAAAAAACCCCGCGTGGCCTAATGGTCACGCACCCGGTGGAGTTAGCATTGACACCGGTCCTGCTATCGGGGTTTCCAAGCCAACCACCGGGGTGGTGAAGGTTTTTGGTTCGAACCCAGTTCGGCACGGGGTTATCCCACGCCGCTGTTTTTTTCTCTTCGGTTGAATTATGATGGGATTCATGGGATTCAACCTTAGTAGGTCATAACAGATTAAATGTCTGTTTTTACCCGGCAGCAGTTTCAGCGACCTTTGTTCACGAGAGAGATGCCGTCTCCATAGCTCTCAGTCTAGCCCTCTTCTCGAGTCAAAACCATAATTTTGCATCTGATGGCATACCCTAATTCGTCTAGGAAAAACGTCGGGTTGAGCAGTGGCGTCGCAGTTGAGGGTGTATGTGTGAGCGCTGCCATGATATAGATAGCTCGCATGCAATCAACGATTCAACAAAACCAAAAACCGGTAGCCGTCGTGGCCGAGATATGGGCCGCCGAGGACGCAGCAATACGAGAAGTGCGCCTCGACGATACCTCATTTGACCATCCTCGGAGCGCGGCATGGATCCGACGCTTGTAGTCAGTGGTGGTACATCGATATGCGAAGTGTTCGAGTCTACGGTCCGCGGAAGAGCGAAGAAAGACGAGTCGTGACCTAGACGAATAATTTCCTTGATGGTGCCGCTGGCCGTCGGACTCTGAGATAGCGTAACCAAGTGCATAGCGGAGAGATTCACTGCCGATGGGAACGTAGACGCGGACAAAGTAAGGTATAGAAATGGTAGAAGGCGGACAAGATAGCAGAATCGCAGGTTTTCGAGCACAGCTTCGTGGAATTAAAAACGTAGTTGCCATACTCGTGATGGTCATAGCCAGAGCTTGCGCCGCAGACGAGCCGGTTGCTGTTTGCCGTGTAGCGCGTTAGTAAAATGGTATAAACATGAGACCGAGAATCATTTGCCTGCTGAGATTCTGTGATTGGTCCTGATAGGTGATCAGCAGACGTAGCAATGCAAACTATGCTATGCTAGTCTCATCTGTTGGTAGTACGTCTAAAGACCATTCACCTTGCGCGAGACATAGAAAACAAAACCCTAGTAGTAGGTAGCCCTAATTTTCACAGCCCACAAACGTCGACGAAGCAAATACGACCGCACGTCCCCTACAAAACTATCTGATCCCCCTTCTCGTGAAAAACTATCTGAAGAATCAACCCTTTCGAGGAGATAAACATTCGACAACACAAATCTTTCGCGGATATGGAAATTTCGGAGCCTTCCCCCACTTACTCCCACCTTGCCAAAACGCCCAGGAAAAAGTTGTTGGCTCTTTTTCCCGCACGGGTACCAGACGTTACTTACTAGTTTCATCGCAGGCGGCCAAATCCACAGCTGCGCCGACGCCGTGAGGCCTACAAGCTGGTACGCATCGCCGCGGAGCTGAACGCTCCTGGTGGACTGGAGAGGATTTTGGATGCTCCCGGTACCACCGCGGCCACCAGCTGCGCCCGGGCAGGTGGCTCCTCATCTCCGGGCACGGCTGCTGTCAGACCCTCGTCCGCCGGTGGTTGAGACTTCGTGTCACCTTCGCAAGAAGGTAACCGAGTATATCACCATCGGGGAGGACTTGGACATTGCGCCGTACCTCGGATGAGGTGGCGACTCCTCCCAGCAGGTGCTCTGGACCGAGAAAGTGAAGGGAGTGGCGGAGTGATCGGAGAGATGGAGGGAGGGGCGAGAAACATTAGATAGTATTAGCTCGTACACTAATACCAAAAGAATCCGTGCGCTATTCCTTTTCATACCGAGAATCCAAAAAAAACCGGTAATGTCATATTCACTATCGACCCCTAATTTCAACTTACCAGAGCCACTATTAGTAGGCAGCGGCGCAGCAATGGGCCGTGGTATAGCTTTCTCTCGACCCAGCGGAGCTGGCAGGACAAGAAAGGTTCAAAAGTTACTGGTCGCCATAGTTTAGTACGGCCGCATGCGTAATAAATCAATGTTCTCTGTCTCTCTCTTTACGTCTAAAGACGAGTCCCAAAAGTCCATGCTTCACCACTCCCGCTCCATGAAACTACTCTATCGTATTCCCAATACCACCTCGCTAGATGCCCTGTCATGGCAAGCGGTGAAAATCGCGCGAATTTGCACGCCATGAAGGCAAACTGGCCTTAAACCATCATTAGAACCACCTGAATACAATCGGAACCCTTTATTAGCCCCCAAGGCAATCTTTGACTAGGGTGTGGGTAGTCTACTTGGACGGGTGGAGGAGTGGCCACTTCTGAGGCGATTTTCGAACTCCAGCTCGATGCGATCCGTGGGATAGCAGGAGGGCGTGCAGTGGCACCTCGCCGGCAGGGCTGTCAACCGTCCGTCCCGTCCGTCTTTGAGGTCGCCCAGCCCGCGGCGGAATTAACTGCTCCGGTCACGAGCCCGATAACGACTTTCTATGGCTCTCCGCCCAGCCCTCCCCTCGTCGTGCCCTGTTAATATGGGTAGATATTCCGCACCGACCGAGGAGCCCATTTCGACCGCCGACAGCCTGGATATGGTAAGGCAATATGGCGCTGCGCTTTTCGTCAACGGGATACCTACCTAGTCTGTGCAGCTGTGCAAATGAGCAGCCAATCAGCTCGTCGGTAGCCTGGTAGCTGACACCACGTAAACGTAGGAGTAGTTGCAATAATCTCGTTACCGGGAAGGGGTCCTGTATGTATAATTACATCAAACGTGCTATCTAGATGGCTAGAAGGCTTGGGTTGGACGCATGCCGTCGCCGCCTACGCCGGGCAGTTGCGCCGCTGCGTGCACTGAGGCTTCTCCCAGCCATGTACAGTACGTGCTCAGAGCTGTCCCCATAGCTACATAACGGACGTTCAGATCTGACAGAAATAACCAGCCAACGTTTAGACCACCGTCCTGTGCAGCCAGCGATCCACAATCCAAATGTTCAAGCCCCGCCAGCCACCTATGCGTCCGCGAAGGACGCCATCAGCAAGCCAATTCATTCGCTCCGAGTGATGCTGTATCAGCGCGATCTACACTCAGAGGCGGCCGATAATCTCGACGAGAACGAAACTATTTATCCTATATACCAATGGCACTCCCCTCTGCAGAACACTTGTCCGCGGGGTACGTGGCTGTTTCCGCCCTGACGATCGAAATGTACCGGTGAGTTCTGGTCGATGACCCGATCGTGGAATGAAATGAGTAGGAGGCGGAGAGGGGATTCGGGAGGACGAGGGCTCGGCAACGGATGATGAATCCACACTGTCAGCTCACTGAAACCAATAAACTAGAGAGTAAAATCCCTCGCAGACGATACGGTAGCGGATAAGCATGTAGAAGTAGAATTGGTAAATTGAAGTGCGGTATGAGATGTGAAATTCTAGATCTAGTCAAAGTTGGCTGGTTAATACTCAGTAGCGAATAGACCACGCAGTGAGATCCGGAACCTCGTATCCTTCACATCACTGTACAGCGGATATACTTCTTCTTGGACTCCTTGTTGGCGACGGCGCCGGTATCGGCCTTATCATCAGCGTGCTCGTCGTCGTCACTGTCAGATTCGAACATCTCATGGTCAGAGGCAGGATCTATCCCCATATCAGCACTCTGTTCCTAACACTTCCACCCTCAACCTCATCACGCACAATTTTTATAGTAGAATCCACTCTTGACAGTGCTCTGCGTGCCACCCGAAGAGAAGCTAGCCGCGCTCTCTATCGACATGTCGGACAGCTTCTTGCGGATGCGTCCGTCGTTCGCGCGGCACTTCAACTTGCTGTGGCCACTTCCGGCAGGCGAAGGCGGGGCCATGTTGGCGACCGTGTCACGGCGAGACCGGCGGACAGCTAATTCATCAATTAATCCTCAAGGGTCGCGGGACAGTGTATTTGCAGTTTGGAGGGTACCGTCAACGGGAACGCCGCGTGTGGGCGACATGCCGGCAGCGATGATCCAGCCGTCCTTGGTGGGGATGTAGCTGTCGTTCACATGGTCAGCGACAACCTTGTCAAGTGAACCAGGGGGCAAGAACTGCATACATATGCCCCTGCGGCTTTGGGGGGAACGCTCCAAGCTTGGCGGGATACGAATGCCGGCGGCTGAGAGTGGTAGGCGGTAGGATGAGGGTGGCATGCTTGGCGCCATGAGCGGGTGGGGGGGATTTCTCGGACATGGGGGGTTGTTGGGGGAATAAATGTTTTGAGGGAAGTCTGGGTGAGAGGGGGGATAGATCTTCCTATTTTATGTTGCAAACCGAATGGAGCGATAGAACTCAGAGGTTGCGATAGAAACGAGGCGTGGGTGTGAATCGTTGTGAATGCGTGGGTCACGTGATACGTAATACCTGATGTGTGACGGGCAGACTCGGAGTCGGCCCACAGTCCATTTGCAGCGGCACATGACACACAACATATCACTTGCTACTCACAATTGCGCTCCCGGTTTTAGGGCACAAGGTAGATTGAGGGTCAAAGACTTAGAAATAAAGCAAAAGACAGCAGAGACTTGGCAGTACGCTACATGTGACATATGATGAGATAATTCAAGACATAGGAAAAGGCAGTTTAGGATGACCCGGAACCGCGAGGTTAGATGCAGCTTCTACGCACTCGGAGAGACAAGCCGGTAGGACAATCGCGTGAACGGCTAATTGTAACTGCACAGGGAGTGTATTTCAACAATGGTAGGCTTTTATCAACGAATGGAAAACGCGGCATGCCTTAGGCCCTCAGCCAGTAAGAAATATAAGACAACTTTTCATTTCATGCTAGAAAATATGAGCTATTGCTACACGTCAAGTCACGCATAACATATCATGCCAGTTATTCCACAGTGAACAAATCATCAAGTGCTCAATCATGCGAGCACCGTCGTCATCGCCATAAGGGCTTCCTGGCGGTCTGCAAAGTCGATAAACGCCCATTCCAATAGCGCGCCAGTGGCTGCATCTGTGGGAATCGCGACTTTCTTCCTATTTACACAGCCATCATCAGTATCTATTCATCATCTCTCGAGCAAGGGAAAGGTACTCATACTGCCAGTCCACGGTCTGCAAAGTACCTGCGAACCTTGTCATCAGTGATTCCCTACGAGACACCACCCATGACTAGACGGCAATCATCTACAAAGACGATGATACGTCCATATCCCACAGGCGTCGATGGTGAATCCGACACGCCGATAGTAGTATTGGTCGCAGCCTCCACTTTAGCACTCGGGGACTCGGATAGCGGGTCGAGAGTAAGAGAGCTGTGGGCGTCGACAGTGGCGAGCTGCGTCGCAGAGGACGAAGGCTTCGGGTCGTTTGAGGTTTGAGTTGTAAATTCCTCAGTAGGCGTAGGCTGATCTGTCGAGCTGTCAAAATCCTCAACGATGCGACCCGAATATTGCACACCGGTAGCGATGGCATTCTGGTAGGCCTCAGCCAGCATCCACCTTGTGCGCGGCGCCTCTTTCTGAGGCTCGATCTCTTGCTCGGCACCGTTGGCAGTGCTGATCAATGATACTCCATAGAAGGAGTTCACCACATTAATATCACGGATGTAGACGGCTAGATACCTCTCTTCCTCCGCGCGAGGTTGCTCGTTTCAGGTGGCGAGAGACTGCCTCCTTAGTATACGTTTCTCCGATGCGCAAGTCAAAGCCCGTGGAAGGCTTCAGGAGCGAAGAGGTGGAGGTTGGGTGTCCGCTCCATGGTTGGGCGAAGGGAGCCATTTTGGCTGCTTGTCGATGGCTGTAACTTATAATCTTGCCAACGGGTGGAGCAATCGTCGTTTTAGAAGGTGCCGGCCGAGAGTCGGGTAGGTAGCCTGAATGCACTGGGCAGCAGAGAGAAGAGAAAGATGGACGTTAAGGTAAGGATCAATGGGGAGGCATGGATGCAGTCGATCATCGCTGGCTGGGTCGCATCCTGGATACATAGGGCATTACCGTACGTTCACTCAGGTACATTCCGACCGCTTCCGTAGTTCAAACAACAGAAAACTAGAATATCACGACCTACTACATCTTATCCAGATATCTGCATACTGCTTACATAAGACAAGTGCTGGCTTCGGTACTAGATGACTTCATTAGTATTGGGATAGGCTGAAGACAGGGGTTCAGCCTTGCTGTGCGACCCTCATAACTTTCTCATTTTTTCTCCAAACCAGCGATGTAATTATCAGCACAACCACTGTTTAAGACGTTATCTTTCTTTCGAGCATCTTTTCAAATTGTCATCATGATAGTTGTAGTGGTTGGCACCGTTGGGTGATTAGAGAGAGACCCTCTCACTATCATCAGCCTCATCTTGCAGCGCCAAGATTCAGCCTATCCCGATACTAATAAAGTCATCTAGTATAACCGTGGACAATGGCGGGACGACTAAAGGTAACCAAATAGTGCAATCTACGAAGGTACGCTTTTACGAAGCGATCGAAAACGCAGCACGCCTTAGAGGCTTAGCCAGTAGGAATTTTAAAACACTCCCTTTTATTTCATTCTGAGAACTATACTGTCCGATATCTGCAGCCAAACGTATAGCATTGTGGGTTTCTTCCCTAATAAATACCGCATTGAGCTATCCGTTAGGTGAGTACAGCCGTCACTGCCGTAATAGCATCCCGGCCATCTCCAAAGTCAATAAAAGCCCATTCAAGTAGGGCGCCAGTAGCGACATCGATAGGGATGGCGACTTTGTGGCCATGTTCAAAGTTAGTATCCGTTCATCATTTGTTGAGCAAGGGAAAGTCACTTACACCGACAGCCCGCGGTCTGCGATTTACTTTCGAATCTTGGGTTCAGTGGTTCTCTGTGAAACCCCGCCCATTACGAGACGGCAACCGTCAACAAACACGATGATGCGGCCAAATCTGGCTGGCATCGAAGGCGATTCCGCCACCGCGATTGCATTAGCAGCGGGTGCCGCAGCTTCCGCTTCAGAAATCGTCGATTGTGGGTTGATTGAGGGCGAGCTGAGTGAGGCTGTAGTAACGGGCTCCGTGACAGAGGACGAAGAAATTTTGTTGGATGCCCTCTGCGTTGCTGGCTCGATGTTGAAATCATTCGGCATGCTGGTGATATCCTCGACGATCCGACCCGACTCTTGTACCCCGGTGGCGAACGCATTTTGGCATGCTTCGGCAAGGATCCACCTTCTGCGCGGTCGCTGTTGCTGTGGCTCATTTTCTGGTTCGCCGGAGTCGTCGGCACGAATCAACGGGACTCCATAGAAGGAGTTTACCACGTTGATATCGTTTATGTATACAGCCAAGGAGCGCTCTTCCGCTGCACAACGCTGCTCGTTCATGTGGCGAGAGACCGCCTCCGTATAGGTCTCCCCAATGCGGCAGTAGAAGTCGGGGGTAGGCGAGAGGAGAGAATGGGTTGAGGTCAGGCGTTCGTTGGAGGCGGGGGCGAAGGGGGCCATTTTTGATGTCTTGTGGATAATTGTAACTTTAAAAGCTCCTAAGGGGTGGAGTAATCGTTCTACTGAAAGGTAAAGGCCGAGTGTCGGGTAGTTTAGCTGCAGGGAGCCGCAGATAGGAGAGAATGATGGAGGTGGAGGAGATGATTGAGGTGGATGTAAAGAGGGAAGTGGAACTGTCGAGGGTAGGATAGATGTGGAGGAAAGGATGTGAGTGGAGAAAAGGATGCAGGTGCACGAAAGGCTGCGGTCGATCATCGCTAGCTGGGTCGAACGCTGCGTAAGTAGGGAATTAGGTAGGTTCACCCGCGTACCTTCCGACCGAGTCCCTGGTTCAGGCGCCAGAATATAGGAATACGAAGACCAACTACATCTCAGCCAGATATGTACTGCTGACATCACACAAGTACATATGGTTAGGGACACCTGAAGTCGGAGATTAGCAGACAACTCGAGAAGTTTAAACTGCGTATTCCCCACCGTACAAACATATTAATACAGAAAGCAAACGTCTAAAACGACAGTTGTCGGGCAGTATGGACTACAGGGTCGACAAATCTGGCATTTTAGACGTCTACCATTAAAACATCTTCTCATGTAACAATTTCCACTTCACTATGGAGCAGTAATAGATGTGCGCCATCCCCGGATAAGCGTCCGCAGCGATACGTCTTACGCTGAGTTGATGACCTTAAGGCGGAAACAATCGGAGTACATAAAATCACAAAGCGAGGTGAACGCTTGTTTTGCACCAGATTATTCCGCATTACAGGTGACGTCATCCCCGTTCTTCAGCATATACACAGTTCTTGACTATCACAGGAAGTTGAAGACTCGGCTCAGCAGCTTAAGGTTCTGAGCTGGGCCGGCGAAGAAGTACGTAAATATGGGAGATGAGACAAGCTGAAATCTAGCAGGCGCTTATCAACAGTTTCCCCCGCGTATCTCCAAGGGAGTTATCGGTATTACTCCCGCTACCCCTCGCCCGCTAATCCGTAGGTGGAGCCAAGCCGCGAAATTCGCCAGGTGGTTTACCAAAGAGGGTCCGATTCGGCTTCCGCCAATTCCCACAGTATGGACACCCGTGCTCCGGCTTGTACCCGGTTACAGCAATCGGCATCACATCGCATTCTCCCATGATGGCTGCTTCACTACGTCGTCCAGCACAATAATACTGTAATAGTGGCTGTATGCCGTCCTGCTCAGAGTGATGGCGATCCGCTACCATCAGGATCAGACAGCTCCCCGGCGATGTCCATCCGATCACCACTATGGGCCCGGTTGGATTGCGACACTTCATTACCCACAATGTCAGCAGCTCTGGCGCTCCTCGGCGCGAAGCAAGGTGCTTCTTCTTCTCATCGGCGAGACATTCGCTGAGGAGCGACATGCGCTCGCTATCCGTCACCTCGACGAACGCCTTCTCCGTCGCGTAAGACCCCGGCCGGCGTATGTGCAGCGTGAGTGTCCCGCTGCTCTCGAGGATGTCGAAGTCCACCACGCCAAGGGAGTCGTATTCCACGTCTGGCACTTTGAATCGATGTTTCGTCGTGACAATTAAACGGTTTCTGGTTAATTTTGCTACGTCGATGCCGTTAATTATGACACCCTGATTATTATAATCCCGGTGCAAGCTGTATAAGGAGTGCACGCGCCCATCGATCAGCATCTTCTCTCCCGGCTTCAAGACACCCCATTGGACCGTCTCCAGAGGCAGTTGCTCCGCCCTAGCAGAGTGCGCCGAGTGCTCATTGAACTTTAACACGATTCCTGTAGGATAGGCGGTTTGATACCAGGGTAGTATCGTCTCAAAATGTTTTATCGGGAGCTGCAGGTCAATAGAGTCCAGGCTCAGCCGTCGTACCGGCGAAACACTGCGTGGTAAGGAATCGCGGCTTTCTGTTTCGCGCATCTCTTCAGCGGCGGCTATAGACTCGCGGGAGGTGAAGGAGAAAGCGGGAGATTGTTCTCGCAGGACGGGAAGGGGTTGTTGACGAGGGGGGGCAGGCGAGTCCATCGTCGAGGTTGATGGATGGAAGATTCCCGGTGGAGCTCTGCCGAATTGCTCCTGCTTCTCCTCCTTGTTCTTCCCCTTTCCTTTGAAGAGTTGGACTAGAATCTTCGGTATTGTGGCCAGGCGGGTCGAGCGCGCCACTGACTGTGCTGCCGAGGAGCCCAAGGCATCTGAGCGAGCGTGATGAGCACGAGTGGTCTCCTCTCGTGTCACCTGACGGAAGTAGTTGGCGTGATCCTGGATTTCTTCGCGAGAGGGTCGGACCCTTGAAGTTCCTTGTCTCGGAGTATTGTGATTCATACTGATGAAACAGATGCTGAAGATATCTTTACTGAGATTACTGGAGAGATCGAGCTTGGGTTCTAGTTGGAAAGAAATATGGATGTAGAAAAGAAGGTGGAAGGGAAAAGGGAGGGAACAAGGGTGTATATAAGGGTTCGGTTCAGCGGCCTTCAATGATTATCCTCCCGTTTTCAAGTGTAGACGCCCAGAGCGGAATTCAAAGTTGCAATCAACATAAAGCCATTGTATGACATCGCTGATTGTGTTCTCGCTTACGAGAGACAGGCAACTTTCAAAAGGGTTTCAGAAGTTCCGTCTGATCTCAGGGAACTCGTTCCGAGGGGCGTCCTTCTTGTCAAATCTCCATGCGGAAGTTCCTATGTACCGCTGCCAACAGCCACCCTCAACGCACGCCATCCAAGGCGGAGCGTAATCTGGCATCGAATGTTGTCGCCATGTCCTGAATTCTGGGAAACTAATTGCTTAAACACATCATCATGCGATGATTGCGTAATACCAGTCAGACGAAAGACGCGTTTAGGTGAGAAGACCAGCCCTATCGCTATTGCCGGGAATGTTTTCTTCGTCCCAGCTTTCCACCGCATTTTCGTGACCTGAATTAGTTTTACCGCCACATGCGAAAGGAGGTTACAATTGCACAAGCAAGAAAGTCACCCACAGTGATCTTGGCTAACTCCAGGTCCTCTCGACCTCGCCGGCGTCGTGGAGGTGAGTTAGCATTTACTGGATGAATGGTTGATGGCCCTGCTGGGTAGAACCTAGAGGGTAGGCGTATGGACTCCTGAGCTGAGATGGAATCCGGTTTCTGACAAAATTTGCGGCTGTGTTAATAGTTCTTACTCGTAGCTTTCACATATGCCCATTCCTTGGCTTCCTTCCACTTGGACTATGTGATGCCATGCTTTGGGTATGCTGTCGACGATGTCACTATGACCTGACGCGTACTGTAGAGCAGCGGGTTCTTTCCAGTCCTTACAGATTGCTTCATTCGTCTGCCTTCTCAATTCTTATAATGCATCCTTGGAATTGTTAATGGATGACCAAGGAACTCTACGCGACCGTTCCAGCAGCTGCACCATATTCAAAATCCTGTCTAACACGAAGCATATATGAATCATGCGAAGCCACAGCAAACACCCTTGGTGATTGTCGGGGAGAACAAAATCACTAGAGTTAAGCTCAACAAATGCACCCTCTTCTTCCTTATCAACATATAGATAGTATCACAGAGATTTTGGCAATGCAAGTTAAACTTTGAGTGACGTCTGCATATGGCTACCAGTGGAAAAGGATAACTCGAGTGACCGCGGAACTAGTGTAATGAAACAGGGCTCCGTACCCTAAGTGGATAGTGCGCAACAGTAGCCGCAACACGCGCACTTAACCGGCACAATACGCGCTTGAAAACAGATCCTAATGACGTAGGCGGCTCTTCGCCTTCTTTCGTTTACCACCCTACCAATGAACAGCCGACTAGCGGCACTCAACATCACCTACGAAAAGGTACGTACGTCACAGCAACCGTTATAGGTGACCCAACTAATCTTTTTAGAAAACTGCGCTACCGTGCAGCCGCGCTACGGCGCTACCGTAGAGCCGGAATGTTCCGGCTAGCGGAGGAGCACCCGCGATAAATATCGCGGATGTTTTGAGTCTCCGCTTCTTTTCTCTCTCACACCATCGACAGAACGACAAGAGAGAGTAGCGATGCAAAACCATCGCACCACACCACTGTTTGAGGGAGTCAAGAAGGGGAGCGTTCTGGAGGCGATGATGGCGGCAACCGGGATGAGGAGTCACACTGTGCTGTGTCTCCTCATCACCGTGTTCCGCCGGAATCATCCAAATCGCCCCTGCGACTGGGTCGGTCATGTCACAGGTTAGTAACTTTACAATACGCTCAAGTGGTTCGAAAGCTGAAGGCATCGCGCAGGGGACATTACCACAAAGGAGGTGGGCCTGAGCGCCCAATCAGAGGACTTTTTATCCTGTGAGTTCATTCCATTCAATGGTTGGTATGGTTTTGGCTGACACAGACAGTCTGGTTGGCGGTCTTCCAGGGACGATTCCGACCAACGCTGGATTTGTTTCCGGTGTTGGTTGGAACTCCCCTGGAGCCGATGCTCAGGGCCAATGTGAACCTGTGGGAGTCGCAGCGCAGCAACCGCGGCGTGTCTTCTGGTTCTGGTGTTCCTGCGGTTGGGATGGACGTCGACCAGCCGGTTGACAATCCATCACCCCGGTCGAACGCGCCAGCAAGACCAGACGTCGCTGCAGCCCTCGCCCCTCAGGCGTCACTTGGTAACCCCGCCCTGCCCGTCAACCCCGTCCCGCCCGCCAATCCTGCACCGCCAGCCAACTATCATGGCGCTCACAAGTACTGTGGGCCGCCGATGAATATCGTTGTGCTCGGTGGCGGTGAGGATCCGCAGACAATTCAAAACGATGATGGCAAGGTTGAGTGTTCGCTCTGCGGTGACATGCAGGCGTCCCAGGCGTTACTCAACCGCCACTTCGTCAAGCACAGGGTCGGGACTCTGGAGTGCCCTTTTGGTTGGCGCCCTCCTGGACGCACCCCAACTTGCTCGCCGCATATGGTCTTTTACCGCTGGTACGTATTTTCCCTCCATATATGCTGCTTCGCACACGGCATGCTGACCCTCAGATAGGGACAAGTTCAACGACCATATCAAGCGACACCATCCGGAGGTCAATCAAGATGACCCCACTCGTATACACGTATATGAGCAGTACCTCAAGCGCGGAGAACGTCCCCAGCATAGCAAGCTGGCGCAGAATCTCAAGGGCGAGAAGAGGAGGCAGCGATGATGTGGTTGTTTGACTGTCAAAAGGGGTAACACGATTTACCACAGTGCCCTCATTCTGGGGATTACACTGTTGAAGAATAAGGGGAACGAATTTGAAAGAGGAGAGTCGTGGGGGTGATAGAATGTTTCAAGAGGGGGATGACACGTTTGATATACTGATATATTGAGCGGAGATACTTTCTACGAGAGAGGATGATGGCAATCGTCTGATTGTTTCAAAAGGAGGCTTACACGGCTGAAGACTGAGCTGAAAAGGTTTGAGATTGGGGAGTTGGGCAACGGTATCCGGTTTTTCATACGTTTTGTGGAGAACCTTGTTAGTTTGTTCTCTCGATAATTGGTGCTGTGCGATTTGCCAGATGCAGTGTTGGGATTTCATAGACACATGCATAATACATGGCTTCGCGGATGGAGATCAAATTCTGGCGAAATATTTCTTTGTCCTATGAAGCGTATAGCATATAGTATATGCAGTAGAAGGCTTTGATACTGGGGTGGCAATCGAATAGAGAGAGTTATATGCGATACCTCGAGCTGTTGCAGCGGTTAACTACACCCCTACGGGATACCTGTGTCTTCTGGATTGCACCGACTTTATCTCACAACTACCACCAGGCCACAGCATACCCACCGATAACAAAATTCACGCAGAAATTTCTATCGTTCAACTTGAAAATCAGCCTGCAAAACCACCTCAACTTGGCGATACTTCCAGAACGCACATGGCAATCAATCAAGATGAAGACAATAAAATCCTACTACAATCAAGATGTTCATCTTGGTGGGATTTTCTTATATAATCCCTGCGTCCTCCTATGGCCATCCCTGCTTCCTCGAGAAGTGAAGATATAAAAACCGGGTGTTGAGTACCAAACCTCGGACGACCTTATCCCGAAGGACCTAACGAGCGTACCAAACTTCATCCAGGCGACGCGCTAGAAGCCACCAAGCGATACAAATGGTAAGAGAAAATAAGTCGAGGATATACCTGCATCATCTGACTATGACTTTCTGAGGGCTCATGATAAATCCGACCAAAGCTGACATACAATTTACAGAGTAGCTCTCTAGAAACCCCGAAACGGACGGCCGATCCCCGCCGAAAAAAAACCAAAACTCCGCAAGCGACATCTCCACCATCTACTACCAGCACATCTCCCCGAGAAATACCACCACAGCCGGTATCCTCAAGCTTGGAAACTCCGGCTCTAAGCGCCGAGGAATTGTATAGTCAAAAGGACTTCGGCTGGATTTTCCGCGAAGCGCCAGTGATACGCGATGCACCCAAGTTTTGGCCGCAGTATGGGATCCAAATTCCCACGGATGACGGTCTTGGATCGACTGGTGCAAGCTCAGCATCTACTATGGACACCCGGCTGGCGTCACGAACCTCGACTCCGAAGCACCCCAATCCAGCGTCGACCAAGTCGTCATCTGAGACACAATCGACTCAGGAACCACCAAATATCCCCAGCTACGCACAAGCCTCCAAGGATTACAAACGTCGTGGGGATCCCAACGACTTTTCTAGACGCAATGCCCTTATTGACATCGCGACATTTACCGGAATCACGGAGACGGATCTGATGAAAATTCTTTTCGATCGATTCCCCATTGACTTCCTAGAAACGTTCGGACACCAGGGTAACTGGTTGACGGGCTTGCTCTGTATGCAACGACCACCGATGTATCCCAGATGATCATTTGCTGACCGACGGACATAGTTGACGTCCAGCGTGAGAGAGGTCGCACATATACAGACGAAATCGGGCGATGGCTCAAAGGTAAGTAAGCCATACATCGCTTGCCGATAGTCGCGGCTAACCCTTCAGAGTGGCTGGCCCGTTTAAGAGTTTATACGTACCACCCGCGGTGGCCGGGGATACTCGTCAACAGGGAAGAATTGCAGAGAGAAAATGCGCGGTTGGAACAGAGAAGACTTGCAACATTGGCGGCTACTACTCAGAACAAGGTGAATATCGGCGACGAGAGCAGTAAGGACGAACTACCAGCGAATGTTGGCAACCAGGAAGTCTGGCATGTAAAGCGTGCGGACCCCCGCGTACGCTCCATATATCACAACTGGTACAATAGCGCAAAATGGAGCCCCCCAGCGCGAGGCATGGGGCTTGATCTGGATCCCACCCTGATCGTCGACATCCATCTTTTCGGCGGGAGAGGCGACCATGAGCCCAAAGATTATGGCGGACAGAGGGTGCACTGTGGAGCTTGCAATGCAGTGTTTACTGATTTGCAGACATGGTTCAAACACGCAGAGGCGTACCGTGGATGGGTACAGTGTCCGTGGGAATTTGTCGAGGGTAAACATAATTGTGGGCCAAAGGTGCAAAGGTACCGCAAATTTGCCGTCCCGCCACCACTTCCCAGACTGTACAACGACTGGGAAGAGGTATGCTCCCCTCAGAGAGTACGAATAATAACTACTGACCGTAAGAATAGTTCATCAATCATATTCATGAAATGCATCCAACCATACCGATTCGATGGCCCAACTGGCATCCCACGGTAGCGGCCGCTTGGTGGCGTCATGTCCAACCGGGGCCATACCTACACATGAACATCATCCTACGTGATGAGCGTAAGCCCACTGATACCCTTCCTGAAGGCAGTGAGTTCCGCCTTCAAGAAGACCATATTTGTATCCAACACCATCTCCGTCCGGAGAACTTCGAAACACCGGAAGGCTGTAAACCTAAGCTCCACAAAAACACCAATACGCCCAATGGCTACGTGGGTACACCCCAGCCATTAGGATATCCCAGGCCTATGGGAGATGCGGTGAGTTTTGCCTTCAAAACCAAATTAACATTCGCTAACGTTTGTGCGTTCACAAGGCTTTGCCTCCCCCGCAGACGGCGATATCAACATCAACCGGCTGGTCGACATCGGCACCATACATGCCAAGGGGGAGAGCAGCGGAGACTCCGAGGGTTCGGCAGACACCGCCACCGACACGGCCGCCACCCGCATCCACCGTTGAAGAAACACAATCAGAAAATAGACGAAAACGCGCGAAACCATCAACCGACGTCCTCCGGCCGCCACCAGGTCTGGCTGAAGCCGCAAAACGAGAGGCCGCCGCGCGTCTCGCTGCTGCGCGTGAGGCGCTGAGGCAGAAAGCGGGCCCTAGAGTGGGGGGGTTGCCGCTGAGCTCACCAAATGCCAATGATGGAAAGGTGGGCGGGTGGTGATAGGTATGGCGAGCGAAGTACCGCATAGCCGCCGAAAACTTGGTAGACAGAGTTGGCAAGGGGGAGGAGGAATGATGATTTTTACTTTTCTCAACAAAACGCCTACTATGTAATAGTTTTTCTGTGTTCGGCAGGATGGAATTGGATGAATCATGACGGTGGCCGCGATATTTGCAAATATAGCCTTCAGCTTTTTCCCGAAGCAGAACTGCTAGAATTGATCGTCGGTGTGATACCCACGTCTTGGCCACCGGGACTTTGATGTTATTTTACTGACCGTGCGTACTCTGCCGGGGTGAGATATGACGCGTCACTCGGTTTGACTTCCACTGGTCAGCGTATTCCTTGCGATAACCAACCATTGGTCGATGAATTGAACGATCAAACGAGAAACAACAATCTTCGGTGTGTGTAAAGACAAATTTGCATGGATGATCGCAACCAGTCGAAAACAGTCGAATACAGTCGGAAAAAAGTCGAAACCAGCTCTGCGTCTCCAGGGATGTTGACTCTTCCGCCTTCAACTCGCGCATCCCCCTGAAACGGCGTTTGCTCGGCATAACAATCATGACTTCTCGATCACCAACGCCATACCAGCAATTTCAGTGACGACATCCCGTATAGTTCTGGCTGTCCGTCCCCCTAAGTGTGCACCTCTTCACATTCACTGACCCTCTCCCAGAGCAAGCCGGGCCGTCCAGGTTGATGATGCAACCATACGACCAGGCTACCATCTGCGGCACTGCAGCTAGCTTTACCGAACGGACGTTACGCTCACCACCCAGAAGTTTCTGTGACACCCATTCCTCCAGCGTCGGAAAGCGCAGTCTCACATCAAACGATGAAAGTTTTGGACCATTCGATCTTCTCCGTGACGGACGCGAGCATACCGTCTATGCCGAATGACATCATCAAACCTACTGAGGTAGCCGGAGAAACAAACACTTACTCCCCATCGATCTCATAGACACCGAGGATCCAAGCTACTGGCCTCCGCCATGCAGAAGAAACGCTTCGACACAGTCGAGCTTGGTAGGATAAGAGTCTTCACGTGTTTGCGCAGAGGAACTAGTACTCGAGAAGGGAGTGGAACGAAAGGAATATAATCACGGACAACCTCTATTATTCTGACCCTCAACGACACCGCTACGGAAAGGTGTCATTTCGTACCGTTCCGCAGCTTTCTATTCTATCTACTTTCTCTCACGCGGTATCGTGTTGACAGAACTCTTAGGAAGCTCTCCTCCGTGACGATGACGACTCTTCGGCACATGCGCCTCTTCCCCCTGGGATCCCGACGAGCCCTTCAGGGAGTCTCCCAGCTTACCTAGCCAGCCCCACGTCACGCGAGCGGTCGTGTTCGCCTTCTTCTCAAGTTCTACGCAATATTAGTTATTGTCGCCACCCAAGGGGGAGTGAATACTGACCTTCGATAGCCTCACGTCGGAGGTCACGATCTTTCGGAAGAACACTCCCAATGCTGGAGGAGCTCTCCTGGCGCATGTGAGAAACCTTGGTGTGGCCGGGGCTGGCGGTACTGTCAGTCTGCACAGGTGCGGCATAAAGGGGTACATTACTGGCTGCCGCAATGGATCTTCTCGAATCGGAATCGAGGTCACGGTTTTGCATGGTTGTAGATGTCATGCGGCGGTTGGTATCTAAGGAGATGATGCCCGACGTGCGAGAGCTTTGACCTCGCTTACGTGCCCCGTTTTCAGAAAGAACTGTCTCACGCCTGATGGAAGAAGCAGGAGCTCCAGCAGCCACTGAAGAAGCAGTGCTTCCGCTCTCATTCCAGCTCTCGATCTTCTGACGAAGCGCCTTTGGTTTTTCCGCATTCAACGCAGTTTCCTGCTGCTGCGAACCTGAACTGGGTAAAGGCGCATCCGGGGCAGCACGACCAGCGTTAACAGGCCGACGAGCTTCCCACTGCTTGATCGCCGTCCGCTTTGCAGCATCGTCCTGGGCAGTCACCTTAGAGCTGGAAGGACCGGATGCCCTCAACCGAAGACGTTCTTCCATGGCGCGAGGGTTTGCACCGGCAATCCCGGTCGTCGACGGCTTTGACGTGCGGGCGTGATCCCGGTTAATGCTGGACGAGTGAGGCATGGAACTCCCGATGGTTGCATTGACCGTAACAGAGGCACGAGTTGCATCGTTGAACCGTGAAAGTCTGCCAGTACTGATGTCTCGAATACCGATGGCGGCACTGGATCCGCGTTGCATAACATCGTATGCGGGCTTTTTGCTCTGGGGAATATACTCAGTATTGGAACCGCCGGTCGGGTTATTTTTTTGCATTCTCATTTGCATCTGCTGACGAAGTGGCATAGGCTCCCGCATTTGACGATCTTGATAGCCGGGGTTCCACGTCTGACGATGGGGCTTCAGAGAGAGATCGGCAAGCTTCTTGTCGATCTCGGGTGCGCTGTCCACAGTCGGAAGGGTGATTGTGCGGAACGTGGCTGTCGGAAGCCTGGAAACAGATGTTGGCCGTGCATCAGCAGAGGTCTTGATGGAAGATCCACCGGCAATCCGAGTGACCGACGCACGATTCTCACCCTGAGCGCTTGTTCCACGATATCTGTTGCGAACCAGCAGCTGGTGGGTTCCGGTAGTGCCGGACGAGTGGTCGAGAGATGACCTAACGAAACGCCTCTCGTACGGTAATCGCTCCATTGCTGGTCCCGGCATCTTGGAATTGAACTTCGAGGGTTCATGATCGGGACTACTCAGTTGCAGCCCGGGGACGCCAGCACGCCCGTTCTTCTCTTCCGGGACCGCCGTCTTCATCTCGTCGACCTTGGACTCCATCGGCGTTTCGTCGGATGCCGATTGCGAAGGTTGAGGGCTGGCATTGATAGATTGAGGAGTGATCGGCTTCTCTAATATCGCCTGCTCATCCATTGTTCTGTTCCGCTGCACACCCGAAACTGCCTTGCTCAAACGATCTTCGATCGCAGTAACGATTCTGGGAACCTTCTTCTCGGATGACTGCACGAGTCCCCGGGGAGTACGAGGCGACCGGCCTAAGACGTCCTTCATCGGAGGAGACAGGTAACCGTGGTGGATCTGTTCAACCGGGAAAGTCTTTCGCTGCGTCTGCATCACTGCCTGATGACGGTCATTCCCGGTGATATCCTTGGTTACCGTCGCAGCAGTAAGACGTGGAGGAAGTGGCGAAGAGAGCTGAGGAGAGTCTTCAAAGACAGACATATGTGACTCGGATGTGTTGGTGACCTTCGCTGGCTCTAGCGAGACGTTACCAGAGCGAGTCGCGATACCGCCAGGAAACGCGTGGTGTTTCGTGATGGTCACAATATCGTGATTCTGTGTTGACTGTCTTGTCGGTTGAATGGTCCCTGTGCTGGAGACCGAGGATTCCGAGCGGGAATTTGTGTCGCGACCGCCACAGTCGTTTCTTCGAAGGAGCATCACAAAGTCGACTGTAATTTTGCGTGAAAGACCGGTCGACTGCTTCATAGGTAGAGTATGAACCAACGCAGAGACACTCGGATCTTTGCGATCAGTCCATTCTTCCCCTGCAAGGGTGTCTGACTTAAGCACACTCGGATTGAGTCGCTTATCCATCTGGGATGTCGTCGCCGCTCCCCAATCTTCTGGCTTCAGTCCGAAGAGAACCTCAAAGCCACCAGCGAGAATCCTTTTGGTCGGATTTACCGCCGCAAAGAGGACAACTAGTATGTCCTCATCGGAAACATCGACTGCCATCTCGACCTCAGGTTTGACGATCCTGTACCACTGCCATGTGTCAGCTGCCAGTATCGTTATCCGGGTCGAGCCAGGGCAGGTCACTTACATCCTCCGCCCACTCCTCCATCATTTCCCTACTGTTCAAACCAATCCTCGCATAATTCCCCAGCCTGCTTGTGATAATCCTTCCGGGATCCCGGTCGGGCTTGACCACCGGCTCTTCTCCCTGGTACTGAAGTCGCTGGATCATGACGTGGTACACCGTGCTGACCACACTAACCAAGTGCTGCTCGGCAACCACTCGCTTCACAGCATTGTACGTCATATCGAGGCGTCGGTCGATAGTGGCGTTGAGTTCCGCAATTTCATCTTCACGTCCGACAGTTTGGTGGCTGACAAGGAATTCCAGCTGGAAGACAAGGTCTTCGAGGGTTTTGCGCCGTTGGCTAGCCATAATGGATGGTGTCGAATGGTATGACATCGGGTATGGAAGAGCCCAAGAAATCCAAGGAAGGCTGGAATATCGGGTATGCAAGATGCAAAGGAAGGGAAAAAAGTACGGAAGAAGGACTCGGTGCGGTAGGGACTCTATTTTTATTCCGGCCCGGGGCTTTGGACACAATCCTAGGACCTACTCACAGTCCCATACTGTGAATATGAGTTCCGTCCGACTCACACTGTGCGTATGGACAGTGTGCGACGTCTTGGAGACCTGGACTGGGAGAAGGTAATGCTCTGCTCAGTGCACAGCAGTGTACTCACTCCGCAGGAATTGGCCATGTTCCTCCGGCAGCTCATGTACCTTTGGGCTCATACAGATATGTGCACAGTCTGTCAGTCCTTACGCGAGTGATCAGATATACGACATATTGTGGTAGCTATTCTGCTCCTCGGCGTTAGATCCGATCATATTCTTCCGCAGCCTATCCATCTGCAATGACAAGTATCTTATGCCTGCTCTGCAGCAACATATTTTTGTCCCATCGATAGCTTAGTAATAAACAAGAAGTAGTGTCCGCAACGACGGTGACATCAATTATGTTAAAATCCCAGCTTATCCGTCGTTATTGTTTAATATTTGATCGACTTCGGCGGGGCCTGTTTCTAGACTGCCACTACAGGATAGATGTTGCCCATCACATGATAATATTTGGTTTGTCGCCAGATGAGGGTCAGCTGTGGACGACATTTTGTACGGTGCCTGCGGTCAAGTAATAAAGCTCGCGATGTCTCGCACCCATCAACAATCATTCATAATCTAAAGAACCAAACCCAGGATTTCCCTTCCTTCTCACTTGTGGCAGACCGATGGGAAAGATACTGGCGGAAAGATGAACGTCCGAGTCGTGACTGAGAGTCTGAGATGAACAATATCCTCGGCTACGCCGTGGTCACAAATTCGAACCATCACGGGCGAGTGCGTGTTTTAGAGACGGTCCGTTGGGAGATGGGCGCGGACACAACAAAGCCTGGAGATGTTCCTAGGTTTGGTAGTGGGGAATGACATTGCATGCGCGTAACGTGCGCGATGGGTCCCTGCGGTCAGCTGAACGAGCGGTTGTCACCTCGCTCGGACTGCGCATAGTCTTCGTATTTCCCGGCAGAAGACATAGTACTATCAGAAAGCGTCCTGGCGTAGTGGGTAGGGAGCTGGTTCTCGGGCTGGTGCCGCTGGCCTGGGTTCAAGTGCCGATAACCGCGCGCGGGAAAGAAGTGCGGTCCTCGTGCACACACAGATGCTGCGAGGGTTAGGGGGCTTTCATTTTTTGCTACTCTTCCTTTCAAGGGTCCTTTTTTTGTTGCCCCGAGTTGTAAAGACCGGGATTTCGGCGGAAGGAGCCAGCACCCGCGGTGGTGGGTCGCGCGATCGCCTTTGCTGTCTTAGAGGTCTGCTTTTTCTCCCCCCTGCTCTCATCTTATGATTCGTCTTTTTCATTTTCTTCTTCTTTTTCCTTTTCGGCGTCTTCTCATCATAATCACTACCATCATCCAGATAGACGATCAACCCTACGATGTTCGCTTTTCCTCTGTGGGTGCTTTCTTCCAAGGAGCGGCAAACTCTTACTTCACCAATCCGAACCGTTTCTACTTCGCCGTGGTTACCGATTACTTTCCGATCATCAAACCTATGCTACACCTTTACGCGATGACATCCACAACGATCCCCTGCTACTACTATCTTCTCTATCTCTCGCACAACACTGCGTGACTGCGGTATCCCGCGTTGTCTCGGCCTACCGGGTGGCAGCGCTTCGCAGCCATCCCGACAAGCAACCCGAGCACGCGAAGCAGCACAAGATCATGGTGTTCCCGATGGTATTTTCTCTAAGTCTTCGAACCGATGATCAACCACTCACCCAGCTTCTCAGGACTGGGGGCACCACGCACATCATTTCGGTGCCGTACCACCGGTGACCCACTGACAGGACCATTACCCCGCGTTGTATGTCTCCATAATATAATTACTCTTTCACTCACATGCTAACCGTTTGAAGGCGAGTTCTGCAACCTGATCCGAAAACCCTGAAGAGGCAAAACAGGAATCCAGAGACCAGACCAACGACGCGTCCTCTGCGCAGCCGCTATGGGGAGTGATTCTCCCTGCCGATCGAGCTCGACCGGTACACCGATTGCACCATGGTGCAAGTTTGCGTCGCCACCAAGGAGCTCACCAACATTCCACCCGGACTGCCGATCGCTTCGCGCCCAGGCTGGATCTTTGTGTTCCCATTCTGGCGGGGCCTACCTTTCGCGAAGATCCACACGGATCGGAAGGCTAATATTAGCCACAGAGGGACTTCCAATCAGCACGTGGGATATAGGGACTTTGCCCCGTAGCGCGGGGGGAAAGGGGGAGGGTGAGGAGGAAGAGAGAGCCACGCGGCCTCCAGAAGAAGGACGTCCGTCTTCTTCCACTAGAAGAAGTGACGGCGTGCTGCGACAAACGGCACGTGAGGGAGAGTTGTGAGGAGTGAAAGTTGCTGCGGTTCGTACGTTGTGTTTTGTGCATTGTTTTGCTATGTTACGCCAGTATTCTCACCTTTTGCACACAACATTAAAAAGTTTGGGCGCAGAAGATGTGATCTATTGGCCCTAACTACCACAATTAACTCTACGATAGCGGAATCTTCATCTCGGTGGCTCGTCCCAGTTTTCACTGTTACCAGTCACCTGCAAACACATGATCATGCGCCGGTGGGATTGGATTCTAGCAGCTCGATACGCATAAAAATTGCCTGTCTCAATCGCCGCGCACGTACATAATTTTGTAGATCGTCGATTTTCAAAAATAGGTACCATCTGCAATCATTTCTCCACACGGAGTCTTCGCGACTGTTTGGATGAAGGGACTCAGGTACCAAGGTTAGTGCTCGAAGAACAAACAATTGCCCAAAATCACTTCCTTGAAACCATACTCATCGGAGGGAGTGGGGCAACAGAACGAAAGTCAGAGTCCTGGAGAGATCATCTGGAGTGCCGTCGGTCGTTGGCGCGTGTAATCGATGGTTACACGCATTAGTGATTAACTTTCGGTGCTAGTGCGAAGCGCGTCTCGACGCGGCTATATTCACGGCGGCGAGTGATAATTCCACCATCCTTCCCCGAGCTCAAACAGTATGAGGAATCGTTTGATTGTCCGCGTGACAGGTGAGAAAGCGAAGATGTAGCTAGTTATTGATAAGGTTTGTGCGTTCAAGGAATTGCAGTGGTACTTTGGGATGCGCCTGTGATGCTCCTAACCACACCGGCCTCATTAAATGAAGCAAAAGTAAATCTAGGAACAGTTGGCGTAGGTTTTCACATTAGAGCAACATTTGTGGAAATCAAAGTCCACTCAGTTTGAGAAGGGAGCCAACGCTCCTCAGAATATGATCCAGTTATCAATCCAGCATCTGGAAAACTGCGACACATCATTCGTCGTTCACATAAAATTTTAGTCTTTCTACTTCCGAGATTCACCCTGTCTCCCTGATCCGCATAATTCTACTCCTTGATCTCCTTCTTCTGAAAAGTTCCTGCGTAATAATTACGTCAGCATGCAATTCGCATCGTAATCGGTTTTCCCGCGCTCACCTGGAATCTCCGGCATCCACGACCTCCGATACTTGCAATAAAACTCCCCTTTGGGTCCTAGTTCTTCCAGTCCTTGCTCATCGAATGTTCCGTAGGTGATATAGGTATTATCCCCAGCGTTCCCCCCAAACTCCAGAATACCACTCCCGCACGTCCCGCAAAACTCCCTGTGCAGACTAGTACCCGATCCGTTATCGCTCATGTGTACCACCGGCTTGCCGCCGGTGATGTTGAGCGACGAATTCGGGATTTTGGTCGTGATACCGAATGGCGTGCCGAACCATTTCTAGATACCAGTTAGCTATGAGCGGCGAAAGTTCGGGGATGCGGACGGACACGACAGTTGGAACAGTGGCATATTGAGGTCCGCCCAGCATCGGCACTGTCGAGAGTGACCGTGTAGGTTATCTCTTTGCAGTAGCAGGAGCCGGTGTAGGTAGGCATATTGGTTCGCGAGATTGTGGTGAAGGCGTGGGAGAGGTTTGTACGGTGATGCTGCGTGAGACTGAGAAGGAGTCGATTCATTACCGAGTGTCGATGTGAAGTGGCGGCGACTTCGCATGGAGAGGAATTGGGTGATGTTCGCCATTCAAGCACGGTTTCGTAAGAGTGACGTCATAATGATGGAATTGGGGGCTGACTAATAACCCCTCTTCTGTTTCGACCTTGGGATTTCTGGTCATACCTTCGCCCGTGAGCAACACACATCAGACCGTTTCGAAATTCTTGTCTGCAGATACGGTATGTACAGCGGAAACACCACACAGCTGTGTCAAAAAACAAGGAACCTTTGAACGATAAGTTTCTCCATATTAATCTCAAATTCTTTCCGTCGGTGCGCCCAACACTTTCGGCGCACGCAACAGGAAGGGCGACGTCGTCTACTGACCAGGTTAATAATCATGAATGATTGTTAGTGCCAGGCCTGGGAATCGTCCGTCCTATCCGTCCGAGGTTATGCCCCGGACAAGACCGAATTTGTCGGCCCCGGAATATCACGGACTGTAGGGCTCCGGGCAAGCCGGAGGACGACTGGTTTTCAAAACACTAGTTTTGCCCGGCAGGCTAGAACCCCTCTTTCTCAATATTGCAGATACAGCCGGTTCTACCCTGAAGGCGTCACGGAAGAATGATGGGATTTTATTGATGTTATCGCTATCTCTGACAGGTTGACAGCTCAGACAGCGCAAAACAGCAAGCACACAACATTGTTCAGGGAAGAGCTACATTAGTTTGACAGGGCAGGGTGGCTTTGCAGGAGAATCATGTTGATCGTCCAACCAACCACGTTTCAAGATGGACAAAACACGAACGACACTACCCATGATAAAGCTGTGCATAGTTATGTAGAGCTAGGCACAAATCAACGTTCAAATAAATAACTAACATTCATCTTTCTAGACTCGGCAGGCCGAGAAAACCAGCCGAGGCTTCCGGAAGAACGCAGGTGTTTTTCTATAGCCTACAACGATAAAGCTAGCAGAGCATCACCAGACCCTTCGCCGATGACCGAATACCTAAACACACTCCTTGGAATTTCTTTCGTCTGCTTTGTTGTAACACCGGGGCTTTATCTATCCCTTGGTATCTCAAACACGGAATCGACTCGCAGAAGACGGACCAAACCTCAGACAACCGCTTACCAGCGGTGGATGTACCTAACCACGCTCAAGAATCTTCAGAAGCACACCGAGATGGCTATCACACCGTTGCCTCCCATAAAGACCTACGAGGACGTTCCATATCAACCGCCGCTACCATCATCACGGAGCGGCAGCGAGGCCGGGAGCCAGTTCGATGACGTGCCGCGGCCGACTACTTCAGAAAATGATTACGAGCAGCTTCTCATACCTCAATCAGCCAACGTAGAGCCAATTCTGAATGGGTTCTTCAAAGCCAAAGCGGAAGAAGTTTATCGTGTGGAAAATATTCTAGACTATCCAGTCACAGAGGGAATCAAGGAGTATCTTTGCAAGTGGAAGGGCTACTCCGATGAGGACAATAGCTGGGAAGAGTACGACGTTATCAAAAAGGCAAAAAAAGTCCTCGATGCTTTCCACAAGAGGCAGAAAAACAACCCCGCCAAAGAGGATGCTGAGCAATACTACGTCGACGAGATTCTTGACGACCGACGTCGAAAAGATGGTAAGACTGAGTATTTGATCCAGTGGCAAGGCTACGGCTATGATGACGATACCTGGGAGCCTGAAGATAACCTTGGCGCCGCGATATCACTCATCAACGCCTACAGCTGGAGAAAGAAGCTTAAAAGGTACCCTCCGGATTCTCCTGGAATTAATCTCGATAAAGTCAAAGCCATCTTTGGCTACAGATCCCAGGGAAATACAGTCTTGTATCTCACCAATTGGAAGGGATATCCACTTACAGAGAATACATGGGAGCCTCGAGAGATTATCGCACCTCTTTACGCATCGCTCCTTGACCGGTATCATGATAAAGAAGATCTGCCTAACAAACCGCAAAGTCCGTCGCATTCCTCTGACGAAGCCGACGATCTGCCTGACGAACCGGAAAGTCAGTCGAATTCCTCCGACGCAGCCGACGATGGGACAGAGGAAATGGACCCCAGCGTGTTTGAGAAGCTACACTCGGTCACCCGCCACCGCGGAGCTGGTGATACGCTTCAATACCGTTGCCAATGGACTAAATATGGGACAATGAAGACGTGGGAGCCGGCTAAGATGCTGGTCACACAGGATTGCGGCCGTATCAGGGAATACCTCTCTGTTGCTCTCGCTGACGATCCAAAGGAGGTTGCTGCGCATGCACGAACTTTGGTTGCTGAAATCATTGACCATCGGATTGGTAGTGACCAAACTTGCGAATTCGAAGTCAGATGGAGAGGAGAATCGACCCCGAGGCCTGTATGGCTTACCGAAGCTGAGTCGTGGCCGCTGATTGAAGTGATCAGCAAGGTAGCTAAAATCCGACCACATTTCCTGAAACCACCAGCGTGTCAAGACGCATGGACGCCCGAGCAAGGACATCCCGCCGGCACTCAAGGATTCCCTACCACGTTCATTTTGTTCACCGAAGTGCCCGTGGACGCACCTTATTGGTATCAGATAAGTGACCTTGCAAGGTGCAAATACAAACCCGAAGACTACAATATGTCAGTCAAATACTTAGCGGAAGTTCGACAACCATCGCCGAATCGGTCAATCAGGGAAGATGGGCGACGTTGGTGCGGGGGTGGTAACAGAACGAAGTCCAGCTTGCTACCTAAGAATCACCAAGAGACGTTCTCTGACCAACGTACAAATGGAATAGCAAACGCGGATGGCGTCGAAGCGACAATGAGAGGAGCGAGGATTCCGGGTAAAGTTTCCCTGGAAAAACCTCTCCGAGGCTATAATTGGGCCACGGCATTGATTCAGAATCGTGAGAAACTTGGAGAAACTGCGGAGCAGGCAATGTTGATGATTCCTCAGCTGGCAACCCAACCTTTGGTGAAATTCCTGGTCGGAATTCGTAAAGAATATTAGTAAGGCTGTATCATGTTTCTTTTGAAAGTTATCTGAAGTATCAACACTTATGTTTTGGTACTCTAAGCTGCAACGTGAGAGTTTTATTTCGGCCGAGTGATAGACAAAAGTTCGACTTGACAAAGTGGCCGGCCGGCTTGCTAAGCATGTAGGCTCATGACCACGATCAAACGTGGCCATTAGCTGGATTTACATTTGGCTGCGCGGCCATTGCTATGTACATAATTGATCGCTAGGCTGGACAATATTGCTGCCCCCACGAAGCTCCCAAGCAAAAACTCGCTTCTCGCAAAGAGTCAGCGACCACTTGGTAATATCGAAGACACAGCTCCCACAGCTCCCACAGCTCCCACAGCTCCCACAGCTCCCACAGCTCCCATAGCTCCCACCAAAATACAGAGTGACACCAACACACCGGGTAAATCTTAAGCCGTGCCACTGATTCTCGGTTTCTCTATGCAGGTAATTCAAGCACAGTTCAGTTTCAACCTTCCACTTCAGTTATGATCGAACAGTTCTTACGACGACGTTTTCAGGATGTGAAACCGAATGTGAACATGCAAACGTAAGAGGTAGTGTTTTCTCTTAGTGTAGCGGTGAGTGAATAACTCTGAGTACGTGGCTTACAAGCCTATTTATATGTAAACCATACGTATTACTCATGTTATCATAGAAAGTCTCATCCAATGATCTAACAACACCGTCCATCGACAAAATGCACCCATAGTTACGTCTTCCGACACTATCCAGAAAGAAATTCCAACGTGGTCATTCTATGAGAGTAGCTGGTCGGAGGCAGGGCAGAGAGAGATAGGGCACAGTAAGACTGCGACGACACGCAAACTCCGAAGGCGAAAGAATACGTTGTTTAAACTCCTTTGGCGCTGCTTGCTACATTTACCCCAAGTAGTCTCTAGCTTCCCCACTGGGTCGGGTTGTGCTACTTCGGTCGTCATCGAAATCTAGTAATCAAAATCGCTCGAACTATCCATCCTGCCCCACCGGGGCTGTCAACCGTCCGTCCCATCCGTCTCTGAGGTTGCCCGGCCCGGGACGGAATTAGTCGGGCTGAGGAGACCAAGGACTACAGTCTTCCGGGCTGGAGAAATGAGGACGGATACCCTACAGGGCCCGGAATTGACTGGAACACTAGGACAATGCAAGCGGCGTGGCGCCACACAGTGGCGCAGGTGTGTGGCTGTGCGGCTTTGCGGTTCCATTTCGCATTGTCTCTCACGGTATAGAACTTTCGCACCATCCCCGTTGCTACTTCCAGCAGTGTCTATCCCCTAAGGTCGATTGTTTGACGACGTTGAAAATTCTGCTCGAGGCTGAAAATTCTGTTGGCAGTCACCGCGCTGCACCGTATTATCTCACATGAGAGGTATGGGTATAAAAACTCCTGTTATAAGCACTAGTGCATGTAAGCGCGAACTAGTGCGTCTATGGTTAGCGCGCCGAGCAAGCATGCGACGTCAAGTGTTCAGCCTTCAGGGGCTGGCAGGTATCTTCATACAGCTGAACGGACGACTCTGTAGCTGGAAATATCGTCAAGTACACAGTACCATCCTCCTCACATCTCGGAAGAACAATGCATCTATTGACCAAGATGAACGACCAAGTATCGGACTCACCGCCGCCAGTAGAAACCCTCACATAGTTGTTCTGACAGCTTGATAGCTAACCATCTACCGATCTGGCCAGGCCACCTTTCACGCGTTCGCCAGTTAAGTTCAAACCTTCACCAGGGCGCAGGAAACAACCCATCGTAGTTGCCTCACGTTGGGTTCCCCCTCCAGCCGCCATTCCTTCCAGAGCCGAACGAAGTTGAATAGTCGACTCACTTTGGACCCAATACCTAGCCGCAGCGCACCTCCGGCCGCAACCCCAGTTGCACCTCCAGCTACACCGACTGCACGCCGGACCACCAGCCGCAGCACCGGCCGCTCCTCTAGCTGCACTGGCCGCACGCGGACGCCGAGCCGCAGCACCGGCTACAGCACCGGCCGCACTACCAGTCGCAGCACCGGCCACACCACCAGCGGTAGCACCGATTGCACCACAAACCTCAACTCTAGTTGCCCTTCCAGCAGTACCTAGGAGCCCGGAGAAGTGCCAGGCTGGTAGGGAAGCCTCAGCGTAGCCATGTAACTTCTTTCCCGCAAATTACCGACAATGAAGGTGACAATGAGGATGAGGATGAGGATGATGGTTTTGAGTACGATTTTGGCGAGCAAACGAATTTTAGTTCTATTTGTACATGTTGTAATACATTCTGAGGACAGCCCGAGAATTCTCTCCGAGCACATAGGCGCGTTTTGATATTGCGCTAGTCCCTAAGCGCTCTAGTCTATGCTAGTGCGCGCTATGCACCTATAATACTAACATTTATACCCATACCTCTCAAGTGAGATAATACGGTATACTACTTCGCAAACTAGTTGTCAGCATAGCGCGCTAGTGCTATCAGGTACCTACAGGTACCTGGCGGGTATCCGGGCATTTCATCCTCCGGACGAAATGGATCAGTCCTCTGGAAAGCCTGCCCAGGACGGGACGGGGCTACAGTCCACTAGCGGACGGTTGACAGCCCTGTGCCCCACTGCCCGGAACGACAGTATTTCTATGATATCCTCGGCCTCGGCAGCCTAGTGTAATTTGAATTTCGATCGCCCCATTCCCTTTTGGCAAGCCATGATAATTGGATACTCCAACCCTTTATAGCATCGAACACTGGCAGCATTCTCGGAAACCCACAATTTTCATGGTCTTCGGGCTCCAGCATCTCCTTCTCTAGGCTCGCCAGTACAGACTGATGTCCGGAGCTTCCATTTGCGGACGAAAGCTCACAATTTCCTTTCCAAGCTCACTTCTCGTCGCTTACTGGAGCTAGGGGCACATTGATGGTGCCTTGGGAGCATACACAATTCCGTGGTAGAGTTGTATTGCTCTAGCAAGTAATACGCTGATCACGGGGCTTAGATTATGCTGATTGCAGCTGCCGTAGATGGGTCCGTGATGTGCGGAAGCGGAAGTGGCGCCGGAGCATTGCTTTTAGCCCCGATTGAGTGCGGTCCGAATTTCTTGGTGTTGGAAATGACATGATACTAGGATGGATGAACGGTGGTGAATTATGGTTTTTGGGAATACGATCGCACGTTGCAACCCAAACAACGGTGGCAGCGCAGAATGGCAGGCCTGTGTAGAGATGAACATAACTATTAGGCTCTGTGTTCATGTTGAATTCTCGCTAGGCAAGTACATTGTTCATGAGGCTTGAGTGGCCCTTCGCACAACAAGACAGTCGTAAAACGTCTTCGGCACCGTCTCGATTATACGTCTGGATAGAAGTATATGTAGGATCGGATGTGGCCACCAGGGTGGCGGTCCTTCCGTCTTGGAGTGCACACGGCCGTCCTCTATCTGATATCGGACGCCCGGTGTGTATAAAGTAGTTGTTCTATAGAGAGGATCTCTTCAACTAGAAGATTCTCTATCCAATTTGTCATCACTTTTACTACTATGTACCCGACAACGCTGTTCGCATCAAACGTGCACTTTTATACTCGCTGGTTGGCCACGGTATTTACCTTAATTACGTCAGTTTTGACACTACATACTCCTACTGTGTATGCGCTCCTTCAGCCCCGATATACAAGGGTGATCGGCTATGATTCTGTGACGTTTACAAATACCATTGCTACAGTGAGCGAGCAAGTTGAATTCGCTGGGGAAGGCATTTTCTAGGAGACGAAAGAGAGTATGAACTTTCAGCGCGTGTTGAAGAACGCTTGTCTACGGATAGTAAACAACGCCGGAAGACGCGTTCGATACACCATCAAGCTGCAAACGGCTACGTGTAGGGTCAAGACTCAACTTAATAGTAATGGTTCAAGGTGTTCTGACCTCTGCATGTTCCGACGAAGCATGATATTATTTCTGGGTTCTCATTAAGTTATATACGACTACTAGTTATCCAGATTATGGCAAAACATTTTTCGCAATTCATCCACAGTCCAGATAAACGGTCGCTACAATAGAAACCCACTTCCGGAGGCCTCCATTGGGCCATGCAAAGTGATAAATTGAACCTGCGCATAACCGATATTCTTTGTCCGGTCCTTGGCACGGACTCAGGTAGGACTCCGACGTCAGTTTCTGTGCCGGAAACGAATCTGTCCCACTTTCGTGCAAAAATGCCGAGATGGAGGATTGTTATTTCGGCCCAGCGCAGAGGCGCCGGGCAGAAAGAAATAGGGAGTTAGTTCAATACCTTCTCTTGAAACTGTGAAGCTTCCGTGCACGCCTACTACAACCTCAGCGAATTTAGCATCTAGGTAATAACTCGGAAGGAAAAAACTATTGTTAGTGGAAATTCGTGTAGATTAAAAATCTACCCAGATATCTGCAATATCTGCGTCTTTTCCTCCACGATCCTCGATTCCTCAAACTGCTGTCACCCCCTAGGAGTGACGGCGCGTCACATTACCACCGCTCCTTGCCCTATCTAGAGGGCTCCTTGGGCTGTCCGATCGTCTCCGCCAGTGGTGGCGATATCTGGTAGGCTGATGGACGTATCCATGGCGATCGGGCGGCGAGGTACTTGCCTCCGGCGAGTAATGAGAGCTGCGGCGGCCACGGTCATTGTGCCGGGCCACTCTCTCCGCATACTGATCCTCGCGGTGTCCAGCCCGCCGCTTGTGCTGCTGATGCCGCTTATCCTGACTAGAGTCACCACTGCCGGAGGAGGGCGACACAGAACTACCCCATTCGTTGTAATTCCGCCTGGGTTCTCTCTGGTAGTGAGACTCCCTCTCACTCTGCTGGGCAGTGGCGCGGCGAGACTCATGATTCTTGATGTCTCCCAAAGCAGTCCTCTCCACCCGGTCATTCTCAACCTCGACGTCTTCGAGGACATCAAGATATGACTCGATGAGTGTCACAAAATGTGACAGATGTGACACTTTGAGGATGTCGTCGTCCCTCACGACACGTCTCGCTAACTGAACAGCGAGAGCGTGGTAGGGCCCGACTACCGGGTCGCCGGCCTGACCCGCGTGTAGACACGCCACGATACTCGTCAGGCGGAAAGAGTGATCCATGAACGGATCGATGACCCTCTTTACCTGCCAGCAGAGGAACTCAGCGGAGATAAGTGATTGGTCCTTGGGATCAATCGATCCCACATATCCCATGAAGAACTTGTCGAACGCAATCACTGCCACGTGGACGAACAGCAATGTCTTGCCATCGAACGCCCGGTCGGGGTCGTCTGCGAGGCGAACTGTCGGGCGGTTGGTATCGGTGAAGCTCGGTTCTATCGGGATGAAGGACGACAGGTGGTCCTTCGGGACGTCCTCGATACCCTGATTGTGCCGCGTAGTACACGTGCTGGAGGTCGGAGTCAGCGTGTGACAAAATATGATTCGAAGATGGAGGTGCAACATACAGCACTAAGAATCTTCCGTCGAGGAGCTTGTCCAGTATGTATATCGGCCGGCGCTCTCGATTACGAGAGCGCGCACCTGGTCGACAGCCGAGACGGGCAGCCTCTTCTTCCGTGCCGCGGACTTGCACTTTTGACGACCAATGAATGGTTCCTGGAAGTAGGTTTCCCGGAGAGGAGGGAGTAGTTGGCGAAATCATACTAATGATTCTGCGGAGCGGGGATCGTGCAGTCGAATATGAATTACTAGACATGAGATATTAGTGTCCGAAAACTAGATGATGGAGGCGGAAAAGGTTACCGTAGCTTGCAGAAGGTCTCGGTGACTTCCCGTTGTATCGTGCCGGTTGTTTGCACTATTGATGATGTCAGATTCTCGCGTCCGGAAGAGCAGTGATCGGAAGGAATCCGTACCGTGCTAGTAATGCGGGGTGTACGCTTATCGATTATGCAACCGTTGCCGACTTGATAGCTGGAAGGTATTAACATCATTGAGGTCCTATCGAGGGAACATGTAACGCACTGCGATAAAGACTGTATCGACTCGAATCCACAGAGTCGTGATGAGCGAGGACAGAGCGGTGTAGAAGTAGAATGATCAATGCTTTAGATCGCACGATTGAAGAGGGGTGAATGCGAGGAAGCCAGATCAGGGTATGTAGCTGCGCGCTGACTCAGATAGACGTCGGTGTCGTGCTGGGTCGAAACTGTTGTTGCTCTTTCGAGTTGTGATGTTGCTGAAGCTGGTTTCCGTTGTCCGCTCAATGTAGGGAGAGAGGTAAAAGAAAGGACGGTTATGATTGAGGAGAGATTGGTCGGGAGGAGAGAGTGACAAAAGCTGCTGTCTGTCGTCTGAGGAGTGTAGAGAGAAAGGATGGAAGAAAGGGACGATGATGAGGTGGGTCGTCAGGTGAAGGATAGGGCTAGCTGTTTGAGGAGGCGTTTCTCAGATATATCTCACTCGCTCGCCACAGAAAAACTGCAGGCTAGCGCGTCAATCACCTTCGCTGCGCCATTGTCACCTCAATCTACACTCCATCACACGTGAAAGATTGAGGGTCTGCCCTGAAAATAGTCGCATTTAGATCATCTGGAATTTGTGGCGACATGCATCGTCCCCGTTCGTGACAGCGATGCACATGACTGGATTAATGAGAAAGGCGTAGCTCTGCGGCTACACCGGAGCAAGACGTCAAGCGCAACAAGAAAAGCTCCATTTACACACGGTTAGGGTCGGCCTTTCACCCCTCCATCATCGGCGCTGTAACTCTTCTGCTAGGAAAAGTAGCCCAGCCTGTGTAGCCAGATATTTTCGCACTCACAGAAGACAAAGATTAGACTGCAATCTTGACATGAGGATGCTCTGTGAACAAGCCTCGATCTGTAGACCCAGGCACGAGTGATAATAATTGATTACATATGCGGTCGCAACCATCGTCTGCGTAAAACCTACCGGTGGTTCTCTTCGACCAACAGCCACGTAGGAGAGTCGTGGGCTACCTGAACGACAACCGATGATCTTGCAGCTATTTCTACCACATAATTCTGTCTTACGCGCCTTGTAGGTACTTTCCAGTGACGTGCCCATGTCATAGACGTATGCGGCCAACATCTATCCCCTTTGCGATGGTTTCGAAACTTTGCGATCTGCGCCCTTGGATACATCATCGCCATAATGAGTCGCTATCAGTCATGTGAGTACCTAGTACAGCTTTACTAGGAGTGGCCGTCGCAGATTAGATCGCGAGCCACCCAGCCCTAACCGGACGTCGCAGGCGACGGTAAAAAAGCAACGTCCGCTTCCAACTTTCGTCAACCTCACGCCTAACTACGTCGTCGAGTGCGAACCCTCAAACAACTATTCTTTCCTCCACGCTTAGAAACTCGTACATCTGGTGTAGCTCTACACAACGGGACAACCAAAACAGCCTTCTTCCGTGCTCGAGACGATAAACTATGGCCATGGCTATGACGACGGCTACGGACGACTTTAATGTCAAGCAGGAGATTGTAAATCACCGAATATATCCTAGAGAAATGATGAAGCTTAAATTGAAGCTAACAGGGTGCAGGCTAAGATCCGCTTCACGGATTTTGAGAAGGCAAATAATATCCATCACCTCAACAGTAGGATGAGAGTGAGCAGAGGCTGATTCCGAACAGGATCTGATCCGTGTGGTCTCTCAAATTCCTTTCGGACGTGTTACGACGCAAAAGGGAATCTGCGACTACCTCGGAACCGCCCTTCATCGCAACGGCCCCTCCAACGTTCACAAGGGTCTAGGTATGTGGCTTAAACATCATCTCGGACACCAAAATCGCAAAGGATCCAGCTCACACCAGTTTAGATATGCTGGCGATGCCGTTCGGAAAACTCGCTACACGTGCGGATATCCCATTCCACAGGGTTCTCCGCAAGATGCCCGGGAACCACAAGGACAATACACTCACATGGCGTCGTCCCGAGTACCGCGCGATTCTCATCAAGGAACGCGTCAAGTTCGATGACGGTGGCAAACTACTCGAGATGAACCGGCTATGGTTCAGCTTTCAACCCCCTAGGGCTGAAGCCGTGAGCGCCAAGTTGAAAGACCGCAGAACGGAGTACGCGTGGCTCGACACACCTAAGCCCGCACCCATCCCCGGCGTCTTTCCCGAGTCCTCCAAGACCGCCGAAGCACGCGGGAACACTGATCCCGGATACCTCGCGCGGAAGGAGCGCTTCCGCGAGGTCCAGCAGCAAGCTCTCTTCAGGATCGCCGGCCACATGGGCCTAATTGATGACGACATCGTCGAAACTGTTGCTAGCTCTCATTCGATCCGCCAGTACGAGATGCAGCATCCGGAGTGGTCCATGTCCGGCGATATCGCCCACAACGCAAAATGCGGTCCGCGCGCAATTGAGCTGAAGAGGGACACGACCCCACCGAGAAGACAGCGCGAGGCCTTGAAGAGAAGAGCGTCCGCTGCTCCTCAGGGAGAGAAAGATCCGAAGTCGGAGAAGAAAGCTGGTGAACTGGATGACCAGTAAGAACAAGGGTTTTCAAGATGAGGCGGGGCTCAGACTCGCGTATGGCGGAATTTCGTCAAGTTCGTTTGCTTTTACTTGTTTTCTGCACTCATGGATCTAATTTTCACGGTTTTCCGCTGGTTGTTTGGTTTTTGTCCGGTATTGCTACTGTAGTGGACAGCATTTCCCGTTCGTGTAATCACTGTGACATAGGTTGACCTATTGCAGGGCCGTTTTCTTGACGGTCGTCTGTCGGCAAAAAGCGCCAACGGTGTGTAAAAAGCCTCTGTCAAGAAACGGACATACTCATGTCGGCACTTCTGAGCATTGGGCAACGTTGATTCCGGGTAATAATATGCAGGTCAGGATGCGACCGTGACTTGGGGGTTGGAATACCGATGGATACGGTACCTATATTGGCATGTACTGATTTTTATTCTTCGATGACCCGTGTACATAACTACAAATTATTTTGATGGGCAAGCAGTAGGTATCTAGCGCACAATCATCGGAAATAGCAATTGCGTCTTACTTTCCTTCATCTGTTGGACCGGCTAACAGCTTCGCTTTACAGTACTAGAACTTTGAAGTGTCGGTATGCCGCCGCTGCCGCTGAACGCGCTTGCGCTTTCGCTAGCTCTGATCGCCAACGTTGGTGTCACTAGCTTCGTGGCGGCAACCAACTTTGTTCGAGCTAACAACCAAACAATCTTCCTTTCAGCCACATCCTCCACCCATTTAGCAACTCACGCGTGCCTCCTTCACCAGTTTACGCCACATACACTACGTCGTTCGAGGGTGGTCGCCACACCCGCAACCAACGCGGATGCCGGCTCCGCGCAACGCTTCCCCACACCACCTCGCAAATTCACCCAGTAATCCCACCTGATTACCCGCCGTCGATCATAAACATTGGCCGACCTCGCCTCACTGTCAAGGAAGCCGTGGAGTACCTCCGCCGTACCTGCGATTTAGACGACGGCCCCGCACCGAAGCTAGACGATACCTACTGGCTCGAAATTCTGCCTAAACCCCTGAAGAACCACCTGGAGCCACACAAGATTATCGTTTTCCTGGATCTTCGTGGCCCCGTGCGCACCCAGTTCTTGTATCTCCACGAGCAACACCATATAGATTACGAGCGCGACTACCCGGAACATACGATGGACGTCTACCAGCGCCTGCCGACTGCACCTGGTCGTATTCAGATGAATGCGGATGGAGACGTACTCTGGCCGGAAACTACGGTTCGTACGCCACGCCCGCCGAGGATTCCTCCAGACCAGCAGCCTATCACGGAAAAGAATAAAGAGAATCTCAATCCTCCGCGCCACCGGGAGTTGATGCATCGCTTTGCTGAAGAATACAATACGCCGACAAACAATCTCCACTTGCCGGCGCAGATCGTGCTGCCTGCTACCACTGCAGCGGCACTTGACGGAATCAGGTTAACCGGACGAGGAGGACGCCCGCTTGGGGAGCTGTCCATTGCGACCGATAGCCCCACTCGCGTCGAGCTCCGCGGTGATGCTCGCCGTCGGTGGAATGACAGTGTTGAGTTTGACAGACAGCAACGCACCGAGAACATCTTTCAAGAGCGTACTGAGAGGGAGATAACTGACAGGATTCTTCGCGAGGGCCGTGCCGCACCTCCGCGGACCCCGAGCGGCGAGAACACTCCTCCACGCACCAGGAACGTCGAGAACACTCCTCCACGTGGTCCTCACACTCCTGAGCTTCAAATTCCGACTCCCGTTGCTGCGCAGTTACTTATGGACATTGATCGCCGTGCGGCAGCGGAGAATACGATGGAAGCTCTGAATCCGCTTGACACAGGTAGATACCCTCGTGATGAGCGTCGCGGACCACTCGTATACCGCCGGTGAGTTATATACCCACCCCTGCCTATGCGCATTGCTCATAAGGCCAATAGTCCTACTCCCGTCGCAGTGGCAGCTCGTCGGCCTCCTATCTTTCCTACTAGGCGCCCGCAGCCCACTTCCCCGACTACCGCCGATGATCAGACTCCACAGGTGCTGATCTACCCAGCAGAATACGAGGATGGCTTGCTGGGCGAACGCGGATGGCAGTTTCAGCGCGAAGTTGCTATAGCTCGCGAGATGACACGCCTAGTGGTTCAAGATTCAGCTATCGAACGCGGCGAACGTCTTCCGCCCGTTAGTCCGACGCCTCCGACCACGAGGCAGTCTGCCATTCCCGTTCGACAGCAAAATACTCCCAGTCGCTTTGGTGTTCGCTTTACTCCAAGTCCCACTCGTCAGTTGGATTCCTCTGGTCGTCGCCCTCGCACACCTGGCCGCCAAACGCCTACTGCCAGACAGGAGCCCACCACTCCTCGTCGAGGTATTCCCACTCCTGTTAGGAATTCCGCCATCCCACGGACTCCAGTCACACCAGCTCGCCAACTTGGAGCTCCCGTTACTCCGCGGACTCCGGTCACTCCGGCTCGCCAGCTTGGAGGCCCCGCCGCGCCACGTACCTCCGGTCTCCCCACGTCGCCGCTCGAAGTTCAGGAAGCTCACACGGTTCAACCCCGTCCTGATGTCGAGCCTCCGCACTTAGTACCATCGCTCGCTCGCACTCTCGCGCATCCACGTGGGGCTGCAGCTCCTCCCGCTCGCCAGCCGCGGCTGCCGTTCGGAACACCTCCGCGTTAGGTGGCACCGTTTGGACCTTCAGAATGGCGTGTTATAGCCCTCGCAACGCCTTGCAATAACATAAAGGTCGATTTTTCTAGTTGTTTCCCTTTCCTCGCATTTGAGATCCGCATTGGTTGCGTTTTCGGATGATTTTAGCATTTCATGGCAAGTGCACACCCTTTCTATCAACTCTCATGTCACATCACTAACTCTCGCCACCAGTTGTCTTGCTTCATCATCTGCCTCTTGCTTTCGATGCCCGCTCCCTTTTTTCTTCTTTCATTCCATCTCTGCCGACTACGCCTTGCTTTCACTTCCCTTTCTGTTGTGGTTCAACACCAGCAGCCATTCCTTTCACTCGTCTTGCTATGGCGGTTCAACACCACCAGCAATTTCATTTTCACGCGTCATATCTTGTAATCTGAATTCGGATAGATAGCCTAATAGACTTTTCCCTTTCCCATGTGAGCATTGATGTACGACGTAGGCGGGCACACACGAACGATGAGGACGATGATAAAGTTGTCATTCTAATTTCTAACTCCCACTCAGGCTGCCATCAAAGGGCTTCTCTGAAGTCTGGTGATGTACCTGTGCGGACTTCATTTGACCCGAGTTTCTGATCCCTTAATCTTGCATGTGATCTATCATATCCTCCTCGTCATGTATGTGATCTCATCTGATCTTATTTTTGTCATCTCTCAGGGAGGTAGACAACATACCGTGTGGCGTATCCCGTAGCCGGGCATACGGCGGTATGAGAGGACCAGAAGGATGTCATTCTGGGTATCTATCACTCAGGGCTCCATCGAACGGGCACCGATATCCTTTTGTAGTTTTACGTCATACCGTTGTCGGGTCGACGATCGAATCTACTCATATATTATCTCATCTTATCGCCGCTGATGTAATGCCAGAGATGAATCCGCAATTTTGGATATGTCTGCTGGTTGTCGTAAGGGTGTTTTTCACGTGTATCTCTGACAGCCGCTGTCACGTGCACTATTTTGTCGTTGTTGGCAGTTGTATGCACGGGGTTTGTTACGGTCACGCTTCTTGGAACTTTACTGTTCCAGCCTTAGTCGCTTCGACCCTTTGGGCTTCCAGCAGGTTCACGTCACACTACCACCATTACACTTGAGTGTTTGCCAAATGCCCCCCCCGTCCTCTTCTTCACCCACACCACCATCCGTCAAACCACCAACTAACTTCCACTCGCTCGCTGTTCCCTCTTCACCCCGACGAGTCACACCACTTCGTATCGCAAAACCGCTGGTTTCTATCTGTGCACATTTTGCACCGCTTCCCACCGGCAGTTTAACTTAACCGTTGGTTTCCCCACTCATACCGTTGTTTAGTAGCGCACCTTTTCTCATCGACTGTCATAGGACCTTACCGAACGATCGCACCACTTTGCGCATATCAAGCCACATCTTCGAATCGTCAAAGCCAAATGTCCGACAGCATGGCTGAATCCCGACGTTCGCGCTCAAGCTCACTTGAAGAAATCGTCACGCGTGTGGTGTAAGTTTCTGTCACTCTTTTCCTGATACCACTGACACCTGATCCAGTCAGCGTCTTCAGCAACACTCCGCTGAATGCGTTGATTCGTCGGAGCAGGGAACAGTCACTGGCGCAACGATCAAGCCCGAGGGAGACACGATCTCTGCGGGGTCAGAATCCAGCAATCTGGAGAGAGGCGAACAGCTGCAAGAGAGGTA